ATTGCCATTTTTTTATTTATTTATTAATAGAAAAATTTCTTGATATAGATGCTCCATGTGACAAGATTAGAAGTATTTTTGATATTATACATGCTTGTGTTTAGTGAAAAGAAGAGAAATAATGAGAAGATGAACATGTTAAGACAAAGACTTCTAGGATCATAAGTAAAACATTTAAATATTATCTCAATTAAAAATTTTGCATAGAAATTATCTTAAAATTGCCAAATTATGAGCCGTTTAATAAAAGAATTCACATTCCCAAAAGAAAAAGTTGTTTAAAAGCCATTCATTAGAAAAAATGAAATAATATCAAAATGTTTATGTTTCACCTCTTACCCAGAAACTCGAGTATTGCACTATTTATATTAGAAACAGGAACAAATTCAAACCATAACCCATCAAAATCACCAAAAATATTCCTCAGAAATGATGATTCACACTCAAAATAATAGTTGTAAAAACAGACAGAAATTTCAGATGATTCAAATTAAGAACCTTGTGCCAATTTTGGCTGAAATTAAGGACTTTTAAGGACCAAAAATCGATTCCAAAAAACATTAGGACTTTTAAGGACTCTTAGGGAGTGCACGAACTCTGAAAAAGTAGTAAAATATTTTTTATTTGACTCATTAAATTAAATTTAAAAACACTAAAGGGTTAAACTACAATCAGCTAAAATTTCCTAGAATATTTTGACACTCCTACATACATTAAACCTTGGAGGAGCAGTACATAACATAATTTAAACTCTGGTAAAATTTTACATAAATTGTAACTTATGGACCCTAAGAACATAAAATTGAGACTTTAAAAAAATCCCAAGTGAAATCCATTTGAGGGCGAATATATATTATATACCAGTGCTCCTCTAAGACGTTTTTTCACAAATAGCTACCCATTGTAAATTTTTGTTTTTTCATCTATTTTTGCATACTTTTGATGTGCATCTACAGAAATGGGTGCTTGAATATAGTTATGCAAGTCTAAAGTCAAAACTTTTAAAATTTTGCTAGAAATTTAAGATTTTAAAAATAAAATTTATGTTTTATGCACTTTGATTATGCCACCCAGCTGAACATACTTATGTAAAATATAGGTAAAAAACTTTTGAAAGTGATTTAAATTCACTATTATAAATTTATAAAAAAAATTTAGCAAATAAAATACAACATGCGTAAACTGTATCATGCTGCAATTGAACATTATACTATGCTACAAGCAGATGTAACTCAAGCGGAAAATAAAAAAATCTGATGTGCACACCACATGACCTTGTATGGAATATTAAATTATATGCATTTTTTTCTTGCATTTCATTTAAACTTATTGGATTGAATTAAATCTACTTCGTCGACAGCGCATAAACCACAAGAGAATAAATGCACTCTTTAAAATTCACTATATTTGTTTACCATAGCGACACTCTGGCTAGGTTCACTTAACAGTATTATGCTTCATTCATATTATAACTCAGAATGCATAAAATTTATATCATTTAAAGAATTATCTAATGGTTGCCACACGTTCTATTGAAGTGCTATAATAATGCTCGATAATCCGGAATCGCCGAAGTCCCGACGAGTCCGGATTAACGACTTTTGACTGTAATTCTAAAAATACTGCATACAGATTTACTAAAGCCATAAAAACCTTAAGCGGAAAATAAAAACAACATAATTCAATCATTTTTAAAGCAAAAAATGTACAATTTACAAACATATAAGAGTAACGAAACTGAGATCACTGAGCCGGGTAACAGAGTGGATATATGTATAAATATATTTATATACGTTTGTTGCGGACGATTACAACCAAAGTACGAGGTGCACATCTACATGTTATAACAGTCCTATATATAAAATTTCAACGTTCTGAGGCTACTTGTTTTTGAGTTATGCGAGAAATGTATGTACGTTCAAACAGACGGCATGAAAAATTCTCTTCAGAATTCATTTTTAAAGCAGTTTTATAATTTTTTTGGAGGAAAAGAGTCTTTTATTCTGTTTTTACGTACAGATGTCACGCAAAAACATCATTAAATTGCATTCAATAGAGGTCAAAATGGATATTTTCGTTGAAATATGCTGCCTGAAACTTTTCGTGATTACAATACTTCCTTTTTACTTCGTAGAAGAAAGTAAAAAATTTTAAAAAAATGAAATTCTATCACGCAGCTGAAAAATTATGTTGCATTTTTGTGTTACTATATTTTATGCTTTAGATAATATATAAAAACAGAATGCCTCATGCTATGATAACAAGAATTGCCCCTACATGTACTTTCGATTATCAGGCCCCGTAAGAGCCGCCTTTTTAATTTTTTGTAAATACAGGTTGTAATATATCACTTTCTTCAAGAAGAAAAGCCACTACATGAGTTTATTATTTGATACGCCTCAAAGCCCTTATTTCGATCAAAACTATATATATATATATATATATATATATAAAAAAACCTCAAATATTTGCCCCTTTTTTTCCCTTCCAAAAATAAATGCTTTGCATCTAAAACAGGCCTTAGAAATATTTCTCCTCCTTTCACCATCTGTGAAGACTTATTTTGAAAACTACGTACCCTATCCTAACCCAAGGGGGAAATTTCTTTTGTGTTCCCTAGTTTCACATCTGAAATTATAAAAACACATTCAGTTTGAAGTATGTCCACATAACTTTACTGAACTATGGCTGAATTTTAATGGCATAATAGGAAAGAAAGAAGAACTAAAAATAACTAACTAAATAAAATCACTGTGTTAACATAACAGATTTAAAATTGAAGGAAGATAGAACAAATACAAACATAAAATATCAACACTACAGATAATACCAAACATTACTATACGTTATGTGGGGTGGTATTGGATTCCCCTCCTGCACCCCCTAATATGCATTATCAGAACATTTATCAGCTAAAGCTACATCTCTGAGTTTTTGCAGTCTGTTCTCCTTCCTTACCTTCAAGGCTACCTCTTGGCCACATTTCAAAAGGCCAATGAGTGACCACATGTTGCACACATTGTTCAAGCTTTCTTCTTAGCCCATCATATTGCACTGTTACTCTGCCTGTCCAGAACATCTAGCCTGGCATGCTGCAATCATGAGTATACTAGATGGACTTTGGCTACATATGGATGCAACATGAGCTCCCATTTTCCAGCAACATATCCAAAGATACTTTCAATCCAATGCCATGATGCGCAGCAGCAGTTATTGACAAACATGTGGTAACACTCATAATGGATTTTCTCGTCTTCCTCACCTCAAAAGAGGCTGTATTTCAAATGAATTATCACAGACCACTATATTTAATCTTTTAAATAAATTTGGCTTTTACATCTCTTGTTCTTCATCTCTTGTTCTTGTTGCATTTTTGACGGCCAGCAGTGAATCATCAGCAAAAATTTGAAGCCTAAAAGACAAATGCTATTTAGTCAAGCCTCAAAACAAGGGTCTTGATTTTTTTATTATATGAGCCAATTCCCTTAGAAAGTTTCCTAGTGATGGCATTTCTCCTTCTCTTTGGCAGATGACTCTTACAAGTTGTGCAATACTCGAATAAATTAACTGATTTTCTCATTATCTATGCATTGCAAATTTCATTTCCTCTTTGTTGTTCTATATTTCTTTTCATAGTGTTTGTTTCATTGCACATGAATTCCTTTTGATTATTTCTTTTCCTGTTTTATGGCTTTTCTTTGAATTTCAGCAAGACATGATTTCAGACTTCTTAGGATATTTAAGAAGAACTATATATATAAGTACTTCTGCAGGCAATTTAGGAACCAAGGATCAATAATATATTGAAATCACAAATTGCTCACATTTTTATTTTTCAGCATATTTCCATCTAATATTAAAATGCAAATGTTAATTTTCTGATTGTTTTAACTTTAAATATTGAATGGCATGTCATAGGAAGTTACACAACTCTGCAGCTTGCTGTCCGATTCTTCAAATAATGCATTGAGAATTCTAAACTAAACAAAAACTTGTGTTGCCATTTCATGTTAAAGAAATAAAAGAAATCAATTACATGGAGTTACAATAAATATACATTCCTAATTCTACATCATAGGAAAATGGTGACGAATTACACATACATGTGTGACTGACTTTCCTGAATTGGAAATCCAAAATTCACCGCAATCAAAGTACAGTCTTGAGTTTTTCTGAGGTGGGAAAAAAGACCGTATTCAAAATGATAATCATACACACACAGCACAACGCTAATGGAATAATATGTTAATGGAACAGCTGCTTTGAGCATAGAACAATAATCTCAGTCATCTGATCTAAATCTGAAATTCAAATTTCTGGTAGAAAATGTGTGCACAATCTTGAGATGCAACTAAATATTCATTGCTTGTTGTTACTAAGCTAACTGTCATAAATAGCATGAAAATCATTGTTGAAGCAGTATCTATAAAAGGATTGTTATACCTCTGAAATTATAAAATACTCTCTTTAATTACTCTCCTTCTCTTGTTTAGATAATTTTCTTCCTTTAAAGCAGTAAAATTAGCCAAAGTTAACGGAAAAAAGTTTATGCTGCTCTAAAACTGATAACATAAGTCATGTTTTCAGTAAATTTCTAAAATATCTTCTAGATAAAACTGTACACATTTTTTTTTTTTTTTTATAATTTTTTTTTAATTTATGGAAACGAAAGCAAGAATGCACAGATAATTGAGTAAGTATAATAAACTCATGAAAGACATCACAAACATTCACATAAAATTTTAACAAGTCCATACATAAGAATTTTTCTCTTTTGGATTTGCAATTTATATTAAAATACTTAAAATTTGTATAATTCTTAAAAACCTGCTTTTATTCATTTCACAGTTAATAAAATACAAACATATTTGCTTTGCAAAATGCAGCTAAAGGATAAAATTATAGAAATCTCAGAATCCATTTCTAAGCACCTAAAAATAAAAATTTCCAAAAATTAAAAAACACCTTTAAGAAAATAGCAGCAAATAAACTATACTTACGTAGAACTTTGCCGAGATAATGAAGGAAGAGGAATGACACTTGCATTTGAATAAAATTTACGACGGAAAGCAGGTGAGAAATCAGCCATGTGTGACTGTTTCTCATGTGTTCTTCGTCTACTTAAAGGTGATTTTTCTGCTTTTTTGCCATATGTCATTTCCCTGGGAACAAAAATTCCACATATTTAACATATACAAAATCTAGGGGAAAAATGTGTATAACAATTTTCCAAAAATTATGATTTAATTTAGAGTAAAAAGCTTTTAACAAAAGAATTCAGTTAAAAGATTATACTGAGTTGCAATGTAGAAAAGTTTGCAAGGATTCGAAAACTGTAAACTCACTAAGAGAGTCTATACAAGGTTTTACTTCTTATTTTAAAAATATTCTAAAATTAGTGAACTTTCATTTACACAGACAAGTTTAATTTATGAAACATCTGGTTGACATTTATACAGTAGAAATATTCCATTACCTGAACAGCTTAATTCTTTTAGTATATCATTTATAAAACTTCTTATTGTTATTTCTTAAAATGATTATCTACATAAAGCCCCAGCTAAAATAATTGAATTTTTTATTTATTTTAAATGTATATTGTATGATTTAAAACCTTAATAAAATTGACTGCAGTTCTTTTTAAGGCAGCATTTCAACAGGAAAATATGCACTGACTTCATCAAAAATAGTTTATTTAATATGTTATGTCTCACGGACATAAACACATGCAGAGATACTTATGCAATAATTTCAGGTGGTTTTAATATAGAATTCTTAAAACTGATACCTAGCACTGATATAGGAACTATCAATTAGCTACTACTAGATATCTAAATTTCTGGTTGTCATTACTGATAGCAATATTCATGTAATCTAGTTATTAACGGCTACTAGTTATGCTGGATTAAGATTAGTATAGTGAACTCAATACATCCTTTTTCAAAATGGTGAAAGAAAAAATTATGGATGCAAGAAATTGATTAAACTAGGAAACTATTACACATTGTTAATGAGTCATATTAATTACCTTCAACTCAAGCACACCACATTAAAAAAAAAAACTATTTTTAATAAAAAGTTATTCCTTCTTCTCGGAATTTTGTCTAAACTGAAAATATAACTTTTCAAGACTTAATACATTTTATGCTCTATTTTGCTTATACTTTACATAGAAAAATGCTTTAATTTTGTAAATCTTTACAAGTTTGGATGAAATTCAGAATCTTCTCCTAATTTTTATCTTTTCATTATTTATCCCAGATTACTTGTAAATCCAAACTGAACACCAACTCTGAAACTCCAGAAAACTAACAAGAATAAATTAATAAAAACTAATGGAAACAAACTTAAATGCAACTTGCAATGAAATAGCAACTGGAAATAAAGCTAATAAAGTTGGATACAAAGTTGAGGCCCACGTGCAAAGAGTTCTGCATCACCGGTGCCAGATTAATAGACCAGAGAGAAAGTAACACAAATACCAAACGTAAACATTGGTTCAAATCTTTTTTTTTCTCTAAACAATCCATGTTGGGAATGTAATTTACAAACAGTTAATATGGTAAAATAATAGTTTGGAAAATGAGGATGCACAAATAAATAGATTCATATAGAACTTCACTAAGAACCAAAAATGGTGAACAATACCTGAGAGAAAGTGATCATTACAGAGGTAGTATAGAATAAAATTCTGCTATAACTGGCTATCTACATATTATTAAATAAGATGAATCCAAGACCACATTCACCTGTACCTCTACTATAAAAGAATATGAAATTTTTATCATTTATTAACCACAAAATAAGTTATTACTTGAGAAACAATCGGATTACTCTGTGGTTACGCAAACTGTGGATAACAAGACAGATCTGCACATGCCAGATAGATTAAAAACATAGATCACTCACAAATTAGCTATTCAGCACTGGGATAGTTTCAGCCAATGAATTCAGCAAATCAATCTTTGTAGTTTTATAAACATTTTTCACAAAATAGAAAACTTTAAAATGCAGTGCATTCTTCAGTAAGTTTTTTTACTGCCAATATTCTGCAGTTCTGCAAACTGTGGCTAACCAAGACAGGCCTGACACATACTAGAAAATTCAAAAGTACAGATTGTTCGTGTGTGAGCTATTTGATTGCCAAAGGCATATTTGTAATCAAGTAGATTCTTTTGTCAATGCCCCCACCACCACCAAAAAATGCTTTGGAATAAAAAAGATACACCCATTAATCCAATTTTTATAAAGATTTAAAAGTTAAACAAAAACGTAGTAAAAGATACTAGTAAACACCTGGTGAAAGAGTGAATTCCCCATTCACTAAAAAAAGAGGAATTCTTCCGAGAATTGAAAAATATAAATCTTGGATGATAGATAATGAGAAATAATACCATTTTGTTAATGACTCTTGTTCAAGTTCCTGTAAAGATCTTCAAGGCAAGCCTCTGTTCTTTACAATTTAGAACAAGGATTCTATATTACAGTGTCTAATGGATGAAGAGGCCACACACACACACACACACACACACACACAAAAAAAAAAAAAAAAAGGAAAACCTTATTAGTATGCTCAAAAAACCACAGCTGGCTGATGTAAAATGCAATTAGCATTTGAATAAATTGGGATCTTCTTCATCAACTGCATGAAATAATGTTCATACCACTAAACAAACTTGATCACTCAAAATGCTTACTATATAGTCCTTAGTAGTGACATAAACTTGTTTATAACTGGGCAAGCAGATAGCTGTTTACAAAGGTGCTGCAAATGAATTAATAATAATAGACAAAAACATAAAAGAGACATTTATAAAGACTATATAAAGAAATTTACTTCTTTCTGTTTTTTATAGAAAACTGGTTTGTAATTCAAATGATTCTTAAATGATATTAGGATAATTACACATTATGTTATGCATTACATATGCTACATATTATATATATGTTATTATTTATGTTTTTTAGCAACAACACACAACAAAATATTTATGCGTCTTTTTAATTTGAAGCTTTCCCAGACATTTTGGCTAATTTATAACAATTTTTCTTCTCTTTAAGCACCTTTTCTAATAATTAGAAATTTGTTTCAATACACAAACCGGTATTCCCACTAGTTTATGCGTGCTTTATCTTCTAACTTTTCAATCTTTTTAAAATATACCTATGAGGTTTTTTTACCAGACCTAATAAAAGACAAATAGTCCCAAACCCCTGTTAGACATGAAGCAAATTACCACTATGTCAGAAAGACTACAAAGTCAGATAAAGGTTTAAATAAACCTTTATTTAAAAAGAACTTACAACATAGGCACACATTCTTGCTAACAAAATCAACTACAACTCATGTTTATGTAATTAAACACAAACAGTCAAACTAAAAATGTGGACCAGTAGTCAAGGACTACAAACTTTAATTTTAATCTAAACTGGCTCAGTAACTCTTTCTTTGTAACAAACTCAAATGTCAGCAGCAATAACGCAAAGACGACTAATTACAAATTATCAAAGCTAGCAAGAACTAATGCTGTGTGCAAGCGGAGGTCAGAAACATACTCTGTCTTATAATCTGAAAACCTCAGTTTAAAAACTATCTAACTGATTTGCACTCTGGTGAGGAAACAGAAAGGGTTATAGCAAAGGCTGAAATTATAAGCAACTGGTTAATTTACATAATAATAACTGTACATATTTTTGAAGAATGATTTTCCTTCTCTTTATGTATTCAGTTTCTATCTTAAATACATTTCCTCTTCATTTTAGAATTTTTGGATTTAATTAAAGATTTCTGTTATTTTAAAAAACTAAATGCATTTTGTATAGAAAAAGCTGCTTATTTTATTTCTTTAGTAATATGAACAGTCAGAATAAATATGAAATGATGTATGGCAAGGGCTTGTTACAGAGCCAATGTGGCAAAATTTTTAGAATTTAGTGTTCACAGCGAGCAACAGAATATGGAAATGGAAAAACTTATGATTTGTATGTATGTAACTTATGTATGTTAAAATTTAGGACAGGCACTGACTGAGAGCAGAATTTAGGATCCACAGAGATTGCACTAGGTGAAAAAATACCTAGTGTATGCTGCATTGAGGCATATAAGGTGAATCTTTTAAAGTGTCTGGGTTCAGTTTCTTAATAGAAAATTTCTTTCCATAAATGCCAGTTCATGTGATAAGATTAGAAGTATTTTTGATACTTTCCATTCTCGTGTCTCACAAAAGTAGGGAAAATAAACATGTTAAGAGAAAGACTTCTAGTATCAGAAATAAAACATTCAAATATTATGTTTTCACTGTTCTTTCAAAAATTCTCCAAAAAGTAAAACATTCACCACAAACTTCCTGTAAAATACATCCATTATGTGTTAATACATTGACGACATTTTTCATTTTGTCACATTTTTCTGCAATCTTCTACAGGGTTCGTACACATTTCTGCATATGGAAAAAAAGGACTTTTAAGACTTATGAATGAAAAAAAATTAAGAGCCTTTCAGCAAATGGGAATTTAATAAATTCCATAAATTCCATTATCGATACCTGAACTTTACTTCTGTAATAACATCCTAAGAATAAAATTGATCCGTAAGTAAGATGTATTATTAATTAAACATAATTATAAAACAAATTTGAGAATAAATTTTATAAAATTATCAAGTAGCATTAAATAATTTACATTTATGATAGTTGCACATATTTGAAAGAAGATTGGTGGCATTTTATTTATGTTTCTCTAACAGTTAGCTTTAAAATAATTTTTTTATGTCTCATTTCGTCACATACTTGCTCAGTCTAGAGGTTTATTAAATAGCAGGCAGATTTTATGTCAAATGGCATAGCTTAAAAAGAGAAATAAAATCATAATCAGCATGAATTGTAACAGAAGACTGGCTGTTGCCATTGCTGCTGCTTTCCAAACAGAAAGCTGCTATCAGTACAGACCTGAAAGCCTGATGTAGGTATGGTTGGAAATTTTTGAAAATTAGTTATGTTCTGTTTATCTGATGCAGTAAGGACCAAAAATCAATTCCAAAAACCTGACTTTTATGGATCGTATAAACCCTGTCTTCATTTTAATTTGCAATTTCCCCTTCCTATCCTAAAATCGTAACTCTGTAAAACGTACCTGTCTAATCTGCATTATTTCAAACTTATTCACATCATTAGATCCTATGTAAGGATGCAATGCAGACATGGTTCATTCAATCACTGAATAAGATTTCTATCAAAATAAATATTTTTGACTCAACTCTAATGAATGCATAGCCCCTTTTCCACTTTGTTTCCCTCTGGCTAAGATGTGTTGCTACTCATTTCTGTGTATTGCCTAATGTCTCAAGATGAGCTAAGCTGACAAAGCTGTGGGGTGCATATTGCACCCATAAGGGTAAGAATCAGATATTGCATTACCCAACAATGGCTGTATCTGTGCGTCACCTTTTCATCTATGCCTTTCCGAGTTACATGTATGCAATAAACAATCTCTAATCTCTTACTTTGTTACATATTTTCTATATATATAAATAATTTTAGTGAAATGTGTAAATTGTAGAATTTCTTGTATAATCTAACATGAATAGTTGTATAATGTAATGTTTCTTGCATAATGTAACATGAGATAGTGAAAAGCTGGTGATGGTTTTGGTGACTAATTTTAATCTCCAAATTTGGCAATCATGCCAAAATTACTTACCATTTGGACAATGCTTATGCAACTGTAATTGTATCGAGCCCTATGCAATTGTAACTGTGTATGCCTTTCAGCAATTATGAGAAATCAAAGGCACTAGAAATTTCTTGGTGGGCAGGGGAAAACTATTTCACACCTCAGTTTCAGTTTCAGTTTAGTTCAAAGTGGGGTTCAGAGTTTAGCTCAGAGTATTGATAGACCCCAGTGCTATCTTGCACATTTGAGGCTTTCTGTCTTGTGTTCAAAGTTCTAGTTCTAGTCTGAAGAGATGACTACTGATTACGCTCTGTCATACCGAGAAAAGCCATATGGGTACTTTTGCATGAAAAGTTCCAGAACTATAAAATGTATTTTTGGAAAAAATAAATTACATCAAGCTATTACTGGTTCTGTGTGCATTTAATCCATAACAAATCCGTATGCACACAACAAATTTCGGTTTCAGAAGTGGAACTGAATGCTAGTGAAAAAAGTGATGGAGGAAGAACTTATGGAAGGAAAAATAGACATAGTTGAAAATAAAGTTGGTGAAACTGAAGAAAGAGCTTCTGCTTTCAAACAGCAAATTGAAGAAAGGTTTTTCTACCGTTGAAACACAAACTGAAGCTAGAGTTTCCATACTCAGCAGGGAAGTTGACAGCCTGAAGAAATCCATAGTGACAGCTGAAACAATTCTGGTAGCTTTAAATTCCTACCTATGTCTTCTCGACTCTCTTTAAAGGACACAGTATGAGACATAGGATGGTGTCTTCCTGAAAAGTGTACAAGACTCAGTTTTCTACAGTTTCAAATACAAATGGATGGGATTCCGAAACTAAGGCCTGCTATCTCACTGCTTCTCTGACAGCAGATGTTGTGGATATCCTTCAAACTCTGCCTGAAAACAGATTAGATTTTGAAGCTCAATCTGGTGCCTTTAGCAAGAAGTATTTACAATGCTTCACTTAAAATTTCACCAATGGAGGCCCACGGAGACAATCCAGGAGCTCACCACAAATGTTGAAAGACTGTTTCATCTCATCTTTTTGGACTTCCCAACAGAAAAAAGGAAAATCCTGTCCCTACAGTACTATATGGATGGCATTTGAGATCTTGAGACAGAGAAAGCCCTGCAAATGTCAAGAATCTAAAAAGTACTTTAGTGTACACAATGAAATTCGAGACAGCCTAGCAAGCAACCTGCCAAAGATTGCAACCCAATCAATCAATGTCCAGGAGTCAGTGGATCAACTGACTGTTTGTCTAGATGATTTAACCAGGCAAGTCAATGCTTTGAGGCATTATTGCACATTATACCCTGCAGTACAGTTTATGTAGTACTTCTCAAATTGTATTCTCAATATGAAATTTGAATATTTAACAACATAATTTGTTCTCTGCTCAGTTTCAAAAGAATCTCTAAGTCTTGTAACTAACAACTTTCTGAAAAAGCTATTAAAATAACTAATTTTTAAATTTCTTTAACTGCTTCAAATTTTGTAATAACTTTATGATATCACAATGCTTTAATCCACTAGCTTTCTTCCAACTGCATTTTTTAACCCTATTAGTAATTACCGTATCTTAATGAGCATATAATTTATCTTTATGCAATATAGAATCAAAAATTTTGTTTGCAATTTAAGAAAATTATTGGAGAACATGGATTCATAGAAATTAAAACAATGTATTGTCTATCACACTTTTTTTCTTTCTATATACTGAAGGAGACAAATTTTTCTCCACTTAAATAACTCGCATACAAAAAAATAATATTTATTTTGCCTATTCAATTATTCTTCCACTAGCATTCTTTAAAGTCTATTTCTATTACACAACATTCAAACTTTCTTATCAATGAATGCATTACAAGACACTCTGTTATGAGAGAGAAATAATAAATAATAAATATACATAAATTATCACATTTTACACACATATTACTTACTCAGAGCACTGAACAAAAGATTCCCCCTTTTCAATTCTAACTAGATTCCTCATCCTAACAGTTATGAAAATAATCAAATAAAATAACATAAAAGAAAACATAAATATGAAAATAAATGAACATCTAAAACCCAAAACTGAACAATAAAAAGAAAATATAAATATAAAAAAAGTGAATGTTTAAAAATAAAAATTAAATTAAAAAAAAAATCCAGAATATTGTGAGTATTTGATTTTTAGTTAGTGAAAATACATAACACAAATATAAAGTAATAAAAATTGATGAAAATAGATCTTGATCAAAATTATAAGATTAGAAAACAACAATTTCTAAAACTGCAAGTTTCAAATCTGGCTTTCCAGTTTATAAAGAATTAAAATGAAAAATACCTTGTATGAACAGATACCTCTACTTAAAGTAAAATGACGAGGTACGGATTTTAATCTTAGCTCTCTTTCAAATACTTAATAATTATAATTAATCTGAATTAATTATTATCATAATTAATCTGAAGAGAAAATTTTGCTCAATGCTTATATAAAACAGCTCTCTAAACCAATTTATCAATTCTACAAAGTAAGTTAATTCACATTAAAGAAAAGCAGATGAAAAGACACATGATCATTATGTATGATCTAAAAATATGCAAAAATTTTGCATATCGTGTTATATGAATTTATTAGGTACATAAGCTTTAGAAATGTAGACTGAGGCACAATTTCCTCCAGTGCTTGAAAATTGAATTCTTTAAATGTTATACGACAGTGTCACCGGCATTTAACATGCTTTTGTACATAAGAACTGTAACATATAGACGTGATTTAAAACACTCAGGCAGAAGGTTACATGAATGTTCTTTACACATTACATGAGAGTGCCATCAACACATGTACTGCACATACTATTATCTGTTTTTGCACTGTGACATGTAGACATCATTCAGAATGCTTCGCCTGTACATTGCTGACATGTTTATGAAACATCTGCATTGAACAATCTCTGAATGTTAATGGTGCCAGCTGATATGTGCATACCTGAAGCAGCAGAGTTTAATCTCAGCTGACACTGCCAATTGGTCTGCTTTTTGGCATCAAATAGAAGGCCAGTTTCATAGAACTTTGTGCACTGTACACAAATTGTCTTGTCTGTAGGAGATTTTATATGAAATTTCTGTTGTACCATAAATGGTATGAATTTTATGAACTGAAAAGTTGCAACAAATTTTGTGCTCACCAATGAATGCTATTTAAACACACACATACTGTCTTGTACCATTATAACTGCTATTTGGCAGATAAACCTATGTGAGAAGGCTTATAGTGCAAACTTGGACAAATTCTTTATATGGTACTATGTACCTTTTTGCTATACTTGTTACAGTTATTTTGTAATAAATTTTCAGAACCCTGGAAGAAATTTTGAATCACCATGAATATCGGAATCATTTTAAAGAATAAAAGTAACAAAATTAATTATAATATAAAAATCGAATCTTATATATTTAGTAATTACAGCAGTTTGTTAAAACAAAGTGATAACTTACTGCAGTGATGTTGGAGCACTTGTGACTCTCACAATGCCTCGATCATCTGCAAAATTGGGAGATGACGTAAGAGTTTTATCAAGGTCCAACTCCTGTTGCAAGGCAGGACCAAATGACCAAGCTAATCTAGAGACTGAGGGTCTTTCAGGCACTTCTGCAACAGAGGGACATGAACCTGCAGGAGTTAAACTTGCCTGCTTTTTTTCTACAGCCAAAAATTCTGAGGGCAAGCCTGTTTTCCTTGGACGTTTCTGTGTTTTAAATATGATAACAAATTAATATTCATTATGATCAATAAATATTAAAAATGCATCAGCTGAGATAAATTAAACTACAGCATGTTTATTCTTTCTTATGCAATCGAAAAAGCAGACTGTCGTTTTAAGTTTGGAATTCATGCATGGAATGTTTTATGAAGTATGAAATTCTTTTTTTAATATTTCTTTTTTGAAACTATAGAAAATGAGATACATTTGAAAAATCAGTTGTATTTTATTTTACTTGTAATATTCAAATTTTCTAAGATTTTATAAGTTTTTATTATCTTACATGTATTCAAACTGCTGATTTCTTATTTGAAACTGTTGCCACACTTTAAATACTAAAGAAATCAAAATATCTTCCATACAACACAAATATAACGGACAGAATTTATGTAGGTATCTAAACACAAAGTTGTAAGAAAATGTTTGAGAACTTACAAACACAAAAGCCTATGTCAAATTGAAGAAAAGCTATAAAGATTCATGGTTTTTTTTTTTTTACTTTTCTTGTGATTTGAAGTTTTTAAACTTACTACAAATATCAGATCAGAGTTAGAAGCAAAATTACACAGGTTTCAACTTAAAAACTTTTTTCTGACTATTTTAGTCAGTTTTAAAGGATAAATAATAAAACATTTCCTTATTTGTTGAAAATTCTTAGTTAAAACATACAACATTTTATAACTTATTTAGTAATAAACAGCATATGCTGTACATATAAAAAGAACATTTATAGTTAATCTGCAATATATAGATATTTTTATCACAAAGATTAAAGCATTTGACAGTTATCTAGAACATGTGATCCCAGTGAGGTCAATAAAATTTTGAAGGGGTCAGTAATGATCAAAGTAGTCAAATGATGATTGAGCAAAAAAAAAAAAAAAAAAAAAGTAAAATTATTTAATAATTTTTTAATTAATTTTTTTAAATAGACATAATATTATGCAATAAATAAATAAAATAAATAATAAATAAAAAAAAAAAATAAAAAGTAAAACTATGAACACCAGAAAACAGAATTAAAAAAATATGAAGAATGTACAATTAGAATGAAAAACAAAAAACAGGCTAAATACTTTTCAACAAGCTGATTTAAAAAGTTATCTAAGCAGTTTTATGCCAAATATTAAAAAAGATTACATCAATATATCAAATGCAGCCATCACATTAATTACAACTGAATTTTTGTGCAATTACAATTTGCAATTTGTTTCTGAAAACTTGCTTATATTCGTAAAATTTATAAAAATAATTTAAAAAATCTAATTAACCATTTTTTCAAAACTTTTGTTTATATAATGTAACTTATCTCCAAGTTATTTTATGTGCAATTATTTGTATTATGATTATGTTGTATCCCGTATAATATAGAGAGAGACCGAACAAAACCATTCTGATGGAGTCTATGAAAGAAAAAAAATTGAGCACTCCTGATCTAGACCATTCATTCTGGTAATCACATTTGTAAAAATCTTTTGACAATTTTTTTATGTATTGTTGCGATATTACGTATAATTTTTATTTAATTAATTTTTACATTAATGATAGTATTTTTAGGGTTTATTTTGTACATAATTAGATTTCTTGCCACACAACGTATTAAAATAGCTCAACAAGAACACAAGATCTGGACAAAAACATTTGGCAATTTGTCATTTTTGGAGCCCAAAGAGAAATTTTTCCAGAAGCCCATGAAGCATCATGTGGAAGTGGCTCCGAGGTTTTAGGATTCCTCAGTTATCAATTGGGTGTGCAACACTATGGTTAAAAAAAAACAAAAAAACAATTGAAGTATGTTTTAGAGTTTACTGTGAGTGATATATGTTATGTTACAATGAAAAGGTCATTCATATATGCCTTTGATAATGAAGAAATTTTCCAAACAAAATTGTCTTGGATGATGAATAAGATCCTGAGATGTGAATAAGTAGGTCGGCAATAAATGATACATCAAAATGCAGTTAATGCAGTGGAGGAAATGCCTTCAGAAGAAGAGGGCTGGGAAGATGTTCCTAGTTCCCTGATCCAGAAATTTTTGCAACATGAAGTATGGTGCAAAGTTTCATAGAAAATATCACCCAATAAAGCAGTAATATGCCATAGCATAAATATTTGCAATAACAATGCCGTATCTAGCTTTAGGAACATTTTTAAACATAGAAAGAAAAAAATCAAAACAGGCAAAGGCTTAGCAGTTCTCAAGTAGAAGTGAGGTGTATAAAGAGAAAAGGACAGCAGCTACCTGATATTTTCACATAATAAGATTTCCTTTTCAAACAACATTTCGCACCTTCGGGTTCTAAATATGGTTGATAAAACAGCTTTGTCTAGAAACACCATCATGTGTTGTATAGATGACACGGCCAGGATATTAGCACATAAATTGACTGTGGGTTATAACATTGCAAACATTTTTCATCAACTCTGCATGAAACCTATGACAGTGTAGATAATGTGCAGTTAAGCCCATTTGTGCATTACATGAACGATAATTCTGATACTGTGGAAGAGCTTCTCGATTTGCACCAACTAGTAAGAATTTTAAAATGTAATTCAAGTTAACAAAGTAGAGTTGACAAAATTAGATAGTGGTTGCACAGATGGATCACTTGACACAGTTGGCAGGATAAAATATTTTGTTACATTACTTGAAAATTATTTGGGAATAAAAGTTTTTAAGTATCATTGTATTACTCATCAAGAAGCTTTTTGTGCCAAGACTTAAACCCACATTCTGTTGTTGACCCTGTAGCATATTTGCATCAACAAATTACAAGCACAAGCTCTGAATCAATGATGATTTTGTGAGCTTTTCCCAGAAAAAATGGAAAAAGATGATGAGTTTCCAAAGGAAATGTACTCGCAAAATTTTAGAATTTGAGCAAGTGTGTTTAAATATCTGAAAGAAAACAAGGAACTGCCCAGTAAGTGCTTCCGATGAAAAAATGAAGATTGGGATTCAGCTTTTCTTACAAATACTATGGAGCATTTAAAATTTTTAAATTTAAGAGCGCAGGGAAAAGATTGTATTTTTTCTACCCTAGTTAGTCATGCATCTACTTTTGTGAACAAACTTTTTTTTTGTGTGTGTTGATTTTGGAGGAAAAAAGCTTTACAGATTTCACATTAATGCAAAAACTAACTACCAAAGTTAACCCTCTCGCTGCACATCCCGTGATTTCCTCAGGCAGCGTAAAAGTAGCAAAATTTGCGCAACCCGCGATTTCTGCGGGTATGAATTTTTGCCGTCTATTTAACTGTGCAAACGCTCTTTCCCCGTTCAAGGTTTCCTTTCAGTCTTTCTGTGATGTTTAATTGTTTATTTATACATGGACTAACAGATGGCATTAGTGTCCACATTTCTGTCAAATATACAAGAATACGTAATGTAGCATTTTGCGTGCACTTTTCAGAGCTCAAAGATGTCCGGCAGGAAGCATTTTGCGAGTGATATAACCTACATTTCTGATGATATTTCTGACACTGATAGTAGTTCTGATTCTGATTTCAAGTATATTGAGGATAGTTATAGCAAAACTGATCAGAATTTCTCAGATTCCTCTGCAGATAGTAATGAATCTGAAAATTCAGTTTCTATTAAAAACGCTCGACAGTGGTGCAAAATTGATATGCAAAATATCACATCATGCAAATATTTTCATTAGTATATATACTAGTATATATGTTTATCATTTAGTATATATGTCTACATTATGTATTAAAAAATCATAATTTAACCAATATTAATTTTCAAAACTTTCCTTTTATATCATCATTCTTCACTGCCAACCTTTTTTTTATGACATAAGTCTATATTGGAAAAAACTCTTTTACAAAAAATTTTTGTATATTTTAACTCTAAAATATATGTCGATTTGAAATATGTAATGAAAAATATGCAATTTTTGAACCTATTTTGATCAAAAAAAAGTACGCAGTGAGAGGGTTAATAATGCTTCGAACTACGGTAGATTTAAAAATTTAACATCCGTTTTCCAGGATTCATTCAGTACTAGGTTTGATGATTTTAAATGAGATAAAAAAAAGTGCTGATCTTAACAAATTCTTAATATAATTTTCTGCAACACATTGTTACCCACCTGAAACCCAAATTAAAAGTATGGACCTACAGCAGCATACCAACTGAAAGCAAATATAAGAAACTTATTTCAATTGCAAGTGATCCAAATTATGATGAATATTGAAAATTTGTACCAACAAGCAATTTTCCAAATTTACACAATTTCATGTCAGATACTGTAGATTTGGATCAACATCAGTTTGTGAAGAAGTGTTTCCTTTTATGAACTTAATAAAATATCATTCAAGATTAACTATATGCACCTAAAACTACCAGTTTTTTCAGCACCTTCAAGAACTAATCCTAATATGGATGACTTGGAAGAAAAACTAGAAATTCAAAAGCCACGTTTATTAAGGACTGATTGTTTAACCAATTTAGAATTAAATGTTCCAAGTTATTCATTTCTTATTTTATACATAAACTAACTGACCAAAATTTTAAAACAATTTTTTAACAATAAAACCTAAGTTTGTACTTTTGTTTTATTTATTAGATTGTTTTTATAATTTCCACTATATTCAGACATAAAAAAAAAAGTGCTATTTACATGAAAATCCCATAATTAGTTTATAAATAACACTTTCTCATATTTTTAGCATGTTGGAAAAGTTGGAAGTAGCACATATGACTTTTCTTCCAGATAGCGGCACTTTTCCCAAAAAGGTTTGCCACCCCTGATATGCACTATTTTTATTAAAATTATTCTATAAAAAATTATAATTTACTTTTGCATTATACATAAAATTTCGCATTCTTAAGTTATCAGGACTGGATTCAGAAATGTACGCATGCGTTCATGTATGCAACTATATATTGTATGTACATATGTATGTGTACATACACACATATATGCCATATACACACACACATATGTACATTTCTGAATACAGTACCCCGAAAATAGAAGAGTACCTAAAATTTCAGGAAAGTTTGGAACACTTAACTGCATAAAAACTTTTCATTCATAAATCATTAAAAAAAAGCTTCATTGGGACTTAATAGCTTCATTGTTACTGGAATGGTGAAATATATTTATAGAACTTCATAAATGGTAATTCAAAACAGTCTGAGAATTAAAGATTGCACTACATGCATCTAATAAACTTTTATACCTTCAAAATATAATTATGAGCTTACCTTGCTTTTTGAGCAGTCACTAGCAGGATAAAAGGTGGATACTTCAGAAACACTACTAAAATAAATATTAATACATATATTTAATGTGTTTTGTTACTATGGAAAGATAGATAAATTTAAGGCAACAGCTAAAAAAATAAAATAACAATATTAAAATAATAAAACAATTTAAACATTATGCAACTACTAAAAATATGTCCATTTCGAAAACCATTATATAATCATAGAAAAGTCAATTGCATCATGAATTTACTAGCAAGATCTAGAAGAAATGAAAAAAATTTACTGCTAATTACTAAAAAATAAAATAAATTGTCTATACTTATATAGCATAAAATATCTACACAAATACAACTAATTAGACAAAAATGACTTAACAGCTTTGTTTTAGAAAATCAAGACAAATTCTTTCTAAATGAAAGGCTTCATTTTTAGAAACATAATGAAGGCAAGTTGAAAGTTTTGCAGTATTTGCAACTAAGGCATATTTAGTAACACCTACAACAAATTTAACTCATTTAATCTGAGTAAGGCATTCAGTATTATGAGTTACAATGTGATGTTATATTTGCTCTGAATTATTTTTAATTACATCATTCTACCAGCACTTTTAGACACCTAAAACATAAACAACCCAAACTGACTAATTAGGAAACTTTTCGCTACATGAAGTTTCAGTTGAATCAGAGCTCTACAAAAGCAACAAGAAACATTTTATCTTGTGAAAAGAAAAAATCCCTTGAACCATACCACCAGAGTCAAATGATTCAATTAACTACATTGATCATCAGATACAGCAAACTTGAAGACCAGTTAAGTTTTGGCAGCCCAAGAATCAGAGCCTGATACCAAATAATATCCCAAACATAGATCATAACAAATAAAAAATAACAAATATCCAATAAATAAAGAACATATATCATCTAAAACTAGCATATGAAGATAGTCAGGCACTCTAGTCATGTCACGCAGTGTCACATTTTATCAACTTCAGCAATGTTAACAAAGGCTGTTGCACTATATCCCATGAAATGATGCTAGATCAAGCAAACTGCGAAATGGAAGTGTATAAGAAATCCCTGGAAAATTCACAATATTCTTTTCAATGAAGAATTATTAGTAATAAGAAATGGTTCTGTTTCTGAAATGTGAGCACACAAAAGCAGTGAGTAAATCTAAGCAATTTTCCTAAATCAAACATGGGTTTTCTGAACACAAGATAACAGCATCATGTTTAGTAGAATTTTGAGGGAATAATTTACCTAGTGTATTCCAAATACTCACACTATTAATGCCAACCTCTAATCTGATATGCAGTTTTGTAGCAAAAGTACCAGATATTGGTAAACAGAAAGTGGACTCTCTTACATCACAAAACTTTGCACTCTTGCATACTTAACTTTTCATGGATCTTGATCAGAAAAATAACCATATTTTTACCAAAGTATATTCATGAATCAAAGTACACTCATGTCCATAAATTAAGGATAATTCGGAGTCACGCGGAAATCGAACTCTAAAATAAATATATCACCTGTAAAATCACTACACACATCTTCAAGAATCATATGCAAATTTCAGGAAGTAACCAGATGACACCGATGGTACGTCACAATGACGATGATTTTTTACGTGGTAGAATTATCGGCCGTCTGGAATGTCGGCGTACCTAACTGGAAGTATCAGACGAACTTGGAATTGCCTAGAGTGTCATCTCCAGGCTTTGACAACAATTCCAAGATGATGGTAATATGAGTAGACGTTACAGCACAGGTCGCCCCGGAGTTACAACGCCGAATGAGGACCGGTATTTGGCAGTTACTGCCAAAAAGAAACAGGCGGAGCGCAGCCTCAGACCTGTCTCGTCAGCTCTCTTCAGCCACTGGTACGACAATTTCAAGGCAGCGTGTACAGACGCTTAGGGCAGATTGGTCTATATGCTCGTAGACCTGTCAGATGCGTTCCACTTACTGCAACTCACTGTCGCCTGCGGTTAGCCTGGAGTAGAGAGCATGCATTGTGGACACCGCAACAGTGGGCTTGTGTGATGTTTTCCGATGAGTTCAGGTTTAGCTTGCAGTCTGTTTCTCGTCGGACTTTCAAATGTGGAGCTCCAGGTACCCGTTACCACCAAGAAAACATCATTGAACGACACCGTTACGGTGGTGCAGGAGTGCTCGTTTGGGGTGGAATTATTCTGGGTTCCAGAACTGACCTGCATGTTCAAATTGGAACCATGACAAGCCAAATCTATCGAGACGTCATTCTGGAACAACATGTACGTTTGTTTCGGCGCCATGGGTGCACAATTTGTGTTTATGGATGACAATGCCGTCCTCACCGTGCAAACATCATAAGCGAATGCCTTCAATCGGAGGATATCACCCGTATGGACTGGCCAGCATTCTCACCTGACTTGAATCTAGTAGAGCACGTGTGGGACATGCTTGGCCGACAAGTTGCAGCTTGTCAACCTCCTCCTACATGTTTACTGGAACTTCGGACAGCATTGCTTTTTGAGTGGTGTAACATCCCCCAAGATCAGATTGATAATTTGATACTCAGCATGCCTAGGCATTGTACAGACTGTATTGCATCGTCTGGGAGACATACAATGTACTAACAATCATACCAACCATGTAATATTGGTTTTTTGTAAATAGGTTTTTTTTTTTGCAATTTTCTCCAGGGAGAAAAAATCACTAATTTTTTTAATAATATCAAACATATAGCATCTTTTTTTGTTCTTTACCTTTTTGTTTAATAAATAAGCTTTACAAATAAGTCAAATTTGTTTTGCTTCTAACTCTTCCTTTGCCTGATTTTGTATTATCCTTAATTTATGGACATGAGTGTAGTACAGCCGTGAGCTCAGTGGAAAACAAGATTTTCAAAAGGAAAACTAAGCAAAATAAAGATTCTGCTGGATTTTTTTAGCTAGTTTTATAATCTATATTAGCAGTATTCAAACTATTGATCATAACCCCAGTTGCAATAAAAATCCTAAAAAATATGAATTGATGGTACACGGGTAAACATACTGACTGAGGTAATGAAAATGCATTTTGGATCATTTGCATTCTTATAGGATCACACAGCCATAAAGTCTGAATACCACTGATCTATTTTATTCAGATTACTGCCACTTACTATGCACAGATCTTTTGTTAATTTTTTAAATTATGTTAATCTAATATGATAGCATTTATTGGATACCAACAGGGATTACTTGTAAGCAAATATATAAAAGTATTCGAAAAAACCATAACGGTGTATTACAATGATAAGCAATATGAGGAATTAGATGCTAGAAATTACATGACAAAAAAGTGGCGGACGAACTAAGATTCTGGTATGCAGATAGAACTGGAAGAAAAGCTTTTGCCCAAGTATATCATGAAGGAGTAATTAATAATGTCAAATAAAAGGGCATACTAAGGCAACAAAAATTTAAAACATGCTGCGTTAAATGTTTTGAATATGTCTTTTTTAAATAAATAAAACAATACCTCTCAACAGGAGAACTTGATCTAGAGCTACACTGACTTCCAGAAACTGAAAAAATTAAGGATTTGTTATGTATTTCCTAAAGTACATTTCATTATCAGTAGAAATTTAATTACAATATGATGAATATCTATAAGTATATCAGATATAGTACCTCCACTGCTCAGTCCATTATGAAACTAAGCTATGCAGGTACTGTACCATAATATTTCTGAAAAGCCAAAATCTCTCCCTACAGAAACTGCATTTTCTTAAAATCTTTGCAAATATCCTTACCCGAAAAAGAAATTCAACAGAGAAAAGAAATAATAATAATAATAATAATAATAATAATAATAATAATAATAATAATAATAATAAAAAAAAATAAAAAAAAAATAAAAAAAAAATAAATATCAACTGATAGCTTTAATTTCAAAATGCTTAAAAATTGTAAATTAATATATGCTGACTCTGACATATAATTTTGATTTATTATAAATCAAATCTTATATATTTAATGTCTGTGCACTAAATAATGCATTTAACACCTTTTACAGTACACAAAAAAGAATAAAAGAATTTACTGCTACATATAAGTGCACATACTTTTTCCAGTATGGTCATTTGAATATTGTTAAAGATTTGAATTTTTTACTAGTAAGACTTTTACTTTACCACGTAAATAACAGTTTAATGAAAGATATGTAATTCTGTTTCCACCTACAACATTACAATGAGAAAAGAGGAAAATAAGATAGTAATTTCATATGGCACACTTAAATAATGCCCAAAGTCAAAAATAAGAAAGGTCTAATGATGCTTTCAGGTGTTTCTATGAACTTTGCTCTTTAAACATTTATGAAGATTGATTAAACTCATTAGTCATTCACCCATTTTATCATTAGCAGCATTGCCCAGGGTGCACTACAGGAGACAGATATAACATTAACACGAACAGGTGGAAGAACATATACAACAAAGTCCTTTGCAAGTATCAAACCCACACTTTTGAGTTGGACTAGCAATCAGCCTTCACTAATTACTATATTATTTCAGAATGATGAAATATTTCATTAGGAAAATATATATTTTTGACCTTAGAAAGAATAACAACTTAAAACTTTAAAGGATACTTAGTGATTACCTGTAAGCCCACTGAAAAGTATTAACGAAGCAAAGCAGTATGTCGCTCATATAGCTATGTGGCAACCTCCGATGTCACCAAAAAGTATTTATGTGGCAACCCACGTATGCGCATAGCACATCTGTTTTGCCAAGTGCTCAGTGCATATGTTGCATGATGCCGAGTTTGTACAATTCTCTGATGTTTTTGAAGCAGACTGCTGTGTACATGAGAAGAACAACACAAAAAAGAACCTCTCAAAAAGGGTAAGTGGCTTAGTACTGACATTTCTTGCTTTTCAATTTTATTGACTGATTACTCTTGTGTGAAATTCTTGGTGCAACACCATTTTGAAAATGACTGTTGCCTTTCATGTATTAGCTTGGAGAAAAAATTTGTTGTCAATAAGTTCACAACTTTTTGGTGGTGGGGGTAATAATCCAAAAGCACCAATTAAAGTTCTAGACTTGACATGCTAAATATCTAAAATCTATCAATACTTAATTTCTTTCTACAACAAGAAGAAGCTTACAAAATAATAGAAACTACCATAATTTCCAGAAGAAATGCCACGGCGTTTACGTGTTTAAAACTTAAATTTTCAGCGGGCGCAGCATTTCTACCCATGTGGCGTTTAGGTGCACTAAAAATAAAATATTTCCTATGATGGTCATTGTACATAGTTTGGATGGCCTTGCCATTGTGCATAGACTGGTGCTGTTCCCACACAAAAGAACACTCAGTTGCTTTTTGCGAACGTTATTTTGTTTACATTCTTTCCCTTGAACGGACCTACACGCCTTATTCACCCTAAACGAGATCTCAGAACAATAACATTCTTCCCCTTTTCAAATCAACATTCTCATCAGTTTGAATAGTCTCTCTCCTCTTCCATTTGATGAATCTTCCAGGACCCATCCTCTCCTCACCCCAGCCTTTTCTGCAATTTTTTTCAAAAAAAGGCGGACACAACTCCACCTGTCTCACAATAACGAACTCTGACGTATTTCCCCTTCAGCATGAATCGATTTTTCTTAGCATTCTGCCAGACATAGATCCCATCAGTTTTGGTACAAGTACTTGTTGGATAGTTTTTAAGTAAGAAGGGAGCGGAAAAATTTTGAAAATATCACCTAAATGGCACAGAAGCTATACTGCTGGTTTTAAGCTTAATGTAAATTCACATGCTGAACAAATTGGAAATCGAGCAGCAGCTCGAGAGTTTGAAGTGGACGAGAGATGTATTCGACATTGGAGAACTGAAAAAGAACTTCTTAAAAATATGCCACAACAGAAACGAACCAAAAGAAGTGGTACTGTAAGATGGCCAAATTTAGAGGACAACCTTGCAAACCAGATAAAGGAGCAACGAGGAAAGGGAATGGCAATTTCGACTGTAAAAATTTGCTTACAAGCAAAATTTATAGCAAAATGAATGAACATAAATGATTTCAAAGGGCCTTGCTGGTGTAGCAGATTTATGAAAAGAAAAAATATTTCTGTGCATACTAGAACAACAGTCGGGCAACAATTACCAATGGACTGGCAGGATAAAAAGGCATCTTTTCTAAAATATGTGACAGATATTATTGACAAAAAAAAAAAACTTCTTCAGTCACAGATAATAAATATGGATGAAACGCCGTTAGCTTTCGACTCTCCTGCAAACAGAACTGTTGATGAAACTGTTGCAAAAACTGTATCTGTGCTTACGACGGGGTATGAAAGAATGTCATTTACATGTGTGTTAGCTTGTGCCGCAAATGGTGACAAGCTAAAGCCGATGATCCTTTTTAAGCAAAAGACTATTCCGAAGGGAGATTTTCCTAATGACGTAATTATTTGTGCAAACGAGAACGGCCGGATGTGTGAAACATTCATGCATGAGTGGCTACAAAAAGTTTGGCAGTGTCGTATGGGATCTTTTTTCCAACCAAAAGGGTTATTGATAATGGATTCCATGCGTGCTCATTTACTTGAGTCGGTGAAAACCACGTGTCAAAAATTGTCTACGACCGAAGCAATAATTTCTGGTGGTTTGACAAAACTCTTACAACCGTTAGATTCGTCAGGTAATAAATCCTTCAAAGCTGAAGTCCAAAAGAGGTGGAAGTGTTGGATGAGTGAAGGATTGCATACGTATACCAAAAGCAGTAAAATGTATAGAGCATCTTATGAAGAAGTTGCAAAGTGGGAAGGAAGTGCGTGGAAATTAGTAAAAACATCGTTAAGATGGCTTCATATGATGTATAGTTTGCTGCAATTCCTTTTGTAAGTAAAATTTAAAATTTCCTTTTGTCATTCAAATTTAATATTTCGTTGTTGCAACGTTTTTTATAATATACTGAGTATTACAAATATGGACTTTTTTAGTGGGTAAATATAAGTATATAAGTGAAGGTAAATATATTTTCCACATTTCTTACCTTTATTTTTGAGTTATGGTTTCATTTCATGCATTTTTCTTAACTGGTATGTCATATATCAGGACTTAGGTTGAGATTTTGCATCTATACGGCCCACGACGATGTCACGCACAATTTAATCTATTGCGGCGTTTCAGTGTAATTTTAATTTTTTTCCCGTCATTTTTCTCGAGTGCGGCATTTGCGCTGATGCGGCCTTTCTTCCGGAAATTACGGTACATTCATTCGAGAAATCACAATGGTAAATATTACACAGTAATTAAACTTGCAAACTTTTAATAATTATTACACACACATACTCATATACCCTCAAGAAATCCTCATTGCATAAAATACATCAAAACTTACAATAATTGTCACCTAGTTGCTATTTCATGATTAAAAAAGTAAAATAGAAAATCTCACCTTGATCGTCATTTGATATCATAAAATCTAAGATTTCTTCATTCCCATCTTCGACCAGTTGTTCAAGAAGTTGGATATGAATAGTATTGCTATTTGTGGACTGTTTCAACTTTGCTTCCATTTCTTTTATTGTGGCTTCCTTCTGGAACACTTGAAATGTCTGGTAATGAAAAAAATTAGTAAATTTTTTTGGGCTGTGCTATTAAAATAAATAAGGCTTGCTGAGACAAAACACTAAATATCATTATACCTCTATATTTTGATTTAACATAGACAGATTGAAAAAGTGATGAAACGCTGCCCACTAAAAATTATCTGTGTTGATATATTATATGCAAATTTAACAATATTTTTTTTCTATTTGTTCAATCTATCACAATTGAATTACTTTGCAACATTTTATATTTTTACAACAGTGGGAAGACAAAAATATAAGATGAAAATTAAAATAAATTCAGCCCTTCTGTAAACTATGGCATCACAAACCTATTTTTTTCTAAAATTTATGATTATATTTTAAACAATATAAATTTAAAAAAATTAACATATTATTATGAGTTACAGATTCATAAAGATCTCCTTAATGATTATGCTAGGTGAAAAGAAAGAAATGAACATTTTATTGAACAAAATAACAGTTCATAACAATATACACAGCTATAAATAGCATTAGCAGAACAACAGAGATAAAATAAATTCTACTCAATGAGTACGAAATATAACACAAAGTAATTTCAAAAACAACAGTCACTGAACAATCGAATTGCACATTTCTGAACTCATTGTTTGGTTAACTTCCCACAGCTCAAATGCAGCCACATATAAAGGGTTGTTCAACTTTCTGGAAGCTTTCAGAAAAATTGCTCTTTGGATTCCCAAAATGCATTTTACGGAAACTTTTAGAATCTCACTAAGTTGGTCAGAATTCTCTAAATATCTTGCTTATAATTGAGCTAGTTACAGAATTTAAAAGATGTTCAATTCAGAATTACAAAATCTGCATCACTATAAATGAAATAAATATCACACATGGCCATAAAATTCAATAATATACTGATTACATATATTTACAACAATAGATAAATATTTCTGTAGATATTAGTATTTGCAATAATGAATTAAATTGCATTTTGAAGAAACAATGACAAAAATTTTTTTGCAAAGCTCTGCAAGCATGAAGGATGTAATTCATGCTAATTCTTATAATTGACTCCACAACACTTAACAATTACTTCATTTACACAACTATTCATTAAATCGATGAAACTTCTACACCACATTCAAACCTTCAACACTCAAAAGTAAAAGCAATGTGTGTTGCCAGTTGGTCACGCCGGCAGCTATTAAACAGTGTGATGTCAACTGAAGGCATGTGCAGCCGATGACCACAGCATACAAAAAGCTACCCACCTAAGGAGAGAATGCCCTTGCGCAGGACAACACTGATTAAAGATATTTTTTAATGATGTAATTTATGTACACTGTGGAAAAAAAAGGGGGAGACAGAGATATCTCCCGTTCTGCTGGGCTGATTGATAAAATTTAACTAGCATTTTTCATGTCTCGAAAGCGCGACTTAGGATATGTATTAGATATATAATAGCATTGTTCTAACATAGGTATTTTGACGCAAAATCGGACTCTTTCTGAAAAAACATACCAATTTTTTTCCATATTTCGATTCTACAACTCGAATTATGCCTAGATTCTACGACTCAAATTATGCCAAATTTTGTAAATTTTGGTGCGAAATTTAGGGACAAACTCAAAACTTTATCTTGGCACAAAATTTTCAGTTTGCACCAAGAATAATTCACTTAGCGAACTTCTTAATATATGGCAACGAATTCCATTATTCTAACCAACCATAACCATTTCCTTCCATTATGCCAGAGCAGAAAAAAAGGCACCTCATTCCTACCTTTTTACATCATACATGAGCAGAAAAAAAGGCATATTGTTTCTACTTCCAAATAATTTTAGCAAAGTGTCTAAACCACATCTGAGGTTTTATCGCTTTCAACAAATATGCCAAATTTCAAAACGTGCCAATATATAAAATTCATGTATAGCTTTGGAAATTTTGAATTAAAAACTGTAATTTTTTGCAGGTATGCTTAGAAATACGTCTGCTTTTAGATGATGCTAAAACTTTTACAGATTATAATTCTAAATGTTTTTTGAAAAATTTATAAAAATTATTTTAAAATACAAATTTTAAAAATAAATCATACAAAATGGGTGAATTTTATTTGAAATGAGCCTAAATTTCGAAATGTGAAAGGAAGAATCAATTAAGTTCAATAAAAAAAGACAGATTAATAAATATATACAAAACTCAATTAACATTGAGGAACTAAAATGATTTAAAAATTACTTGAGCGATTTTTACAAAGCTTTGTAGTTTGGCGTAATTTGAGTCATAGAATTGAAATACTGAAAAAAATTGTCATGTTATTTCAGAAAAAAGTCTGATTTTGCATTAAAATACCTATATTACAACAATGCTATATATAAATCTAATACACATCCTCGTGCTTTTGAGATATGAAAAACACAAGTTGAATTTCGTCAATCGGCCAATTAGAACAGGAGATATAAAACTATCTTTTCTTTTTTTTTTTTTTTTTTTGCACACTCCTTGATTACTGAATTTTTCTCTTGATAATTCAATGTTATGGAACATGCAGACGTTCGGTGTGTAAGCTTTCTTTATTTAGACTTCTCTAGTAAGGAAAATAAATTGTTGTGATGGTAGTACAAGCTAGGGCATTAAAAAAGCTTTGTAAGAGCTCTCTAAAGAAGGTTTTCAAGAGCAAAGTAAATCTTTAAACAGTTTTCAAAAGTCTAAACAAAAATCAAATGAACAAGAAGATTTTAATACCATTACTGCAGCTGTAAACAATAACACTTTCGTAAATGGAGAAAAAGAGAGCTAATATGAATTGATGATGACAAAGAAGAATGTATATTTAAATGGAATGACAGAATGCACAGCATTCTCTTCTCCACTTCAGTTAAAAAACATCTGGGGGGATTGAAGAGAGCCAATCAATCAAAGGGAGAGAGAGTCACATCTGATGCCATCAGCTGATGGCAAAAGAATGTTGGAGGAGGACCCATTATGACTCATGTAGGTGTACATAGTAAAGCTGTTAGACAAGGTTGCTGGAGGCTTAAGTAAATGTCAATGAAGTGCTTCTTTGTTATCGATTTAACACGTCCACTGGATAATGGTGTTTTGTATTCATCAGTGGAGGAACTCCGCTGAGAGGCAATTTAAGGATTATAGTGAACTTGTACTCCTTTGCAGAATTTCTCTGCAGTTGGTTGGATGCAGCTTTGAATAGTATTAATATTTAAACTGTTGTGAAGATGGGTGTTCGGGATAAACCAGGATGCATTTGTCATTTCATAGGGAGCATTATTTTGCAGGATCTGGATTCTGTTTAAATTTGTCTTGGCTGCATCTTCCAAATGGGTCTAGCATAAAGAAGTGCTGGTCGCAAAATAGATTTAAATAGTATTATTTTTTATAGAGAGAGGTTGCTTTTTTTTCCAAGTAGCAGTCATACTTGCCATGGTTAAGTTAAATTTTTGCTTCATTGTTGTCTGAAGTTAAGCTTGTTACCTATAATAATTCCTAAGTACACTCTTTTGCAGTACCTAGAAGTACCTATAAGGACTTTTGCAATTGTGATGAAATTTGGTATGCAAAAACATCTTGATCGAACATGCAAATGAACAGGAATTGTGATCATAGCGCACACTTCTAGTGTGCAATTCGTGTGTAAAACCAGTAACAGAGGAGGAAAATTTAGCTTTTTTTGTTGCTGCCACTGTAATTCCATAAAGAAGCAACTAAAGATGCCATTATGACCATATCAAAGACCTTACAGACAACTAAACGACTTCGAACGTGGTCTCATTGTAGGGTTGCTGGGTGGTCATAACGAGCAATAGGCCACCACCTGCAGCATACAGACACTGCTGTGCAAAGATGGCAGCAATGGTTGCTACAAGAAAATTGCTGATGAAATGAAGGTTCTGGAAAGCCAAGGAGGCGATATGATGCGACAAATGTGAGGCAAGATATGATGATTGTTCACCAGGCCAAACCCAAACCGCCCCAATGGTATCATTGTAGATTATTCAACGCACTACAGCCACATGTATACCTCCCATGGTACCATCCACCATCTCACGGCACTTGTCTTAGGCAGGGTTATGCTTACAGAGGCCTTTAAGATGTTTGCCTTTGACCCACAACATCAACGGATTTGTCTGGAGTGGTGTCACAGCCAATCATCATGGCTGCCATCAGACTGGCACCGTATAGTATTCAGCGATGAATCCCGCTTCACTCACGGGGCCAGCGGTCCCAATCAGCCTTTGTTTTACAAAGGCATACAGCAATAACCTCTGGTGTGATGGTGTGGGGTGCTATTTCTTATGATAGCAGGTCATCTTTAGTCATCCGACGTCATCTTAACAGCTCAACGATATGTTGATACCATTCTGCGGTTGGTCAGATTAACCTTCATGGCACATCATCCTGGGGCCTTTTTCGAACAAGATAATCCCAGGTCACATACCACTCGCAGTCTCCGTGCAGTTGATATTCTTCCTTGGCCAGCAAGGTCACCAGATCTTTCACCAATCAAGCATGTCTGGGACATAGTAGGCCATCAGATTCGGGCGCCACAAAATATCGCACATCTGGAGCAACAACTGATGAGTACCTGGCAGAATGTGTCGCAGGATGACATTAGGAACCTCTACCACTCCTTGCCTCGACGAATTCAAGCATACATTGCCGCCAGAGGCAGTTCGACCAACTACTAATTTGAACACTCAATGGGTGATTGTGAGCTGTGAACAGGTACTATGACCTTGATTTTTAATCATTTTATTAACTGTGTATGAGCTATACACATATGCAGTTTCATCAAAAACAACCACTTCCTTTATTGTGCTTCGATTTTTTTGCAAAAGAGTGTATTTAACTTCTAATATTCACTGAATGGCATCATCAAAGAAATTGGTTTTAGGAGGATTTATTAAGGAATGTTCTTTACGGAAAATAATGGCTTCCGTTATTTGAATATTTATTGCAATTCTCAAGAGTTTTAACCATTCTTCTAATCTACTGAGATAATTTTGTGTTGGAGCCAGAGATTTGTGAGAGTTGTAGCATACGTTAAGATTGCAGTATCGTCTGCTAATAGTGCTATGGAAATGGCAGAGTCCCTTGGAATATCAGAGGCGTATAGTGCAACAGGCAAAACAGAGTGCCTTGAGGCATTCCAGCTATAATGTTTCTCTTTGCAGACCACAGTTTTCAATTTTTACAATAAAAGCTTTATTTTCTAAGAAGGAGGCAATGAGACAAATTAGGTGATCTGGAAAGTTCAGTTTAATTAATTTAAAGATAAGGCCTTTGTGACATACCCTGCTGAATGCTTTCGCGACATCCAGGAATATGGCACCTGGAGGCAATTTTGCATTAAAGACATCCATGATATAATTAACCACTCTAAGAAGCTGGTGATAAGTGAACCACTCTAAGAAGCTCCTCTTAAAATCTGAATTCCTCCTGCAGGATGAATTAGTCAGAAGGAATAATCTTTTGAATATTGTACATAATAATTTTATCAAACTTATAGGCCTTCAGTTTTCCAGGAAAATGGGATTAGTTTGAGGCTTCTGAAATAAAATTATTGTGGTATTCTTTCAGAATTGTGAATAGTAGGAAAATTTGATAATATTACTTATCATTTTGGTGAGACATGTAACAGTGTTAACTGGCAGACTCTTTAAGGCTTTATTGAAGATTCTATTGTGACAAGAGCCATAAGGAACAAAAGTCACCAACCCGGCAACAAAAAATTATTGCCAAAACCCAACAGAATTCAATAACTTATAACCCCAGTTGGCTTTGAGCTAGTTTCCCATTTATCTATTTGCACAAATTACGAGCACAGCAAAATATTGAACCAAACAAATAATAATATGAATGTGTTTAAAATCCTTTATAAATATGGAAATAAAAAACAATTAAAGCTCTGACTAAATTAAAGCTTTATCTACAGTTAAAGCAATTAAACTAAAATAATTTATCGATAGTTAAAGCAATTAAACTAAAATTAATTTAATTTTGACAGCAAAATCATTAAATGGAAAATATTATATTTATTTAATTAATACTCAAAAGTGTTAAAAAAGATTAGAGAAAGTTTTAACTATTTAAAAAAAATGTTAAAATAGAAGTTTCTTTTAATTAAGTTTCTAACAGAATTTAATTTTTTGGTGCATGATACATCAAATTAATTTGAATTCATTAAATATACTATTATGATACATGCTGTAATAGGCAATCTAAAAGTAGCTACATTATAAATGACTGTTTTATATTGATGTTAAGATCTTTACATTGCATGAAACAAAGATCTGAACATTAGAGCTTTCATCAAAATGTGGGACATAAAAATTCACATTTCGCAGAAGATAATGCAAGCAATTTGGCAAAGAGAATATTACTTTGTAAATAAAAATTCTGCAATGAAATTTATAGGATTTTCAGAATAATTTTCAAGATATAAATATAGTCTAAAACCCAAATAATTTTTTTAAGAAAAAGGAAAATTAAATACCTGATTTATTGCCATATTTATTAACTTGCCTAATAAATATCTTGATTCACTAACAGCAAGACTGGAAACTAATTTTTCAACATCTAGAACATCAATATCTTCCTATAATAACAAAATGAAAAACTTAAATAATGCATTATAGGTATTACATAAAAATACTTTGTATAGAAAACAACTGCACTGAAAACATACAATAAAATTAGATACAATATATGCATTTAATGTGACTGCATTTGCGGCCACCTATTCTGATAACATTAAATTCTGAGCAAAAAATTTTAAAAATCTGAAACAAAACATTCCCCAAAATATCAATGCAATTTTACTACTAATGGAAATCTTATAATTTAACACAGTATGAGCACTGTGTCATCAGTAAAGTTTTGCAGTGCCACTCTGCAAAGATGTTGTTTCATAAAAGATGTTGTTTCCATGTGACAGAAGCTAATATTTAAAATGCATACACTTTTCACTTTCTTCTAGAAGTAAAGAAAATTTACACATATTAAAAGTTAACACATGCAAAATCTTAAGAATTTACTGAATTGACAGCATTCATTGACAGTAAGATTAGTAAGCAAAAGTATTTTTTATAGAATTTTAATGCAATACACTGCATATACTATAACATTTTAATAATACTACTGATTAAATTTGAAATAAAAAATTAAAGATCTTTTTACAATTTTTCTAAATTTGAAATTTAAAAAAAGTTAAATATTTTTTAACCTAAAGCTTCACATTAAACTCACTCATTTTATACTAACACACACATTTTAATCTAAAGTTTCACATATTTTTTTCCATCCTGAAAACAAGACAAGAGAATCTGAAGTACATAAGATGTAAATGATGAAATCTACAATTTAGCAATTAGCAATAAACCCATTTTAAGATTACAATTACTAAGGCGGTCAAAATGGCAAGTTTTTCCCTTTGGTAGAAATAGATATATTTGAATCATTAGTAATTCTACTGTTACAGAAAATGATTTTTAGAAACTAATGTATTGGGTTGGCAACTAAGTAATTACGGTTTTTTTTTTTAGAAAATCAAAGACAATTTTTTCATGGAACTAAATAACTTTATCCTGTAATGTATTGCCCATTTTGATCAATGACCTTTTGCCATCTTTCAGGCAGCCTCATAATCCCACGTTCATAAAACTTCTGGTTTTTATTAGCAAAAAACTGAATCAGGTATGATTTGACATCATCATCATTATTGAAATTTTTACCATTCAAGGAATTTTGTAAAGATCGAAGCAAAAAGTAATCAGATGGTGCAAGGTCAGGATTATATGGTGGATGTGGCAAAACATCCCAACCAAGCTCCAATTAATTTTTGCTGAGTGACCAAAGATGTGTGTGGCCTTGCATTGTCATGATGGAATACAACACCTTTTCGATTTGTCAATTCGGGGCGGTTTTCTTCAACTGAATTGTTTAATTTCATTAGTTGTTCAATGTAGACATCAGAATTGATCGTTCGGTTGGGTGGTAAGAGTTCAAAGTAGACAATTCCTATGTAATCCCACCGAACTGATAACAAAACCTTCTTTTGATGAATATCAGCTTTTGATGTTGTTTGAGTTGGTTCATCTGGCCTGCTCCACGATCTTTTCCGCTTGATATTGTTGTAAACAACCCATTTTTCATCGCCCGTTATCAGTCGTTTTAAAAATGGATCATTTTCATTACGTTTCTTTAGCAAATCGTAGCTGTTAATGCGTTGCGTTAAATACGTTTCTTTCAGTTCGTGAGAAACCTATGCATAGAGTTTTTGAACATAGCTAAGTTGTTTTAAGTGATTTTCAATGCATGTATGTGATACATGAAGCTTCTCTGAAATTTCACGTGTTGTACTGTGACGATCCGAATCGATTATTGCTTTGATTAGGTCGTCATCAACTTCAACTGGACGACCAGAGCGTTTTTCATCTTTGAATGAGAAATCACCAGAACGAAATTTGGCAAACCAATTTTGACACTCCCGTTCTTTTAAGGCTTCGTCATCATAAACAGCACATAACTTTTTATGAGCTTGCAATGCGTTTTTCCCTTTGCGGAAATAAAAATGCAAAATATGACGAAAATGTTCCTTTTGATTTTCCATCCGCCAAACGAAAACTACACAACCGATCAAAAAACGTTTTTTACTGATTGACAGCTGAATTGCCAACTATCAAATAACAAAATGTGTTTTACATTTGTACTACGTCTGCAACCGTAAAAATTCAACTGAAGCCATCTATGAGTGAAATCCGCAATTACTTAGTTGCCAACCCAATAGATTAAGCAAGAAAAGCATTAAAAAGATTTTATGGAGTATGCAAAAATTAAATGTAAGCATATAAACATTAACAATTCACATAAAAAAATACATTAAAAATTTTAAAGTACTTTATAAAGACATAGGTATGTACAAAGAAAAGAATTATTAAACTTATATACAAAGTGATTATAATTAAAGTTATGATGTCAAAACAGTCTAACTTTAAAACTACCAGTCAGAATGACTTTATATTTTACCAGAACAATCGTGAAGCAATAGAATTTTGTTTGGCGAAGGAAAAAAAAATAGTTCAAAAATCTTCCAATAGATGGCGCTATCAGGGGCAAGGCACAATCGTTAAACACAGGAATGTTGTTAGCTGAAAGGAAATAATAGACTCCAAGGTGAAAAAACGTGTTCACAGCGAACAGTTTAAAGAATACGTGTGTACAGCAGAAACAATAATAGTGACAGAGAAAAAGAGGAGCTTCATAAAACAAACACCTTACAGATGATTAATGCATAAGTTGTTCGATATAGCCTCCACCTTGTTCTGCTACTAGTCGGAAGCACAAAACGGCATGTTCCACAACAGTTCGGAGGGTATCTGTGCTGATGCTATGAATGTGGTGCGTGATGCAATGTGGTGCGTGTGTCAAATCAGCCAGATTCAAAATCCACCTACTGTAAACAGCATTCTTCAGGTATCCTCAAATCCAAAAATCACACGGGTTTAGTCAGGTGAACTTGGCGGCCTTACTCTTGGATTTACACACATGGTGATTTATGATTTTATGAGCAATCAGCAGCTGCTTCACACAAGTAGCAATGTCCGGAGGAGCACCATCTTGCATGAATATAGTGCAATCCACACACTGATGCTGCTGAATTGCAGGAAGGACATGGTTAAGAAAAATGCTTCGTCCTTGACAAAAACAGTGCAGTTAAAGGGACCTGCAGGTGTGATCTCGAAGAACGGATCCAATGGATAAACGCTGCAAATATTCTGCACCACACAGTGACCTTTTTAGACTGAAGAAGTAATGGCTGTAGCAGGAATGGATTCTTGATCACTGACATCCTGCAATTTTGAGTATTTACAGAACCTTGCAAATGGAAATGGGCTTCACAAGACCACAGAATGTTCTCTGGCCATCCATTGTCCACTCCCACCTGGGCAAGAAATTATTGTGCAAATGAATCACATGTTTTCTGGTCAGAAAGAAACAACATCTGCATATGAGTTATCTTGCATGGATAACAGAGCAAGATGTTCCATAGGACATTATGCACCACGCTGATAAGCATATCCAACATTCGTTAAATTCCCCATGCACTGCTGATTCCTGCATCACTGTTCGTCTATTCTTGTAACATAGTGGCCACATCTTCCACTGCCGCCAGTGTAACTGATTTTTATCCTCTGCCCAGTTTCACATCAGACAAACCAGTCTCTGAATTTATCTATTATTTTCTGCAAGATGCAAGTGGTCATCGGGCCAGATTTTATGCTTTTGAATGTCCAGAACTTTCCGATAGCTGTTAACGCAGAGCCACCGTTCTGATAGAGAAAAGCTCCACTAGCAGATCGCAAGCCTTCTTTGTCAGTCACCATGAAGCGTTCAGGCAAAGCATTACATATTCCACTAGTGTTCTGCATTTTTATCACACCTATGTCTGTGGTGCACATATCAAAACTTAGGAATGTGCATAACTCCACTACAGCCATGTGAACCCTGACAACACCATCTATCAGCATTTCGGAACTATTTTTTTTTCTTCACCAAACAAAATTCTATTGCCTCATGAATGTTCTGGTAAAATATCAAGTCATTTTGACTGGTAGTTTTAAAGTTAAAAGATTTTGAAATCGCAACTTTAATTATAATCACCTTGTATAGGCATACAAAGAAAACATATTATATACAGACAAACTCTAAACAAGAAGGAAACAAGAAGGAAGAAATTACCTTTGCTTCTTCCATCTGAACAATACTCGACTGGCATTCCTTTATATTCTCTTGACAATAATCAATATTTGCTCTCAGTGTTTCAATGTTATCATCAAAATCTTGTAAAATTTCTGCACTCTAATTGAAAAGTAATTCATTGTTTATTTACAATTATTTTAATAATTGTAGAATAAAATACAATAAATTCTGATCAATTTTACTCGCTAAATTAAAAGCTATTAAACAGTACATGGATATATAATACTTGGATAATTACTATGGAAAACAAATTTGGAACATCTGCATTATAATTCATTTAAATAACTACATTGACAATTTTATTCATACTCATTGTATCTTTTTTTCCACAGTTATGAGCTAATTAATCTGCTGTGGTAATGAAAATAAACAAGAACATGCAGCTGTTTTATAGTTCACTCACATAAAATAATCTTTTGAAAACTAAGAGAACATCATTTCTCATGTGGTAACTACATTTTGATAGTTATATTTTATGTCTTGTGTCAAAAAATACCCAGCTGCAAGATAAATTATTTGAATAAGTATGGTACAAATTAAAGAAGTAGTAACTGCCATTTCAAAAATGAACCTAATAATTTTCAAATGAATTAACTCGGGGATGTAACTAAGCTTTGGACTAATTAATCAACTGCGCGCATTATATATAAAAATGTAATTGCCAAGAAATTTAGAAAATACTTTCCTACAGAATAAATTTTTCTTTAGACGTACCCATTAAAAAAATTATGAAACCTGTAGTTGCATAAAAAGTGATTACCTATTTTACATCTATTTTATGTACCTACCTATATTATGTAGCACATCTATATCAAAACAATACTCATTAACTGATCTGTTGTATGAGGAGTAAATTAGTAATATTAAGGGATATGAATTTTATAGTTTAGTGTCAATAAATAATACTACCTTCTTTTCTACAGCAGCTTCATTTCTTTTCTTCATTAAATGCTCCAGTTTTCTGGTTAGTCTATCTCTTTCCTTCAAAAAGACAGAAACTTTCACTAACCATTTAACATCTTACAACAAATAAATACAGGGGGCTTAAAATAGTAATAATGAAAAAGAATTAAACATATATATTTAAAATAAACAATACAATAGTCTTTTATATATATAAAAAACATTACATAATATAAAAATATAACAAAAAGTAAATGCTACCTTTTAGTATTAATCACAATTTATTTAATCACTTAAAAGCTGCTTCAAACTGTCAGTAATTACTGAAAATCACAATTTATGAGAATAGTATGTAAACTGGTACATGAAGAGCTAAATATTAATAAGTGAATAAATTTTAAGAAAACCAATGACTTAAAAAAATAGTGACTCTTTGCTAAGCTGAAACCCAAATTAACCTTTTGATGGTTATCAACAATCTCAGCCACAATCCAGTTATGCACCACAATGCGTGCAAACGAACTAGCTCACATAACAAATTTATGTAATACTGCATGTATTTGGGAAGAAAGAACTGCTTAATCTGCTGAAAGGTCACCTTTGATGAAGAAAACAAAACCACCTAGGTCTCCTCAGCTGAAAAAAAGATCTATTTGTGTTAAGTGATGACTTTTGAAAGGCTTTGTGAAACAAACTTTTACATCTTACCAGATACTAGATTGTTAATGAATGGTAGTATTAGAAACTATAAGAATTCAATAATTCATTGAAATGCAGTACTTTGACTCCAGCAGATGATGTGGTGTGTATGAGCAGCATGAAAGATAATGATTTCAGAAAATGTTAATTAGGAAGTATTTAGGGAGACATAAAGCGTCATAAATTTCTTCTGAATAAAGCTTTTCAGAGAATGACTTGAAGCAATGTTGTATTTTTATTATTTTATTGCACATCTGCATTTCACAAAAGGATTTAAGGCTTTTGTATATGTAACACGTACAGTACCTACTTGCATTGCAATCAAATGCATTACTCTCATCTTTAATTCCTGTTTATACATAAGATCATGCAGACTACACCTCTTACATGAATGTGTCAAAGTCTGATCAGCTTCAACAACAATTTTTTACAACTTAACAGCATTTTCAGTATTTACAAACTTATTCTCACATAGCTAGGTAATAATCCTCAAACGTGGCTTTGACAGTGAACTAATATTCATTATTGTTCCAGCTGCCCTCTAAAACCCCCATCATCATCCTTCTGAGTGTTAAATTATACACAATACACCATTCACAACAATAGATTAGATTTCCAACTAAACATATTCCACATAAAAATCTCTTCTAAACTAGTTTTACAAAAGAGTTTCCATGAAATGTGGGTTACTGGGTCTGGTACGGTTTTTGATTTAAAAAATGAAACCTTTTAAGATCATATTCTAAATCTAAATCACAAATTTTGTTATGATGACTGGTTTCATTAAACATGGTCTTCAAAACGACTCCCTTCACAAGTAGTTTTGGGATATTCCATAGGGATATCATACAAGATCAGCGACATAAACTGTTGATGTATTGCAAATGGAATGCCATTCATTTTCAGACTGCTATTTCATACTTTCATGGCAAGGCCAATAACTGTGGTGCTAAGATGTTCTTTCACAGCAAGTGTTGGTGGCATCCTGGACGAAGGTCCCCTGAAGGAACCCTTCAAGGATGGTCAGCACATCATCACTATTGCTGTTTTTCATATGAGTATGCATAGGTAAAAGGTAAAGTGTTAAATAACAATTTTCTCCAGCTTTGATGTGCAAATCAAAAGTAGTCAAAGATAATATGAAATTAGAAACTAAAAATACATCTCAACTGAACTGCAATAGTTTATATACAATGTCATTTATTGCATAAAGCATTCAAACTATTAATCATTATAAAAATTGAAAAGGAAGTTATAAAATTCTGTGGTAGCACATTAATACTTACCCTCAGAAATACTGCCCATAGCTTGAAATTAAACATGAAATACATTTGAAAAATATATATATTGGTGATTCAATATAAAGATAATGCATTCAAATACCTTCAGATATCGTTCCATATCCCTTTCAATGTTATTAATGCTCTGCTTGCTTATAACAAGTTGATTAATCTGCATAAAAGGGGAAAAAATATATCACATATTTATTGCATTAGATTCTCAGAGCAATAATCAAGATCAGAAATAGTTTCTCAGATCAGCATAAATCATATAACAAATTATTGAGTCCTTAAACTCATATATTACACAATAAATATAATTTGTTTTCCTATTCTTAAATTTTCAGAAATAAAACTTTACAAATATATCACTTAAGTGCCTTTTATAACTAACTTGTTTTGTTGTTTTATCTCAATCTACAGCATTTTTATTTTTATTAAATTCTTAAATTCTTTTTGACTTCATTAAGATATTGAGCAGAAGAAATAAAAATTAATACTGCTCTGGATGACAAGATTTTTAACTTTATGCTACATAAAATACCATTTACTTATTTCACTAATCATAAAAAAAAAGTTTAGCAAACATAAAATGCTGCAGTTTGAATAATAAAAGTATTATTTAAAATTTTATCTCGGAGAAACTGGGACTTAAACATATTCATATTCATGAATAACTATTTTTACAAACTTTTTAAACACCAATAGATGTAATCATAAAAGAAAAACAGAAAACATATCACATTGACAAATATAGCATACTAACACTCTTTTCAAGGTTTTGCCATCTTGATTTTGCAATTTTAGGGGAGAAAGGCTGCCTTCTATTAATTATAAATGCTGCAAAAAGTAATAATACACATTAGAGATATACATCAGAATAATGAAAACAGACATTTGCATAAAAAATGAAAAATAAATATATGGAATGTCACATACTATTACTCTGAGGCACTCTACCAGCAACACGATCAGACATAGGTTTAGCAGATTTCCTCAAAGCCATCAGTTCTTCCTGCTTCCTCTTCAAAACTGTATCTTTTTTTCGTTTCTCAGCTTCTAGTGTACGGATCTGATTCTCTTTAAGACGGCTCTGCTTTTTCAACTGTGCTATTTCTCTATTTCTCCTCTGTTCAGCTTGTAAATGCCGCTGGTTATCTTCTTTCATTTTGTTGATTAATCGTACCTAAAATTTAAGAAAATGTAGTCATATAATTTCTAATAATTTTTTACTGACACTTTTTTGACACCAATAACACTTATTAAAAAAGATGTTGAGAGGGAGAAAAGCCAAGTATATACAAAATAAATGTGTAATCACCATTAATAATAAATGATTTAATTATATACAATAGATTTTCAAATATAAACAAAAAACTTCATGCTCTACTGTAGTAGACTTCAGTGTTTGAACTCGTTAAGAGTAGAGTTAGCTTTTCTTTCATCACTCCCATTTGTTGTAATTAACATGTCAGAGCAAAGTTTTACGAAAGTCTTGCTCAATGAATCATGATTAGATTTATGACTAATGAAAGTGACATTATGTCTAAAATTTATTCAAGACTTAAAAAGCATCTCTCTCCATTTAGAATGGTACAAGTCTTTTTACAAAAGGTTGGTGAAAGTTGAATAATATACTCATCTGCTGAGCACCTTAACAGATAAACTGACTTTGTGCCAAACACTAATTCATGCTCACTAGAGAAATTGTTCTAGTTCATACAGTAAATTTTGGTATTATGCAAACATTATTTAAAAATCACCTTAAATTTACAAATGTGAGCTCCAGGTCAGTTTTCTTTCTTTTTATGCCTGCAAATAAAGAAAGAAGATTTGCTGAACCTCTTGAAAGGGTGAAGTAATGCCAGGTCTAATAAGTAAGCTATTAATGCCATGCAAGAATAGAGCAACATACAGTCCACAGACAGACTTTTATTCCTTTGAAATTATGAATCTTTTTGAGTGGTGGACCAAATGCATCGCAATGTCAATGAATTCCCGCTCATATTTAATAGTCCTTCATATAATAACGTAATAAAGAGCTATCTACTTTGAAATAATAAAATAACTTCATGCACAAGGGGAAACAGGATTGCATTACATGTATATAAAACCTACATGTAATGTAACAATTTCTTACATTGGTACTTGAATCCCAGTTTACTGGCTTCTCTAGCTCTGGTAAGGATTACTTTTCTTCTCACTTTTGAAAGCAGAATTTCAGCAAGGTTTCAAGAAACTGCAAGTACAATCTACATCTACTTCTTTCAGAGTAATAATCGAAGCTCATTATTCAATGCTAGATCATTTAAAGGATTTTTATGCGTATAGATTGATCAAGACTTTCAGCTAGGACTTCTTTCATGCAGTCAAATTCTATGTACCATTCAAATATTAATTTCTAATGAATAACTATCATAAGGAAAAAAAAATCATGCATTAAATTTAAATTCTAGATGACTGCAAGGGAAAGTCAAAACAAAGTTGATAAAAATGTCATAACCAAAAAATTTAGAAATAGCAAAAGAGACATTACATAAAGGAACAGAACAGCTGAATTACACAAAGCAAATGAAAGGAATCAACTGGGGGAAACCTAGATGCACCACAAAATTCTAACTGGTGTTGCTGAGTTTAACCAATTATTTCCGTCTTTTCATTTTTTCACTTCCACCAACACCTCCAGAAGACACAAATTTTAGTTCAGTAAAGTACTTACATGTGACGCATTTACTCCCACTCATTATTCTGAAATTCACAGATTGGTGTGATTTGGCTATAGTACACATAAAATAGTACCTCTATGATAACTTGTGGCTCATAGCTAATGGGCTGAGAAATGAGAATTTGGTTAGCCTTTTTTAACAGTTTCTTATTCGTATTTATATGATTTCTGATGACAGTCTTAAGTTTTGAACTTAAATTCTAGATTTTTATTAGCAAGAAGTTTTCTTTAATTTTTCTTTCCCCCACCCCCACACAAACATAAGTTAATCTTATGTTTGTGACCTGTAAAAGGTAGCTAATAAATTTTTGTACTTTCTGTTGTAATCAGCCAGTAATAATAAAAATAAAAGTTTTATTCTATTGTTACCATATGAATTTTATTTTTTCTTTATTTCAGTTAGCACACATTACAAAAACATGAAAACTCATTTGGAAGCAATACAGTTGTCTTAGCCAATCAATATATTGCCTTGGCTGTTTAGAAACCAATATACAGTCTTGGCAAGTATTGCATTTAGCTAATTTGAGTTAAAATTACAGCCAGAATCTCCAATATTACATAATGAATTCTTTTACTAAGCTTCTTGAAAGATAATAATTATATAAAAGTACGGATAAAATGCAGATTGCCTTTATTTTTCATAATTCAAACATATTCTATAATTTATAATTACTAAACTGCTTAATTTCTCCCTTTTTATTTACTACTACCTCAATCCAAGAATGCCCAATCATTTCAACAAACACGTTTTTTTCCCTAATGATGATCTTAATAGACAGAGAAACAATAAGACCATATTATGTTGGTTTTCTTAATACAATAACAAGATAATATTTTGAATATTACATATCAGCAATAAGACAACTGGGAAAGGTAAGTATAAAAGATAATTATACTAAAAATCACAGTTACATTCACTATTAGAATAAGAAGAATTAAATTCAGAAGCAAAAATCATTATTAAACACATAAAAATATATTTACTAATTACAATATTCTGTGTTTATATTTTAAAAACAGCTTCTCACTTTTGTTTTCTTCATTTCAGCAACTTCATTCTTTAACTGATGAATATGTCTCTCATACTGAGCTTGATTTCTCATAACTTGAACGTGCTCTTTCTTCACTACCTGCATTTTTCGCAGCTCATTTTGAAGAGCATTCAGTTTCTTAGAATATTCTTCACGTATTTTTTGCACTTTTTCATCCGACTTGTTTCCTTTATTAGCTTTAAAAATAAATTTAAAAAAAAAATAATAAATAAAAAAAAAAAAAAAATAAGAATATTCTGATACAAATAAAATATTTATATTTTAAATATAAATCTTATCTAAATCTGATCTCTTGCATAAAATTTTGGCTGGAAAAATAGGTACTTTCTGATTGTCCATACCACCCTAAAAAAAGGTGCCTACTTGTTGGCAACTAGCTTTTCGGCAAGTTAATATACAAATGCTTAATGTGGTTTTGCACTTTGCTATAATCTTCAATGAACTGCAACAGTTATTTTGAACCTTAAATTTCCAAATAAACTTTTACTAAGGATCAATCACGGGAATTTTTTTATTTTCATTTTGATTAGTAATACCCAATAACTATTTATTAATAACATATAAAAAGCTCATTTTTAAATTTATAGAGAATATTAATCAAAAGTTTAAACACTCGTTTTTTCTCTTCCAAAAGAGTCAATTTTTACCTTCAACATTCTATCATCTACTATTTTATTTAACTTTGTTTTATATGTGATGAAATTTATTTTGCTGATTTAAAATTTGTGCATCATATACGCATTCAGTACTTCTGAGTACATCAAACAAAATAACAAAAATATTAAAAACTTGCCGTCTTCTACTAAAATTTTTAACAGCGACAAAATTCATTAAAATATAAGACTATTATCTTCTTTTCTGCATGTAGCACAGGCAACAAATAAAAATCATTTTGAAGATGTTTCTTGACCAAAGGTATTTTGTGGCCTTTATTATATAATAAATTTCTTAAATAAACTATTGTTTACATTTGAAAGCGTACCCAATTATCATCAAAGAAACTTTTTCAAAGCAAAGTATATTTTTATGTAAACAAAGGATTTTGAATAAACACATTTTTAAAAGTCAAATCATGATTTCTCAATATCTGGATTCAAATCATTACACTAGGCTTTGGTTTTCTTAGTTTAGAAACCTGCATTTAGAAATTGCATATAAATTAGGTTGGTTGGTTATTTAAATATGGCAAAGCATATGGAGACTATCTGCCTAAGGGAAGGAATGCCTTCATGCAGGACTTGTCTCATGAAAAGTAGCTTGTATTCACACTGCACAAGAGGAAAATCACAAAAACCATACAGCCAGCTCGTTCAGCTGCATTGGCTTTTGGGACAAAATATCAGCAGTCTTCAACTGTTTGGCCACTAGTGGGACTGCTTAAATTAAAAATCAGGTTATTAGATTTGTAAAGTAGCTTATGTTGACTAGTCAGTTATTATGATTTAAATCTTTAATATAGCTTCTCTTTTCCGTATTCGTCCCACAATGCAAATATGCTTTGCATATATTCTAACATTTTAAATGTTTAGTTGAGGCAACTTCTCGCAATCATGTTTTGCTGTTAGCATTTTTAGCCAGCTCCTTTTAAAAATTATACTCTGGTTTTAGCATCCTTGCTAGCCGATGTTTTAAATACACACCTGTAACAGATATGAGCTAGGTTTTTCTATTTAATGACTTAAATTTTACTATAATTTATAATTACTAAACACTATGTTCCACAAGTACAAAGAGAAATTTTGTCTGTAGTATATTTTGTGTCTTTAAGTTCAAACTGAGAGTAAAATACAAAAAAGTTACTTAAACCTTCATCGGTATTTGTTGTTCAAAACATAGCGATAACTCAGTATTTGTCTAATAGAGTTTGTAGAATTTTAACTCTAGTTTCTAGTTATATTAGCTACTCTATAGATTCTAATTTGCTATTTGATTTGCAAATATTTAAAGTATTATTATATTCTCAGGTATAAATAGCAGAGTTTTGTTAATGCATTAGTTTTTAACCTACCAAGTTGTAGTGCAAATGAACGTTCAGTTATATTATTGTATTTACTTGGTGCTCTTGGAATCTAAGCTAAAGATGGAAGAAAGATTGAAAGAAGCATCACACACTAAACAGAATAAGCTAGCTCATATATTTTATCGGCGCATATTTAAAACATTGGCTAGCAAGAATGCTAAACCGGAATATAATTTTTAAATAGAGCTGGCTAAAAACACTAACAGCAAGACACAATTGTCAAAAGCTCTCCCAAGTAAAGATTCAAAACACTCAACTCAAATATGCACAAAGCTGAGCATGCTGCAGAAAACAAGCTTTTCAAAAGCGAATACAGTATACAGTGAATAAAAAAGGGAGGATGATGGCAAATGAATCGGCAGAATTTCAGAATTTAAGGCATTACGAAAATAAAATATTTAGGTTTTTTATTTAGGTATTTTTATTTATTTATTTGCCAAAACTTACACCTCTTTATATGTTGATTGTATATTTGATTTTTGTGATTTAGAAAATGAAAAATTTGAACTTATTTGGAAATATGGATAAAGTTTCAACAAAGTAAATAAGGGATAATAAAATTGTATGAAGTAAGGGCACAATGCTAAAACTGTAGAAAATTGTATGCATACCATTCTAAATTAAAATGCAGATAATGGAACTTTCTCATTTATATAGCTTTTCTGAATGGCCCACTGAAAAATGTATTAACCTGATTTATAGTATTTTCTCTTTTAATGTAGAATGCAATCTTCAAAGGTATCATGATAAATACTGGGTAAAAGTATTATTAAATGAATAATTTTTAAAAGTGTTATTATATGATTACTGGGTAAAAGTACTATTAAGATATTCTTTCAAAAGAAATGCTATTGAAATAAATAAGATCAAATTTTAAACAACATTTATATGAATAAACATGTTTAAAGAATAATGTTTCAAAAATGTGAAAGAATAAACTGAAATTTTTAAAATAACTATTTGAAGAATTGAAACTTAACCATGCAACTCAAATAATTAAAATGATATTCTAAAAAGAACAAAAAAGTCTAATTATAACCAAACATAATCTGAAGTAAAAATATATGCACGAAAGGAAAACATTATACGTTTTTACCACATGTGCAAAATGAATTGGAAATTGAAATTGGTTGCCATAAACTGGGGGGCTTGGCAAGTGAATTATAGTTAGCAGATAGCAAAAAATGGCTGCCAAGGTAAATTTCTAAATTACTGATTAAATTATTTTAAGCATAATCTGAATAGTAAAATTGAAATATGAAAAAAAAATGTGCATGTCATTTCAGAAAAAAATCAATTTCGTGTCAGAATATGTACACTAGAACAATACTATATATAAATCTAATATATATCCCAAGTCACACTTTCCAGATATGAAAAACATAAGTTCAGTTTTGTCGCCTGACCCAGTAGAATAGGAGATATACAGCTGTACCTCACCCCCCCTTTTTTTTTTTAAACTTAAAACTTTTTCTAACCTTAAAAAAAAAAAAAAAAAAAAAAAAAAAAAAAAAAAAAGAAAGAAAGAAAGAGAGTGAGAGAGATTTGCATAAATTCAGCATCAGCATCTTGCACTCTGCTTGCAATTTTTCATACTGCATTTATATAAAATCTGATCTTTTAAGAAATACAACTTCATAGAATACAAATTTTTACATTCTTTACTCTTGGTCAAAATTCCATATTTCTGAAGTAAGATAATGCTTTCTTTTCCCTCGACTGTCCTATAACAATTCCTTACAAGAAAAATAAACATAATCAATGAAAAAAAATCAAATTTGAGGTGGAAATCTCTGTCTGTTTGCAGCACATGTGCCAGACCTAGGCTGCTACATTTTGGCGTCATAAATACTTTTCACAGGGGTGAAGATAATCAGGAAGAAGAGAACAAATATGGAGATGGCAACCATTTAAAGAAAGTGATTCCGTATATTTTCAAGATCATACCCCCCTTTTTTTTGGAGGGGCATTCAAATATATAAAACTAACTATATATATACTATTGCAATCAAAAATATAAAATATATAAAATACAACAGCTGAATTTGCGTCTGTTATTACTCCTAGCACCCACAGCAATAATTTTAAACAAGAACATATCAAAACACTTAAAAAATCTTAATAAATTATAAAAATAAAATTTTTATTCCAATGAGTATTTCAGAAAATTAATAAATACTACCACCATTATGCATCTGATATAACATATTTTACTACAAAATATGTGATTCAGATTTCATAAAATACCCCCAATCCACTTATCTAAGAGTTGGCTGAAAAAAAAACTTTCTACCTACCTAAGAGTTAAACAAATGTTTTAAAATATTCTTGAAAGGCAAAAGATAATAAATTACAATACTGAAAATTTAGATACAGACTTAGCAGAAATTTTCATGTATAAAAATGAAATAATTTCTACTATATTTTAAAAATAAAAATAAAAATCTACTATATTTTAAAAATAAAAATAATACACTAACTACTCAAACTTGCAAGCACTCGATCTCTTTCACATTCAGTCTCCTTTATTTTCTGCTCCAGTTGCAGCAACTTTTCTTCATAATGATGCCTCATCATGCGTAGTCGCTGCTGGCTTTGCTCAAGAGCTTCAATTAACTTTTGTTTTAGAGAAATATCATGTGTTAACTGGGCTAAATCCCCACTGTACGTTTCTGAAATATATTTAATGATAAATTTTTAACAGATGTTTAATATTAAACATATATAAACAAAACAATTCATGAAATGCATATACAGGCAGTCTTTGATTTTGGTGAATGCCATTCCAGAAGTCCTGTCTAAGTTAATTCTGAAGTAAGTCGTGACTTATTTTATTCTTGATATCCATGATATCTTTATAAATTAGACTTTTAACATGAAATGGACTTAGGAATGAATAAAATTACACAAATTTATAAACAATTCATTTATATATGCATACACACATATACGTATTTAAATACCTGTATACACTGTGTTTACTCATGGATTCTCCACTTTCCCTACCAATTTTACTGTTTGAAAAATTGGAAGGCAAAAAATATGCAGAACATAACTATTTCTAATGAGACGGCCCAAATGATAAACATGGCATATTAAAAAGCACACATAAAGACACTAATATTATTCTATAATCTAGTTCAAGGGACTTATTAGTATCAAAAATATTATTTTTGCTTGCATAAAATAGGTTTCAATTTGTGCACACATTTTACACTGTTACTATAAAGCAGAAGTTTTTACATTATATGCTGAAAACACTAGGGGGAAATAAAAATGGAATAAATATGCAAATAAATATGGGTTACATTATTTAAATTTCAAACAAATTGAAATATCGTATTCAGATATGGCAAAGTAGAACCAAAAGAAATTAGTACTAAACAATGCAAATAATTTAGGTTAAAATAACATGTCGAATAAGGAAGTCAAACTACAAGAATCAGCATTATATTTATAAATTTTGCAGGACTAGTTTCGATGGTTTAACTACAGAACCAAATCTTCCTCGGCTGCCAAAGTGTAAATGAACGAGATAAGATATGGTGACAAGATAAGAATAGCTGCACAGGAGTTAAGCTACTGGCAACATCTATTAAACTAAAATATAATTTCCTTAAAGGTGGAGGATCATGTCTTTTTTCCTCTCACTTTCTAAGCTGAAAGAGAAGGGTGAATGTCAAGTTCCATGCTCAGAGAGAGTTAAACGCTTATCACTTTCAAAGATCTCTGGGTAGGTATGTAGTATGTAATATATGGCTTTTAGATGGTTATTTATTTCTTATTTGGGGCCAAAAAAATGTTATTTTTAAATTCGAATATGTAATTAAATGACAGGAAGAAGAAATTATTAAAATGGCAACCAATTTTAGTGCCATCATTTAAAACATAAATAACTAAAAGCAGTAGATCCCATATTGCATGACTACCAATCTTTGTATTAAGGATGTGGTTTCTTCTCCCTTTCCCTTTTCATTTTTGTTGCTTCAGAATTTGTTATAACAGCATTCATAAACCATAAAAAGAACCTTGTGTTAGTAGGAATATTCCGTATTTTTACAAGATGTTTTAGGGTTATTCATATCAATATGTTAAAAAGGTAAAGAAGCCTGATTGAAGAAGAACTACAAAAGCTTCTTCAAGAGCTTGTGAAGTGCTGAAATATATAACATCATAAAACATATAATAATAATACAAGGTACTGGAGACAATAATTATCATGTAACTTCCTTTCCATTCTTTTCCAAGTATATACACTACACAATTTTCTCCCTCTGATTTAAAGGCTTTCTGTTATAATAAAGAATTTTCATGATTTTGATGATATAGTAAAACACATTTACTCAGTAAAATATGGGTACTTATACATTATCGTAACCACCTTCCTAAAAGTTACTAAATTCTGGCAATAATGTGAATAACAGTTCTTTAGGTACCCATATCTACTGCAATTCACTGAATCACATTTTTCTTTTGTATAAAGACTGCCAAACTATGTCAAAGTGGTTGTGTTAATATGCAAGTGCCAAAATATGTTCTCTTAGTATGGTTGTGAACCCCCCCCCCCCCCCCCCCCCCCCCCCCCCCCCCCACCCCCCCCCCCCCCCCCCCCCCCCCCCCCCCCCCCCCCCCCCCCCCCCCCCCCCCCCCAGGTTTAAAAAAAGTCAAAGGGTATCAGCACAAGTCAAAGCACAAGTATATATGATGCTTTCAATTGTTGTCTAATTAGTCTTACCACCAACTCCTTCCTTTTGTGTAGTAAAAGCATGCCGCTAAGTTTTGATGACATTGTGCCACCAAAACTGTACACAATGTCCATTGTTGCAAATAAGAGCTCACTTATTGAAAAGAGTCAGAATTAGGCAAATAAATAAATAAATAAATAAATAAAATAAAATAAAAATAAAAATAAAAAATAAAATAAAATAAAAATAAATAAATAAATAAAGGAATTTACAGGTGTCAGAACCCAGGCACAGAAAGGTTAAGTCAGTAACAATATTCATGCTAGAAATCATTTTAGAGATGAGAATTTATGAAGCAGAGTTACTTATATATATTTTTTTCCCATCAAATTGTAGTAGAGTTACTTATATATATATATTTAATTCAAATATCTTTATTATGACTATTAACAATTTATTAGCACCTAAGTATTTACCTGCAGCACTTTTTTCTTCAGAGTCTGATTCATCAGAGCTCTCATCATTATCATTATCATCACCACCATCATCATCTTCTTCCTCATCAATATCTCCATTCATCTCATCTTCTCCATTAACTTTTGATTCTCTATCCTAGAAAATATTGCAATTGGAATCACTTGTATATTTGATCATACCTCATATGTTTTCAATCAAATTATCAACATTATAAATGATTTTTAAAACTACATAAAGTCAAGAATCATACAAATCACTGCAGAATTCCATGAGTATTTTAGCAAAGTTAGTGAACTACAAATTATGATCTAAGCAAACAATATTGTTCACAGACTATACAAATTATGAGGAGCATATAATCATCTTAAATAACATCACTGAGTATTATTTATGAATTATACGAAAAATAATACACTAATCAACAGCTCTAGCTAATCAAAAATTTAAATCCTCACTAGCTTTCATTTCTTTCCTTAAAAACAATTTTGGTCTCCAAAGAGATCTAGGCAGATTATCCAAAAATTTGCAAAGCATTTTTCAATATTAAATCAAATCTATTATTTAACTTTGCCTAACTTTGAAACTGGCATATTTTACATCTACTACAATTTGATGGAAATTTACTTAAACCCTGTATTTCCTCACTTAATCTCTTGCACTTTATATACATTATTTCTTATTTTAAGAACAGATAATAAAATATTCATGACAAATATTATGAAACACATTCTATATTTTGACCACATTAACTAATGTATAAATTTTAATAATAGATGTAGAAAAGTTCACCTCTGAAGCATCATCTTTTTCCTTTTCATCATCTGCATTTTGTTTAATTTCTTCATTGTCTTTTTCTGACATACTAAAAAGAAAAAGAAATTAATATATAATAAAATTTCATTCACTAACTCTGATAATCATAAGAATAAAAAAATTACTGATATTTCAAAGAAATTGTTCTAAAATGTAGAGTACTGATAATACACACAATGCAAAGTGCAGCTAAAGAGCAAAGCTAAAGATAGTGCTTTTAACATACGCTGAGCTCACAGCGAACAACAAGAAACTGAGAGCAAATGCTCTCTCCGGCCTTATATAGTTTCCACCTGGCTGACGAGATACACTGACTTCCAAAAGTTAAGCACGGAGAAGAAAATGCTAATTTCTGGAAGCCAATCAAAATTGAAGAGGAAGCAATTCGCTGCAGAGGTAGATGGAAGTATGCAAATATGTTAGGTAACAGCCAATCGTGCTTTCATGTCAAGAAATATGCAAAAAAAGGCAGTCTTATAAGAAGCCAGCTTTATGAAGGGTTACAGTTATGTTTATGGAAACAATTCCAAACTACACAGACAGTTGTCCGAAGGCCCATAGCCGGTCACCCAAAGGTTATAACCCACATGAAAGATCGATGTATTGCTAATGTCGCCAAGCGGAATCGCAGAGCGTCCTCCACACGTGTGACATATATGGTTACAGCATCTATTGGTAAGGCGATATCTGCAGCTACTGTATGCCGAAGATTACATATGAGTGGACTGTATGCCGGGTACCTAGAGTTTGTGCCCCTCTACCCGTCCAATCAAGAAATGCATGATTATAGTGGTGCCGGGAACATGTCAATTTGTCTAACTGGGGCAATGTCATGTTTACTGATGAGTCAAGATTTGCTCTGGAGCCAGATGACAAGTGTATAAGGATATGGTGTGAACAACGAACACGAAATCAGTCCCCAAACATCACCGAACATCACGCATTCCGAGGCGGAAGAATTATGGTGTGGGCAGGGATTTCTTTAAGATACTGCACCGACCTGCACATCTTTAAACGGAGTTCTCTGATGGCTGTCCGGTATCGAGATGAAGTCCTACAACCCATTGTGAGATTGTATGCTGCAGCAGTTGGCCCTACTTTTGTTTTAATGGACGATAACGCACATCCCCATAGAGCTGACATCGTTGATGACTACCTAGAGAGTGAAGGGGTTGCAAATATGGCGTGGCCAGCATATTCGCCCAACCTTAATATGGTCACAAGGTGTAATCTTTGTCTACAGATGAGGGGGAATCACATACTCTATTAATGTCCTTTTTTTTTTTTTTTCATTTTATGCTGTTTATTTTCACTTTATACATAATTCTGTTTACGTCTCCAGTATGTCATTACCTGATAACTTACAAAAATTTAATATTGTTTTCATTTCTGTATATAACTATTGATTTTGTTGTATGCATAAATATATATGCTACTTTTCTGCCAAATTTTGTGTCAATCAAAGCAGTATTTGTTGATTTTTTTGCATTTTACATCTTTGTGCTTAACTTTTGGAGGTGAGAGTATTTATAGTACTTTCTGCTTCGCAAAATTACTGGAAAGGTCAAATTATGGTTACAGCTAATATAGTGATCAATTACATTTATTCAATTACAGTAACTATTACAGCAATACAGGGACCAGACTAAAATACTGGCAAATTGGTCACCAGGTTTGGCGAAAATTGCCAGCTTGGTGATATTTCGCGAAATTACCGAGACACCCATTTAGTCAATATTAAATGGACTTGTCCCTGTATTCTTACTTTTCCGATATAGCTTTTTTAGACTTTTCATGTTACATTATGCAGAAAAATACAATTTAATATATAATTGCCCTAAAATAATCTATCCATATACAATATTCATAATACTATAATAAGTTACCAAAATGGAAAATACTACCAATTTATGATATGACAGAGAAAAATAAAAATATTTTATTTTAATATTATTTCTTAAATATAATTTCAATAAATTACCAATATTTTAATGACATTTATCAATGTTACAATGTTTTAAAAAAATCGTTGAAAACTTTTCAGATCTTTGAATTAAAAATTTTCTATAGAAAGCAATCTTAAAATCGAAAAAATGTTGATAAGTCAGCAAATTTAGACCGTTTAATGAAAAGAACAAAAGCAAAAAGTTGTTTAAGAGCTCTTCATTAGAAAAAATTAAATAATTTCAAAATGCTTATCTTTCACTTTTTGCCAGAAACTAAAGGATCCCACCATTTATGTTAGAAGCAGGAACTAATTATAACCCATGAACCTACTCACCCATTAAAGATAAATGTCAGTAAATCATCAAAAATACTTCTCCAGAATACTAATTCATGCTCAAACGGGCAGTCATAAAAATAGACAGAAATTTCAAATGATCAACTTCTGCCGATTTCGGCCGAAATTAAGGACTTTTAGGGACAAAAAATTTATTGCATAAAACCTAAGGACCCTACAAATCATGGTATTTAATACATAAACTACTTGTGCAAGGTTCGTACTCACTTCCACACATGGAATCAAGTATAAATTAATTATTAAATTAAGGACCATCATTGAAAAAAATTAAGGACATATCAAGCAAATAGGAACTGAATCAACTTAAGAAAGTATCTACATAGCCAAGTTGTTTTAAGTGATTTTCAATGCATGTATGTGATACATGAAGCTTCTCTGCAATCTCACGTGTTATACTGTGACGATCCGAATCGATTATTGCTTTGATTAGGCTGTCATCAACTTCAACTGGACGACCAGAACGTTTTTCATCTTTGAGTGAAAAATCACCAGAACGAAATTTGGCAAACCGATTTTGACACTGCCGTTCTTTTAAAGCTTCGTCACCATAAACAGCACATAACTTTTTATGAGCTTGTGATGCGTTTTTCCCTTTGCGGAAATAAAAAAGCAAAAATATGACAAAAATGTTCCTTTTGATTTTCCATTTTTCAACGAACGCCAAACGAAAACTATGCAACCAATCAAAAAACTTTTTTTTACTGATTGACAGCTGAATTGCCAACTATCAAATAACAAAATGTGTTTTACATTTGTACTACGTCTGCAACCCTAAAAATTCAACTGAAGCCATCTATGAGTGAAATCTGCAATTACTTAGTTGCCAACGCAATATTTTACACTTATAATATTCCCATATATTCTACAGAAGAATAGTGGCTTTTTATTTAAATTTTACTAATAGCTAGTTTTATACTGATAGTTTCTTTTATACCTAATTTCATCATGTATTTATTCAGTCCATAAGTATATGCAAATTTAATGTCCAAATGGCATAAGTTAAACTGAGAAGTAAAATAATTATCAGCATGGCTCATAACAAAAGTTTGGCTGTTGCCACTGCAGTTGGTTGGTTGCTCAGAGACAGAAAGCCATTGATTAGAACAAATGTAAACGCCTGACATTGGAAAGAGTTGAAAGTTAGTTGCACTTTGTCTGATCCAGCTAGTGTCATAGCTTTGTGTAGATTTGTTCGAGTTGGAACCCAGTTAATATACAGTATTTAATAAAAAGTTAAAATAAGCCACTGAAGTTTCAGAGATGATAGGTTGTTTTATATTATATTAAGTCTCATTAGCTGTATGGAATAAGTTTTTATCTTAATTTTTACATTTTTGTGTTGTATCTGCATATACAACATGGATTAAATTAAGGAGATTATTTATTTTAACATGTAGAGATAACTTCTAAGGCTGAGCAGTTAGCTACAAATAAATAAGTTATGTAGTTAGACACTCTTAGTTACACATAGTTACAATTTTTTTCTGTTTCTGAAAAAATATCCATTAAACATGGATAAGAAGATTTTACAGAAGTTATAATTTATGATATTGATTCTAAAATTTATATTAGTACAACTATAAATTAAAAGTTACACAAAATTTATGTTTTGTAACTATAGCAAACAACAAAATGTTTAAGTGTGTTTTTAACTTCAAAATTTTCAAATTATTTTAGCTAATTTACATCCACTTTCCTCTCTTTAACACCTTTTCTAAGTTTATTTGGTTCAATAAACAAATCAACATTCCCATGAGGCTCTGCTTCATCTCCTATTTTATTAACGTTTCAACAACATACCTTTGAAGAATAATTTTTTCTCTCTATATATAAAAAAACAATTTCTTTTTCAATGAACTTCTTCATTTTAGAATTTTCAGATTGAATTAAAAGATTTTTGTTATTCTAAAGAATTTATAGAAGAGACTGCTAATTTTATTTCTTTAATAATATAAGTATTGAAAATAAATATGAAATGATATATGGTCAAGACTGGCACTAGAGCCAGTGTGACAGAATTTTTAAAATTTAGTAAAGCATGGAGCAGCAAAATTTAAAGCAAAATTTTTAGAATTTAGAGCAGGCACTCAGGTAGGTTATGGTGCATTGAGACATATATGATGACTCTCTTAATTAATTGTCAGTTTTCAATTTCTTTGCTTTCTCTGATTGCTTTGATGCTTTTATCTGGTGGAAAAATAAGAAAATAAAGGGAAGATAAAAGATATTAAGAGAAAGACTTCTGAGATCATAAGGAGAAAATTCAAATATTTTCTTTTCATTGTTCTTTCGAAAATTCTCCAAAAGATAACTAATTCATCACAAATTTCTTGCAAAACACATCCACTGTGAGTTAATACATGAAGACCCTTTTCATTTCATCACACTGTTCTGGAAATAGTAGGTCTATAAATCTACCCTTCAAAATAATAAATTATAGTTATTGCTTTTAGATCTTTAGAAGTGCAAGGTCTAAAATCCGAAAGAAAAATCATCCCTACAAACTCTAAAAAGGGCGAAAGATTTTTGAGAAACAATTCAGGAAAGTTAAAGTGAATTTTCAAGAGAAAACTGATACACATTTCAATATTCTGAAATAATTACATGGGAAACTTAACACGGCAAAATACGACAACAACAGCAAAAACAAAAAGGAAAAAAAAAAAAAAATCTTTTTGAATAGTTACAGAATTTTTTTTTAATAAGAAGTGCTTCAGAAACTGTGCTTTGTAGCATTTATTATCTTGTTTATTTTTCAGAATCAAAATATTTCCAAGTCACTAAAATGGAAAGTAATGTCACTTTAAAATATGCCAGGAGATAATAAAAATAATTTTATTTGAATTTTAATTTATTATCATTCATTTTATGATATTTATCAATGTTGTTATGCTTGTAAAAAAATGTCAAAATTTTGCAAATCTCCAAATAAAAATTTTTGCATACAAACTTATTTTGAAATTTCCAAAATCTGAATAAGTAACCACATATAGTGCCATGTAATAAAAAAACTCATATCACCAAAAAAGAAAAGTTTTCGATGTAATATTTCACATGAACTCATCATTTGCAAAAAAAGAAAAGTTTTTGATGTAATATTTTATATGAACTCTTCATTCACAAATAAAAGGAATTACATTGAAATGTTAATTTTTTAATTATAACAGAGCCTCGTGCTTCTAAAACTTAAATATCCATCATTTATATTAAAAAGTAAAATAGAATTCACATGTTAACCCATCAAATACATATTTGTCAATATATCACCACAAAATAGTCCTCGAATATGTTAATTCACAATCAAAATGGCAGTCATTAAAAAATAAACAGAAATGTCAGATGAGTAAAATTAATGACTTTTTGCTAGTTTTGGTCAAAATTAAGGACTTTTAAGGACCATATGAATCCTGTTATGTGTATCGGTATCAATATGTTTGTTGCCAAAGCAGTTCAAACATGTAAATAGAAAAGTACCTAATAAATTCTCATAAATTTAAGGGGTATAAGAAACCCCTATACTGACAATGTTAAATTGGCCATTTTCGATGTACCTTTTCTCAAAATCTGCTGTAGATACAAGCTTGAAATTTTTTTCTGTAATTAAAGTATGCCTATCTTATCATGCTGAAATGAGCTTTTGAAACATTTTGAATTTTAGAGTAAATTACAGGATATTTTGTTAGGCATAATAAAATTTAGCACTTTTCTCACACAAAAAAAATTTAATTTTTTTTTCTAAGTTTATTACAAAAAGCTCATTTCAGTAAATATTAGGGAACCTAATAAATAAGCCATAAAAATTTTAGATACCTGTGAGCAGTAGTTCCTGAGAAAAGGTACATCGAGTATAAAAAAATCACGTTTGCAGAAAAATGCGTTTTTACGTAAAAATCCTCATTGATCAAAGCAGTAGATGACAAATTAAAACTAGATTTTTTTTTATAGTTCTAATTTTCATAGAGATTAAAGAATGGTATTTTAAAAAGATAAAAGTGTAGAGAATTTGAAAATGCAAAAATCCGAAATCACAGTTTTTTGAAGATTTTGGGGTTCCAACTCCCCTTAATCTGTTCTGAATTTTCTTTTTTTGTAGAAGCTTTGAAAAAATGCAGGCTTTTACCTGCATTTTTTTTATGTATAATCAATTTAATTTATCCACAATTTTAAGAATACACTAAAACACATTGATGAAAATGGCATTTAGCAATTTTTTCCTTCAAAAATACAAAAACGTTCTCCAATTTATGGCATTTAAATGATGGCACATAAAATAACATAATAACCCATTAAAGAGTTACTATAAAATATACTACAATAATAAAGTAATACAAAGTGTACAACACTCTAACTTACTTTGCAAGTTTTAAAGCTTTTGCTTGTTTTGATAACAATTTAATTTCTTGTTTTGCTTCATGAATTAATTCATATGGTGAACTTGGATTAATATCAAACATATGACTCTCTCTACCTAAGATCGATGGGCTATTGAAAGAGGTACGAGCTTGATTTCTTGCTAATTGCTTACGTAACTGTGAACATGTTTCTTCAGCTTCAAGCAATTTTACCCTGAAAATCATTTATTGGATATTTTAAATCTGTAAATAACTTAAACACATAAATTATGAAATATCTTAGAGGAAAAAGTATAAAAAATAATATACCTGACAGAAACTATGCACAAGATCAAACGAATATTTAAATTGTAAAAAAAAAAAAAAAAAGATAGACTGTTACCTTAAGTCCTCTATTTCTGCCAAATAGCCTTTTATTAGTTCTGTAATTTCAGTTTGAGATGTGTTTTCTCCTACATGCAATATTTAACATCAAAGCGTTAGCTTATATTGCAAATACATGCTGTTAGTATACATTCAAAACTAGGCATCATTCAAAATTAGGTATGAGAACACATAAAATTAAGCACAAGAACAATCCATGAATGTCTTAGACAAACAATGTAATAACAAATCAAAATCAATTAGAAAAAGACTAATTTTTTTCTAAATTTTGTTGAAGAATTTATCTTAAAAGGGAAATAAAAAGTTAGCATCCAAAAATACATAAGGTTATAATTACAGAAAATCTATAAAAAGTGCATATGATGTTAAAAGAATTGAACTCGAAGATGTAAAAAGGGGCTATATGTCAAATTTTACAGAAACAACAAAACAAAAATCACCTTTTCACACAAGAATGTCAGAAAGAAATTAGAAAACACCGAATTACATGGATCCTAGTTACATCGATCTCATAATTTTCTGTTGTTGATTTCTGAATTCTTGTGAGGAATGGGCTAGTTTTTTTGGTTGCTCCTGTAAAATATGACTTTTATCACATATTCTTTTTTTTTTACATCTTCTGATTCAATTCCTAATTGATTATTCATAGCAAAAATTAAAAGAATTGTTTAACAGGAACACAAGGAAAATACTTCAGAGGTAAAAATTATTTCCCAGCCATGAAATGGTGCTGAATGGTTGCAGAAAGTAAACCGTATTACATAAAAAGTTACTTTTATAAATGTGAATTTACTTAATATAACTATGTTAAATCTTACTTTTAATAATAGCAAAGCATAGTAATCTATGTAAATGTAGTTTAAAATGTTATTAAATGTTTATTAGGTAAAAACTGCAATAATTTATACCAGCAAAGCTTTAAGTGCTTAAAAAAAAATTTCAGTAAGGTTTGATGCTCTTGTTCTCAAAGAAATTTCTATAAAAATAATGGGGTGCATCTTTAAACAAAGCTTTATGTGATGTACATATCAAAATGTTACAATGATAAAACAATGACTAACAACATAATTGCAGAAGCGTTGTATAAAGGCACACTATAAACTTAACATGTTTATGCATTATCAAGTAGATGAGCACATGCACTGGCTTGCACAGGGAAAACGTACATCACCTATCAATAAGACACTTAAAACTATCCTAATGAATTTGATTTTTATAAAAATTTGCAAATTACATTCGACTTCTAACCATTTGGCTTTAAGTTAGCATATTACCTGTAAACTTCCTGAAACGAATGCATAATTTTACAGACATTTAATTAAGAAAGAATTAATTATCAATTATTTTCAATAATTATGATAAATTTTCCATGCACAGACTTTCAACAACAGAACACTTAATAAGGACTTCAATATTCATGTTAAACCACTGTTTATGATAATAGTTACCTTGTTCATATCTGAAATATGATAAACTTTTACTTATACAAACCTTTACTTTTCTCTAGCATATTCTTCAACCTAAGTACTGAATTATTTTCTCATGGAATATTTTTAATGAAAACTTCAAAAGATGTAACAACAAATTTACTGCCATTTTGACCCCCCTTTTTTTTGCAAGCAAGATTCTTTCCTAATATAAACCGACATTCTTTCACAACAAAGGTTAAAAGAATTTTAAATTTAAGCCAGCATTCAAAAGCACAAATTTTATCTAGCTGGATAAGGCTTAGTGCTAAAACAAATTCTCTAATACAGCAATTCAGGTTATTGACAAGAAGAAATTAAATTAATAAGTATCATTTATAGTAAAAATTAGCATTATTCTTTTTAAGAGGCAGGGGATAGGCAATGTTATCTGGATATAAAAATTTAAGCAATATAAATCTCACCCTCTTTTCATGAAAACATTGCATGATTACTGCTATGATTTTACTGAATAATTATTCCACTAGATCAGCGGTTTTCAACCTTTTGACTAACATGTACCATCTAAACAAAAATTGAAAACTTTTAGTACCACTACTACAAAGTACTACTGCCACCACCACTCTTGAAGAAAAGCTCAGATCACATAAATTTACAAGTGCTAGAGACAAAACTAAATCAGGATGTTGGGGTTTTAATTTTTGAATTTAATAGTAAAAAATACTTTGCTTCTTTGCGTACCACCTAATTTTTCTAGTGTACCAACAGTGGTACCCATACCACCGAATGAAAACCGCTGCTCTAGATTACATGAAGCATAAAATAAATGCTAAACTGTTGAAATTTTTTATATCTGCAATTTAATATAGCCATACAAAAATTATGCTTTACTGCTAGGTTTAGACATTTTATATCAGCAATTTATTATGTGCATGCCAAAATTATGCTTTATTATTAGATTTAAAAATTAACAAATGCTTAAACTACGTAAACAAAGTTCACAACCTTGTCATGTAAACAACAATTTTCAAAACATAGAAAAATGTTGAACCATCCTCCAAGCCTATTCATTTTCTGAACCCCCTTTCCCTAAACAATGTGTCAATGCCATAACATTCAGAATAAAATTTCCTTACACTAAGAATTCTTAGAAAGATCTATAGATATAATGCTCTGAAAAGACAATATCATAAGAATAAGATAATTATGATAAAACAGTCAAGCAATTAACAGCTTTTGACAGACCATCATAGAAACATTCAAAACAGTTGGTAGAGTAATGATGGAAGATCATAGCACTTTTCTGCCTTTGTTTTTAGATGCTTGTGCATTTCAACCTTTCATTTTTAATTGCTACCTTCAGAAACCATTTTCATTCAAAACTTCAGGCTTCACTATTTAGTAGAAATTCAAAATTAACAATTATTTTTTACTCCTGTTAGATTAAAATACAAACAATAATAACTGTTAAAAACAAACATCTAGCTCTAGAACTTCTGATAATTTCTTTCTTAGTAAATAAATATTCTCTGCAAATGGTATACAGAATCTATTTCTCACATTTATTGGGACAAGCCTTAATGAAGGATTTTTTTTTATTTATATTAAAGTAAAACACACATAATCAAAGAAATAAGTAATTATCTTCTATTCATAAGATTACTATTCACACACATGAGAGCAATGCTTTATTATTAGCATAAGATTTTTAAGAATCAAAAGCTTATATGACCAAAGTAAAATGGCAGATTAATGATATATCATAGCTGCCAACATTGAAATCTGAAAAACTGAGAGTTCTCTTAGAATTTATTTTTTATTTTTGCAAGTATAAATAAATAGGTTGCAATAGTTATTATATACGGTGGCATATTACTCAACTTAATTTTCTAAATGCTTAAAATAAATATTGTAATATCAAAACAGGCACATACATAAAGTTTTATAAGTAAGAGGTTTTATGCTTATTCATTAATGTGCTAGAATGAGACCAAGTTGCCATGCTATACAAAGGTTTCTCAATTTTCTTGTCCTGCAAGAGCAAAATTGTGTTTTAAGAGGGATATCTATATATTGCCTTGCAGAAAATTATTATTAGAACCTATTCTTGCAGCCAATCCCCCCCCCCAGATTAGACTGCTGAACCTTCGCAATGCATAATGAAGAAAAGCGACTTTGGAATTTTTGTTTGTATCACTGAATTTGAAAAAAAAAAAAAAAAAAAAAAGACTCATGAAAGTATGAAAGTAACATGGTCTTCTGATATCTTACATTTAAATAAATACATCACAGATCATGGTAATTTTAGCTTGAAATTATACCTGATGTTATCCAGCATCCCGAAGCTTTCTCTGCTAGAAGTTCAGTTACCCTTTTTGTTTGATGATCCAAAGTTTCTTGCAGGGCTTTTAAACGGGACCGAAGATTATTGTTCTCTGATTCAAGGAACATATTTTCATGGAACATGTCATTTACTTGTTCTTGACCATCTTCTCCAATTATGCGTTTTCCCTTGAAAAAAATTAATACTATTAAGATAAAAAAACTGAATGGAAACAGTAAAAATTCACAATAACAGAAGTAAAAAATCTGATGTGTACACCACATGGCTTCCTTGTACGGAATATTAAATTATACACAATTTTCCTGTATTTCATTTAAACATATTGAATTAACAGTTAACGAATTTTGAATTAAGTCTACTTCATCGATAGCGCATAAACCACAATAAAATAAATGAACTCTTTAAAGTTAACTATATGTATTTACCATAGCGACACTTCGGGGCTGGGTTCACTTAACAGCATTACATCAAACTCATTTTATAATTCAGAGTGCACAAAAATTATATCATCTGAAGAATTACCACATGTTGCATTCAAATACTATATAAATCTAAAACGAAGCATAAAAGAAATTAAACAAATAAAAAAGCAATTTTTCGCAGACGATTCAGCGCCGCTTACCTAATGTGCATGTGCTACTAATTAATTCAGTTCTCATCTCACAGCAGGGCAAAAATACATAAAAATTCAAAATGTTTTCATTAAAAATTGAAAGATATAGAAAAACATAAAACACAAAGTACAGTTAAAACAATTAAAAAATCAACTTTTACAATTAAATTGCAGTTTCTATGCAAAAACAAGTTTAAATGTCAATTCCAGAAAGAATTAAGCATAATTTAGTTCGCAGTAATAAAAGAAGACATTACTTTGTTGTTGCGAAGCTTAGTTTCTCTAGATTGGCAACAAGTCCAGTATTCTGCTAAGTTTCAAATGTAAACAAATATGGCTGCTATGGTAAACGAAAATTAGGCTTAGCCCACACTTAAAAAAATGTTTTAAATTGTTGATAATTCCACAATTATTGCATGCAAGTTAACTAAAGGCATAAAAATCTTAACCAGTACAACATAATTCAATCATTGTTAAAGCAAAAATGCATAATTTACAAACATATAAGAATAAAGAAACTGAGCTCACTGAGCCGAGTAACAGAATAGATATATATATATATTTATATACTTTTGGTATGGCCGATTGCAACCAAAATGGAAAATGCACATCTAAATGTTATATCAGTCCCATGTACAAAATTTCAATGTTCTGAGGCTACTTGTTTTTGAGTTATGCGAGATACGTATGTACGTACAGATGCCACAAAAAAATCTCTTCAGAATTCATTTTAAATCAGTTTTATAGTTTTTTTGGGGAAAAGGAATCCTTTATTCTGTCCTTAAGTACAGATCTCATGCAAACACATTGTTAAATTGCATTCGATAGTGGTCAAAATGGCCTTTTTCATTGAATTATGATACACAAAAGTTTTCCCGATTACAATATTTCCTTTTCACTTTGTACAAGGAAGTAAAAATGTGTAAACATTTAGAGAAATTAGTGAACATTAAAAAATATTAAATGCCCACTTTGCAATGTTTCATGTGTCAATAGCCTTACTAATAATTACTTCACTACACTTTTTCCTTAGCTAAGATAATCAGGATTCCCTTATACCCTTGAAATCAAATATATCATTCACCCTTGAATGATGACCATTGAAATGTATCACCCTTGAATCAAACACACACACAAAAAAAAAAAAAAAAAAAGTAAGAAATTTAGAACCAAATTCACAAAGACATGAAAGAAATGAAATTCAAAACCAGTAAAACCCCAAATTCCGTATGAATATGTAAAAAATAATCAACCAATTGTCACCAAACCAGAAGAATTTTTTAAAACTACAGATATGTGAAATACGAAAATTATAAAATTTGATACTGTATCTGGTATCCATAAGTGCAACACAGCCACCAGAGGGCCTCACCTATGTGCCGGCAGCGAGGATGAGGTAAAAGAGGAATATGACAGACAGTTGGTCGTCTATCCCATGCGAAAATGGTAAGGTGTCTCCACGAGAAGGTGGTAAGACGTAGGTCTACATGTGAAGGTGTTAAATATAGAACTGTATGTTTCCACGAGGAGGTGGTAACTTGACTGCATATATGACAGCAAGTGCGAGTAGGCACTAAGCTGCTAAGTTATAAAATTGGTAAAAGCTATCCAGAATCTTGTTTGTATTCAATGGCATTGTGACTCAATTTAATGTTCCTTTTCTCTGTTATTTTTAATTAAATATTGTCTGTGGTGTAGTAAACATTAGAATTGTTTATTTGACCCTAGGATTAACATCTTGGACTCCCCTACCACATACATATATTTATATGCATATATACTATCTACAGTAAGTATTTGGACTCCTGTGATAGAAAAGAAAAACAAAATTTATTCATATTCAATAACTGGTATAGTCTCCACGAGTGGCAGTTACAGCCTCAACCCTCCGAGGCATGCTTTCCACAAGTCCTTATATGATGGCTGTTGGAATTTTCTTCCACTTGGCTTGGAAAAGACATGGCAATTCCTTTACCAATATCATATGGCTGTTTCGCCCCTTAATTCTGTAATCCAACTTATACTAGCGGTTCTTGATAGCATTCAGATTTGGGATTTGGGCAGGTCAGTTCATTCAGTTAACCCCATTGTCATCATACCAAGCCATGGTGGACCTCACAACATGACAGCTGGCAATGTCATCCGAAAATTATCCGAAAAGTAACATGGGTCCAACCTGTAAACTGCCACAAAAAGGAAGCATACAGTCATCCAAAACAGTGCAATAAGCATCAATGCTCAGTTTACCATGAATCTGGACTAAGGGTTCAGTCCATACCAGGATAAACACCCCAAGATCGTTATTCTACCTTTGCTGAACTTTACTGTAGGCAGGAGGCATTCTCCAGGCAGATGCAAGACCTACAACCTGCATCCAAATAGTAGAGGGTTAATCTCGGTTCATTGCTCCAGAAAATTAGTTTCCACAAATCAACGGTCCACTGTCAGTATCGTTTGCACCACATTAACTGAGCAGCGCAGTGGGAATTTTTGATCAAAGGCTTATTGGCAGCAGCACAACCATGAAAACTAAGCAGATGAGCTTTTTTGCAGATGTATTCATCAAAACAACACTCCAGTTGTCTGTTGAAATTCCTCAAGTATGCGGGCCATTGGTTGGCTGTGGTTCTTCCGAATTTCTATTGGCAGCATCCATTGGTCCCTATCTTCCCATTTCGTGGGTCTGCTGACTTGAAGCACATGCCTTTCACTTCCATTCACCTTCCACTTCTGAATCACATAGACCACTGTCAATTACCACAATACCACAATTGTCAGGTATCACAAAAAGGACCTATCCTTAAAGGCTTATCTATTGAGCTGAATTACTTGGGTAATTCAGATCAACAGATATGCCCTTAAGGATAGGCCCTTTTTGTGATACCTGACAATTACACATTTTTTGAAATCAGATAACTCTGCAAATCGTGGCATCTTGCATGCTCTAATGCTAAGGCTGTTTCTTGTATGATATTTAATGGTGGAGGGCGTGAAGTATACATAAGGACACAGATATCGGCATTTGCATGAGTATCCAAATACTTATTGGTAGATAGTGTATAAAATGAAATTGCTTATTACCAAAATTTTACTTATAAGTAAAAAAGGCTATTGAGCATCTAATTTTAAATAATAAGATAGATTCACATACAAAAAACCATCAGTTCCTACTCCTTTTTTTTTTTTTTCTTTTCTTTACAACATGAACTTTAACCACCATTACACAGATATGCCAGCATGAAATGTATTTATTTCCTGGCTGGCATGTCCGCATGACAGAGCTTTTTCTCATTTTCCCCCCCCTTGTCCACCACACATTCTTGTTAAGAATTTTAGTACGTTTTAGAAACTAATATGTTGGGCACAAGATGGTGTTATATGTGCATACGATTTGAGATACATGTAGTTTTGACATTCTTTTCAAAATGAGACAAAGATGACTCATACACAAGTGGATTTGGTTTATATAAACATAAGCTGAAAGGTGTATTCTCAACTGGCAAGTTGCCTTGACAGCTCTTTAAATGTGCATGTGGTATTTATTGCTGAATGTTATGAATTCCCCCCCCCTACAGCATTGGGTGTTCTTTTAAAATGTGCACGTGGTATCTATTTATGAATGCCATGAGAACATCTTCCTTCCTTTTTTTCCTATAGCATTTGGTGTTTGACTTTGCAGTCTAGTTTGTAATCAAGAATTATGTCTTGCGCATTATGCAAAATGTTTCTGTTTCGAGAATTACAGTGTTGAAGCCTTGAAAATTTTTAACATATTATGTCAATCTAAATTAAGTTAGAACTGTAACTTCATCATTCATATGGGAAGAGAAACAGAGTTAAAAGAAAGTTCAGGATTATACAAGGAAAGAGTTGTTAAATCTCTATTTGAAGAGCTTTCTGGACAAGGCTATCATTTACATATTTTTCATATCTCCATTATTGGCAGATAAACACTTTTTTAAATTGGACAAATACTTGCGATGTTATAATATAATGAGGAGAAGGAAAGGAATGACTGAAAATTTTCTGCCATTTAAAATGAAAATTGGTGAGATAATGGTTCTGCATGCTTTCAAAGATAGGCAGGAAGTGCTTTGTTCAAATGAAAGTTCAAAGAAAGAGCAACAGCGATGCTTAGTTTTTTTTTTCACACTCCTGCAAAAATCTTTTAAAAAAGTAAATGAACTCTTCTGGATACAAAGACTGTAACGTATGATTACGTGTAGATACCTACTTTAACACACTAAAAATGAATTTTTAAGTAAAATGTTTAGTTGTCAAATGCATAATGTCAGAAGTCACTAACAGGTAAGTAAATACTGAAAAATAATTAATGCACAAAATAAAAATATTTAAATAAAAAAGGCATAAGTATATGAAATGCATTAATAAAAAAAATATACAAGGTACATACCGCATATATACTTACAGAATATCATTAAACAATGCATTCATCTTTTTGCAGTTTCGCAGATTTAGGCTTAGTAGAGGAAAAACCCTCCAGTCCTGCAGAGACACTGAAAGGAACTGCCAGCCTCGGTAGTATGTGTGAGTTTGCGGTTTTCGTTGCAAAAGAATTAATTCAAAATAACACTCAAAGATCTATTTTTTGTGAATTTAATATAATGTTTAAATGTGTGTTTTTAGGCAAGTCTAATTACTCAAGATTGCAGTTTTATAAATAATTAAAGTTACATGAAAATGGTGAGACTTTCAAAATCAATAAATGACTTACAGTGATTTCCTGCACTGCCAAACATCTCAGACCAATATTCAACCATATTTTTTATATATAAATAAAAAAATAATTATCTTTAAAAAATTCTGAATGTCTTCAGATACCATCCACAAAATACTTACACACTGATACATATTTATATATGTATCAGTGTGTAAGTATGTGTATCAGTGTATAATACACTGATACATATTTATATAAGTGCAACATTAATAGTTTTGAACGGCATCATGTCATTATATTATAAGTGTGATGAGTGATAGTACCAAAAAGAACTACAATTTTGAATTTTGTTTGGAACAAGGTGAACTTGTGTGCAGAAAAATGGAATTAACAAATGAGCACTTCCAAGCAATGACTTCTGCAATTTCTAGGTTAAGTCTGTTGCTATAGGAAAACTTCTAACTTCACCTTGCCATATCAAATGCCCCTTGGTATGCAACTAGCTTTAAACTGTTTAGCAAGTTCTGTCATGGATGGCAAAAGCTGGGTGCTGAATAGCATGATCATCACTTTCAAATTTAGAAAGCACAGAAAAATATGAAGAATATGTATCATACCATTATCAAGGAAAAGCAACTGAAATTCATGCATTCCAGGACAGTGATATAAATCAAGTTGTAATTTTGCACCATCACCTGGCTGTTTAGAAGCTTTGCTGCATACTGATTGGTATGCAGACAAACTGATGCTAGTGCAACAGCACACACATAGTAGCCAATGTTGAAATATGAAAGACCAGAGGATTTTCATGCTGCAATGCAATGTCATTTCTAAACAGTTCTACACTGACTTAAATTCATTATGTAGGATTCACGTTATTGAACTTAGTATGATTTTGATGTAAATATATTTATTTAGATATTCTAAATTTTATACATTTTGGATAATTTCATTTTATAAGTTTCTTATACTTTTATGTAGAAAAACCTTGAGTAGAGAAGGAAAGTTTTAATTTCTTTTAAATATGATGAAAGTTCTTTTAAACTAAATTCAGTGGCACAACAGCCCTAGTGGGCCACGGCCAGCAGTGCCCTTTTTCTGCTTTCTTGACCTTTAGGCCCTGACGCACATCAGGATATGCCCTGGCCAAGTAATCGGCTTGTCGCAGGACCTCCGGTGTTTAGTCCCCAACTGTACTCAGTACTCATTTTATTGACCCACTTAAGGGATGAAAGGCTGAGTCAACCTTGCCCAGCCCGAGGATCGAACCCTGGACCTGTAGTACAGCTGCGTAACGCGCTAGCCATTTTGCCACCAGGCGGTCAAAGCTCTTTTAAATACTATGAAAATAAATTAATTCATATACCTACTCTTCTGTGGATAAACTTACTAATGGATCATGTATTGATGTATTGAGCAAAATTAAACACAGATAATTGCACTGGTTAAACATTGGTTGAATCCTCAAAAAAGGCCTATAAACATCTATTCTAAGTCATGACAATCTAGCATAGATGTTTGCAGGTCTTAACTCTGGAATTCGTGCCATTCATGAAAGGGTATGGGAATAGAATTTATACAATTTAAATTTCATCTGTAAATTTTATTTACTGTTGGGAAACATTTTTCTTAGTAAAGGCTAAAAATTAAAAATTGAGAGTCTTCTAGCAAATCCAGTGGAGCTGACAGCTATGCACACATGCGCTATTTTGAGCACAAAACTGCTCGAAAGAATTCATCAAAGGCAGTTCATTGTGAAATATGATTTCATACAGATGATGGAATTTCCAGATATTATAATAAATTCCAGAGCAAACAGCAGATAGTACACTGGAAAACTAACTGATTATCATGTTTGTCAAATGGGACATGTTGTAATAGTATAGCTACAAGGCCATTCTATTATAACTAACAACTGTTTATTTGCCAATGTGAAAGTTTTAAAAAAAAGCTAAAAACTTGAATCAGCATCCACTACAAAAATGCTTCAGGCAACACTGCAGCATGGGCACTGCAGTTTGTCTGCACCTCAAATATCAAAGAAATGACTTCTCATTCTTTCAGGCTCAGAACATCAATATTTTGACTTTTTTTTTTAATTCCTGCAAAGAACAGATATGCAGAACATCATTTCCTACACCTGACTCATTAGTGTTATAGCACACATGAAGATAACACTGGACACCAGTGTATATTTAACTTGCAATGAACCTCCTTTTCTTTTCCTTTGTAAGTAAAAAAGTTCAAACCTTTGCTCACAGGCAACTCAGATTCAACCAAACAATAAAATATTACAGACTATAGCTCGCACATCACAGTGAGCCATAATGGGTAGAGCATAAGAAAAGAGCTAATTAAAAATTAAAAAATAACTGTATCTGAAAGTTATATCTGACCATAGAATGTTATGAAAAGTTTGAGATTTTTATACCCCTATAACAGATGTTGAGTGAGCTACTATGTTCATCAAGTTTGCAAAGTATAATGTCTTTTAAAAAAGAAATATCAAAAGTCATAACATAAATGATAATTTCTCTGCATTAAAAAAAAATTTGTTCAGAAATGTAACTTATCATTCTCAAATATTACTTAGATTTCTAAGCAACATTAAGTTTGGCAATATTGAAACAAGGAGAGACTTGAAAGTTCAAAATTAATAAGATATCAAAATAGTTTTAAGAGTTTTGCAAATTTAACTAGAACTTCGTAATATAAAAATTTGCATAATGCAACACTATGCAGTGCATGCAATAACAAGAACAAAAAATATAAGAACAATAATACATCCTCTAAAGCCAATTCTTATAGCCAATGCAAGCCAAAACACTTTTGGAATGGGTCAGAAAAAGAACAATTGGATAATAATATACCATCAAATAACTGATAAATTACATCTAGGGATTAACTGTCAGCAGTACATAATAGTTAAAAATGCTTAAAACTTAAGCTATGATATATAAAACACACTTTTATGAATTTTATAAATTTCATCAGTAAAACTTAAAACAATATTTACTTGTTTATATTCCATCAACTCTAGCTGAAGTTGCTGTATTTCTCTGCGTAACATTGATATTGTTTGGCTAGATTTGTCTTGATTAACACTGATTTTATTTCGAATATTCTTAGCTCTATTGGCATACTTTAAAGTATTTAAAGTTTCCATAAAATCTCGATCAGATGGAGATACACATGCTATCATTAACGTTTGGCTGAAACATAAATTGAAGCATATTAATTATAAAAAAATTAATGGAACTACATGCAGTAACTTATTTTCCAAATAAAAAGACAAAATATTAACCTGTTTCCACCGAGCGAATCTTGAAGAAGTCTGGTTAACTTTGAATCTCTGTAAGGAACATGTGTGGCTTTTCTTGTTTTATCTCCTAGTGCAGATATCACATTTCCGAGAGCAAGCTACCAAAAAATAAATATTGTGTCAGCAGCTTATCTATAATTAGCATTTGGTAAAAAATTGACACAAAAATTTCAGGACAGAACCAACAAACAGTTTACATAAAATTTCAAGACCCTTTTTTAACATAAAATTCCGAGTTAAAAAAAAAAAAAAAGTTTGTTTCTTCTAGTACTGTAGAAATATGATGAAAGAGGAGGTTCTGTAGCAGAAATTTCAGGGAGAATTTCACACTGCACAGCTACGGCATTTCAAAAGAATTTTAAACTGATTTAAATTCACTTTATGACGTACGATTAACACTGCTTAACTATTTATGACATGATTCTGATGCAATATATGTTACTATTTAATTAGATATTTTAAAACTTATATTTTTTAGCTAAATTCATTTTGTAATTTTCTTGGACTTTTATATCGAGATTATCCTGAGCAAGAATGGAAAGTTTATTTACCAAAGTATTTTAGTATAATGAAAATAAAATCAATAATTATATAACGTGTGACTAAACTTAGTAATATACTATATATTGATATAAAACAGAATTAAATACAAACTTATTAAACATAACCTGAAACTTCATAAAATAAAAAAGTGCTGCAGAGATTCAGATCAAAATAATGCAAATAAAATTTAATAAGGAAATTTATGCCAAAAAACTCTAAAGATGACAACAGAATTTGCACAATTTAAATTTCATTAATTCAATAAATTTAATTTATGAGGTTCAGATGAAAGTTCTTGACCTGACAATGAAACACTGCAGCTTTCAGTACAGAATTATTTTCTACATAATCTCCCTTGACTTCAACACACTTGGTTCAGCACTTCTCCAACTTCGGTATTCCTTCCCGGAAGTGAGAGTCTGGAAAGTTGTGAAAATATTTATTTATGACCCTTTCAACTTTTTCATTGAATGTGAAGCGTTCCCAGAAACAAATTTCTTCAAGAGCAGATCAAAGACTGACGGTGACAAATCTGAAGAAAAGGTGAGATGGCCAAGCAAATCGTAACTCAAATCACACAGATTTCCCATTATCAACACGCCCTTGTACACAGATTCCTTGTCCTGGTGAAAGATGATTTTTTTCTTCATCAAGCCAGGCTTCTTCTTCCAAATTTTGGCATGCAGCAAGTTGAGTCAAAAAGGTTGGAGTAATATTTGCCTGTTAATTGTTCTCCCTCTTGCAAGGTAATCAATTAACAAAATCCCTTTCGCATTCCAAAACACACTGGCAATGATCTTTCCAGCAGCTGCGATTGACTTTGCTTTCTTTGGAGCTGAACTACCGGCTTCCAGCCACTGCTTGGACTGTTGTGTCATTTCTGGCGTGTAGTGATGGACCCATGTCTCATCCATGGTGACAAATCGCCACCAAAAATTGGTAGGATCCCTGCTGAACTGGTCCAAAAATTGCTATGAAAAACATTTGCGAATTTGGTTTTGATCGGTATTCAGCAAATGCGGCATCCATCTTGCACAGAGCTTTTGCATCCCTAATTCTTTATGCAAGACATTTCACACTCTTCCTTTCAATATCCCCACAGCTTCAGCCATCTCACACACCTTTACTACCCTTTACTACTACACCTTTACTACTTTACTAATGTCTAACATGATGTCATGCACTTTTTAGATGATTTCCGGTGTGGTTGTGGTTTGGGGATATCTTTCACATGGGTCATCTTTGAGGGATGTGTGACCACATTTAAATTCAGTTGCCCACTTTTTAATGTTTGACATGGAAGGAGCAGAGTCCCTGTAAACTTCCGTTAACTTTCTAACTAACTAAGGATGAATTTCCTTAGGGCTTAATCCATCCAAAACGAAGAATTTTATGACCATACGATATTCAAGTTTATCCATTTTAACGAATAACATAAAAGACATCTACTGCAAAAATCCATGTAGACAATCTACATGAGAGAACAAGTTGAAAATTGTCATACGAACAAACAACACCTGCACTCATACAAGAAACATAATTTTTTTGTGATTGAAGCACCATCTCTGAGTCAGGCCGAGAACTTTTCACCTTACACTCATATGGCTGGGAAACATCTTCTTCAATAAAGATTAAAAATTAAATCAAAGAAAAGAGACCAGGAAACACGATAAAAACTAGGAGAGTTGGCAGCTATGCTATAGCATAAAAACTGATTTAAAAAATATTCTGATGAATAAAAATTTGCATAACATGAGAAAAATTATGTTCCTACAAGTGGATATCAATGTGTTACTATCTTTAACACAATTATGTATAGAAACTGTATAAATTGTAAGTAAAAAGCAAATGTTAAAATTGCAAGTGGGAGATCATTAAATGGCATTTACTTCAGGATTACATCTAGCCTGTTTAAGAACCTCCCCAAGATGTTTACGCTTCACTATAATTAAGCATCAGATATTCAGTGATTTTCTATAATACAGTAAAAATTAAACTTAAGCCGTACAAGGCCACAGTTAATGGAAATTCCTTCCCGTGCTCTCTCTCCAGTAGCTCCAGTACGTTTTAGTCGCTCTGAACCGGCCAAATCAACAAAATGCAATTTGGACATCAAAGTTTCAAATTCTGTTGAAGATTCAATATCCTCAGCTCCTTCTTCTGACTATAAATAAATAAAACAAATATTATTAATCTTAGAAATTAAGTTACTTAAAAGAGAGAAAATCTGAATAATGAAAAAGAAATTTCTCCAATTTACTTAACTACATTATGGAAAAAAATAACATTTAATTTAAAAAACATTCATGAACAAAATTGTCCACTTTTTTTTTTTTTTAATTTAACATACTTCAAACTGTATAAGTCTTTGTTGTTTGATGTGCAGGGTAAAAATTGCATGTGACCGGGAGGACTGCACATTCATTTTTGTACTTGCTGTTGTTCGCGATAGGGCTCCAATCTTGAGACACTGAAGAGCCTATCAAGATAAATTACAGATTTAAGAATTTTAGGAAATGAGATCATTAGCTTCCTATTATAAAGTTAAAATGCAAGTATATGAAATTAGATCAAAACAATACTTAGACATATATAAGTACCAAATACAAAATGGAAGATTAATTAGAATAAATTTTTTATCAGGTTTATCAGAAAGTTTTAGTAATGAAATTATAAGAATAAGTAAATTTACAATGGATAAAACAGTTCATCTACAAACAGAAATTTTCAAAGTTTATTGGAATATTAAAAATGGGGATTTGAACAAATGCCAAGTAAAATTATGCTTTACACATACACTTAAAATAAACAAATCAAACAGTGAAGAGGAGACTGAATGGAAAAGTGTTCTGTGTAATAACAAAATTATCCATACACAAGTAAAATTCTCAAACAAACGCATTTTTACAAACGCACTTTTGTATATATTTTAATAAAAAGGCCAGCACAGTTCCACAAAGAGTATGATCTCTTTGTTACTAGCAAAAGTCAACTATACATGGGACTCAAATTCATAAAATATAAACAGAATAATCACTTAAAACTGCAAAGCTTCACATGTGCACATGCAATATCATAAAAGTGAGAAAGATAAAAAAGGAAGCATTAAAGAAAGCAAGTCCTCACTTATTATTGTTTTTGTTAACTACTCTAAATTTTTATTCTGTTAAAACTGCCCTGAAAAAATTTATGAATCAGATTTCATAAGAGTGCTGACTTTTTATCACATGCATAAATTTTAATTAGATTTTCAATTCTAAGCAACATGATTGTGGCTATGTGCACATTACCTAACCTAAAAGTCATTTTTTACTTTTCTCCTTAAATTAAGAATCACCCGTATAATGATATAGTATTGAAACATTTGTAGTACCATAGCATAAATGCTGCTTCCCACTTAGAACAATGAGAACAGTGAACAATCAGCCATCCTCAAATTTTCTTCCTATGAAAAATTAAAACATATTGGAAACAAAAGATTCTTTCTCTGTAAGTATTTTGTACTCAAATCAACATCAAAAGGTTTACTTTAGCAATTTTTGTTAATTTTGTGAATTTTACTTAATGCATCTCAAACAGCAGCAACAGTCCATAAGCTAATTTTGAAGTTCACTAAAATAATTCAGACACTGTAGCTAACACAGCCTTGCCAATTATAATATTTGATTAGAAAAAGCAAATAAATGACATAAGATGAACAAAACACACTGTTGTAAAGATTTATACATAACTAAGTATGTGACAGTTACAATGCATTAAAATTTTTATTTTCCAAACATTATATTCAGTAGCACTTAAAAACGCCATGTATATAATAATTTGCAGTTTTTAGAATCTATGACAGAACTGCAAATACTGTATTCATAATTTGGCATGCTGCCAATAACTCTGGCAAAATAACGAAAAATTTAGTGACTTGGCTGAAATTACCAGAGATTTTGAGATAAAATTTTATGCTTTTTCCTGGGGCAAACTGAAATATTTTCACCTTAGAAATTTACAATTTTAAATTTACTTCAAATAATAAATTATTAATTTTAAAATCTAAGTGTTCAACAATACCTTTCTCACAATATGATGTAATGAATAAAATATTACATGAGCAAAAAATTATCACCACATACATTAATTCAGTCCAAATAAAATTCTGCACATGATTTTTATGAATATTTTAGTGTTAATGGAGCATAAAATCAAAAGCTGTGATTTTATTTCTGATACATTTCATTAAAGATCTAAGATTAGTTTATGACTAAATATAATTTTAGGTTCACTCATCATGTTTAATGAAGGTATGTTGTGTAAAAAAAGAAGGGTATAATTCTATATCTTCTATTCTGGGTCGATTGACAAAATTCAAATTGCATTTTTCATGTCTCGAAAGAGCGGTTTTAGGATATGTATTAAATTTATATATAGCACTGTTCTAATATAAGTATTTTGATACAAAATCGGACTCTTTCTGAAACGGAATGCCAATATTTTTTTTCCCATATTTTGATTCTATGAATCAAATTATGCCAAATTGACAAGTTTTGTAAAAATCACAGGAGTAGTTTTTAAAAAATTAGCTCTCAAAATTTAATTCCTCAATGAAAATTGAATTTGGCATATATTTTGTTAATATCACTTTTTTATTAAACTTATTTTATTCTTCCTTTCACATTTTGAAATTTAGGTTCCTTCTAAATAAAATCCGTCTTTTTAAATAATTTTTATAAATTTTTGAAAAAAATTTTGAATTATAACCTATAAAATTTTTAACATCATCCATTAAAAAATGGTACCCGACCTCATTTGGGTACCATTTTTTAAAAAATAGTTCTTATTTAAAATATAAACATATTAATTTCAGGATAAGCATATTAATGTGTAAAAACAGTTTCAAAAATAATGCTAAGTAATTTTAATTTTGAAAAATTATAAAAGTGATAATTTTTGCTTAAATTCTGCCTTTACGGCAACAATGACAGTGAACAATGTATGCATAAATATACAGTTTTTTTAATTTGTATTTATGTTTACATTTGTTGTGTATGCAGTAAAGGAACATAATTAAGAAATATTCATATATTCTTCAGATATGTCAAAATGTATAGTATTTACTGTATATTTTCTCGTTATCGCAATCAAAATCTAAAAAGAAAAAGTAACATAGTTCAACTTCTAATTAATATTTTGTAAAATCTTCTGCTTCAGAGCATACATCATATTACATGAAACATGCATATTGAAAGCATCATTTAATTTTATCCGATAAAATTTTGAGGTGTATGGCTGTTACTATTGGCAATAGTTACAGAAAAATTGCATTTTTCAGAAAACAAGTTTAAAGTTTTTATAACACAATGTCTCAATGAAAGAAAAGTTCCTGACAATTAAAATTCTCCTGATTTGTAAGTTACACCTTGCTTTTTTTTCTTACACACATCGTGCTTTTTCTTTTGAACAGCAAGTAATTTTTTTCTTTGTGTTTTCGCAAAACTTGTGGAATGTCGCAAATAGTCGTAATTCCGCACTTTGTCAAGTTTTTTAAATCCCTGCTGAGTGTAAAATCCCGGACACATATCTAACCTTGAAAATACTTCAAGCAAACTAGTAAATCCATCGTTAAACACTACAACACTTACATTTGCTCCAAATATTAATATTCGCAAGTTTACGAACGTTTCTTTCGGAAAAATTTGCCATAACATGCCATTAAACATTTGTTGGCATTTTGAGTTTTGCCATGTATACATTTTTTTAATAATTCTTGTGTACACAACTCCATATATGTAGGTTTAATTAAATTTAAAATATGTGTTGGTATACCAGAGGATTTTGGTTTGATCTTTTTCTTTTCTGCAATTGCATGCTGATAGTTGCACCAACTCGTTATTCCAGGAGGACACTGGCCATGCATCGGCTTCGAAGAAAATTTCCAACATTACTTCTAATTGCAATGCCATAATGGTTCTGCAGTTTATCAATAAAAGAATGAGTCAGTTTACCCTTTCCTTTGAATCCAGGAGTGGAATTTTTTACTTTTTGTAGTCTACTACCAAGCCTTTTCCGTACTTGTCCAATGCATTCCAGTTTCTTGACCGAATCTTTACCATATATATCTTTCAGAGTTAAAAATCCTTTAGAATCCCCATCCCCATAATACTCCACGTACTTCAGCATTTGTAATTTGATAGATCGTTCAAAAATGCGATAAGAAACAACCGCTTCCACACCTGAAGCCGATCCTTTATAATTTGCAGAACAATTATGCTCCGCTTTAAGTATGTCATGCTGAAGGTTGCATTCCATTTTGTTTATTTTGTTGCAAATGGTACAAAACTTTGACATAACTTCCAAGTGACGCACTTTGCCAGTGTCAATCAACAAAGCAGCAACACATCCATTTAATGATGAATATCCTCTCCGCTGCCATGTCCCATCTACAGATACACTGCACTCAGTTACATTTTTTGTAGAATGTTTAGTTTTAGAAATTTTTTTAATGTCATCAGCAGCTTTCAGTCATTTGACACAGAAGTAACAGCACTAAACAGTTTTTCTTGAATTCTTTTATATGATGTGTTTTGTGGAGGCATTGGTAAATTTAACACTGCACAAAATCTTTTCGCTGCAGATATACCTTTTCCAATCATCCTCATACCACACAAATCTGTTATTAATATCCAGTGTTGTGCCACTTTTCTCAGATGATGTAAATGCTTTCTTAAAATTACACTCCTTGCAAGTCAATAAAAAGTATAAAAACAAACCAAATCGAGAATTTTCGGAAAAAATCAAACCACATGATATAAGCAGTTAGGGCAGCAAAGTAATGATAAAACGTTTATTAAAATCGAAATATCAATAAAACGATTGCCTGTCATACCACTGCTTGAGTTTGCATCAGAGAGCTTAGTATCAGTAGACAACGTGTTAGCTTCACATCTGTCAAATAAAACATTTTTTGTATGCTGGTTACCGCAAAACTTCCCCTTTTTAGACCTTTGAGACCTCCACTTGGCCATTAGGAATATTTAAAAGATGAAATAAGAACTTAATATCACAAAAATAATAAAGAATTAGGACAAAAATTTACAAAATCTTTAAGCGAGAATGCTATCAACTTTGTAAACATAAAAATGTAAACATTAGCTTGTTGCCAAACTAAATACAAAATTAAGGGGGAAAAATTATTGTCAGATTCTTAAAATGTAATACAAAATATCTACAATTAATACGGTTTATAATTTACAAAATCTTGATGAAAAATAAGGTTTCTAAATAGGTACGTCTCTTTAAAAACCCACTTCCGGTCCAGAACAGTTGAATTTCCGGTTTACTCCGTTACAGAAAAATGTGTATACCTTCACTTCTAATTAACCTATCAACAAGCAAAAAGTTGCATTTGATAGCTAAAGATGTATTCTTTAATGTAATATAATAAAAAAATCGGAATTTTGACCAAAAATCGTCTTTTGTACGAGGTCGGATACCTTATAGAAGACATATTTCTAGGCACACCTGCAAAAAATTCAGAGTTTTTTATTCAAAATTTTCTAAGATATACATGAATTTACATATTGGCACATTTTGAAAGTTGGCATATTTTTTATAAGTGATAATAACGCTCTTTGGTAAAATTATTTGAAAGTAGGAAAGATGATGAAAGAATGATATCTGCAATGAGAGAAAAAGGAAGGAAAAACAGGTTTGCTATAAATTAAGAAGTTGCCAGTGAATTACTTGTGCAAACCAAAAAAAAAAAAAAAAAAAAAAAAAATGCAAATTAAATTTTTAAATTTCTCCATAAATTTCACACCTAATTTTTCAAAATTTAGTATTTAGGCATAATTTGAGTCGTTGAATCGACATATGGAAAAAATCAGCATGTCATTTCAGAAAAAGTCTGATTTTGTGTCAAAATATCTATAATAGAACAATGCTATAAATAAATCTAATATATATCCTAAGTCACGCTTTTGAGACATGAAAAACGCAATTTGAATTTCATCAATCAGCCCAGTAGAATGGGAAATACAGTCAAAAGTCTTTAATCCGGAGTTGGAACTTCGGCGATTCCGGATTATAGATAATCAGTTTAAATTTGGTAAGATGGCATGCAGAAATTATAAAATTAAAAATATGAAACTGTAATTTATGAAATAAAGAACAATATGATCTAAAAGAGTAATAAAAAAAAAAAAAAAAAGCTTAATATTTATTTGTTTACTTATTAAGCATTTTTTCAATGTAAGTGTTAAGTTGCTTTAATACTTTCTCTTTAATTCTATAAACAGACATAATTTCTTGTTCAGTTACAAAGTTCTGCTGTTCAAGTTCTATAATTGCTGTGTCAAGAATACCAACTAATTTGTCAATCAAAATGTTTTCGTTTTCAATAACCTCTGCGCACTTTCTTCACTATCGGAAGCAAATTATAATGATGAGGAATTTGGTTTAAATCATATCAAAGACGGAGTACATCGAGATGAAATACTACATTTAATAAGGAATTATACGCCAAATAAAATAAAAACCATCAGCCCTGAAGATAAGGATAGTGCTGACAGATCAACTTCCAATTCATTGTGTGCCGCGACGACATTGTAATGTGGCTCGACAAAAAGTGTATTTTAAAAAAAAAAAAACTAATAGATAACATAGGATGGTATATTATTGCGTGCTATGCTGCAGAGTTTTCTTCCTTTTAAAAAAATAGTTATGATGGTATTTAAATAATTATTCGCAGCATATAACTGTTGGACGGATAGCATTTCCATCAGTTTCATGTAATACAGATTTAATACAAATACATAATACAAAATTTCTCAAACAAAAGCCGTCATCACATAAAATTTTGAAGCTTTAAAATTCTTTTGATATGTTTCTTTCGCTCAGCTTTTGTGTATAAACAAGCTTCTTAATATGAGTGTGTACGTGTGTTCAGCTTCATGTCATTTTTTTGTTTCCCTGAAATAAAAATATCATATTTTTTATCATATTGGAAATAATCTCTGTTTTCTGCATAAATGATATTTTAACCTATCATATATATAATTTTAAAGCACATATTTCATTTTAATTAGTGTGATGTATCAATATGCTGTGCATGAATTTCTGTCTACCTGAATGAGGGTTTTCTGGTTGCACTTGAAGTAATAGAGATTCATGTCGAATCCATATACATACATATGTAATTAACCCTTTCAGGATGGGCGTCCCATATATGCATTCCCTAAGAACGTCTTTTACAGCCGGATGTCCCATCCATGCATCACTAGAGATTGCATTCAGAGGACGTGTGATGCGCATATGCATTTTAAGGCAGAACGTTTTTATGAAGGCTACTAGATGGCATCCTATGTTCATTACTTTTGAAATGAACACAGTTTTAGGTCCTTGACCTTGAGTCTGCTTGACTTTGTTACTCATCAGTTGTGAGGGGGGGGAGGGAAAACGTAAACAGAGGTGGGCTTTTTAAATCGATGTGTGCTAATGAAAACATTCTCGTGTCTGATTTATATCCAATTCCTCTACTGTGCGGAGTTTTTTTACGTTTTGCATTGCCTTCAGATATACTTCCGTTTCTTCTCTTTTTATTTAGGAAAGCCTCACCTCCAGTCTATTATGGCGGGAAGGCGCTATTTATCAGAGGAAGAATATCCTCATATGGTTAGTGAACCATTTACTAACGCAAATGAGAGTAATTCCTTTTCTAAAGAGTTAAAAAGTGATACTTTTTTTTCCTAAGAGTTAGAAAGTGATACTTCTCTGTGCTTCGAGATTTACCACACTCGTCTTCCTTTTAAATTTTGTTACTTCTTACAGTAAATAGTCTTTATTGCTTTGTTTTATTAATTCAGAATCAAGTAGCTGACAGTTATATATGAGAAAAGAAAAATGGGATAACTTGAAATTCCATGCCTTCTATCTAAGTAAAAATATTTTTATTATAAAGAAATGCATAATTTCTGACTACTACAGATTTACTGTTTTTAAATTTTGCATATAATAAGACAATTATTTGTCTCGGGTACCATTCTGCTCATTGTTAACCTCACAAAGCATAGTGGAATAGTAGCGCCATCTTGCGGTCAATAGAAATTTCACGGAGGCCACCAAAAACACAAAAGAATATTTTCACACTGGCAGGCCTCAAGTATAAGTTGGCCTTGCTTTAACACAAGAGTGGTACAGACAAAAAAAGAGGTACCAAGCTAATATGCAAATGGTAACACATTTCCACAAAAAGAGCAACAAATCACTTAAAAGAGGAAAAAAACATCCATCATCAAACACTACCTTTTCCTAGAAATTCTTATGTAATTTTTCTGCACTGTTGTTCCCATGTACACAATGATATTGTTGAAAAAAACAGACTTGCATGATTTTGGTATTTCGTACATTGTTGTTCTTGTCATATGCACGGTTATCTGTTTTCTCTTTAAAAAAAAAATTAGATAACTGTCTTGTTAAAAAAAAATTAGATAACTGTAAGTTTGATTGTTTAAAAAATACAACTTCATACAATGCAAATCTCTACTGTTGGACGAACTACAATATTTCTGAAGAAATCCAATGTTTTATTCTTCTCTTAAGCCAGCAAACTTAACAATCTCATTATGATTCCTTACAAGAACAATAAAATGCAAAAATAAACACTAATCAAAACAATTACTGTTGAATTTGAATTTCAAACCCTGCACTTTTCTGCAGCATTCGCGCTCATAACTGGGTTGCCATATAATACACTTTGGTGATGCCATTGTTTAGTAACATTGTTCATTGCTTCGAGATTACTTTTCCTGGAAGGATAATTAGGAGGAAAAAACTTAAGAAACAATCTTTATGTCATACAAATGTTTTAAACATCTATTATAAGATACAGTGTATTGAATTCAGTATATTTTAGATAATCATAGCCACATCCATTCATTATCAACTGCATACATGTGTTGAGTCTACACCCATTTGCCATTTGACAGTAGGTCTGACTGATGATCTTAATTAAAGCTACTTGAGGTTACTTTGAGGTTGTAGGACTTATATTACGAGCATCCTGAAAAATCATGCTAGGGATAATTTTCTAATTAGGTCTTATCTTCAGAAAAACATTGCACACACCAAATACTAAGTTATAATACTTAAAATCATATTTTTGTGTTTTAATTTTGACCTTCAATTCAAGACTTAATTGTTAATATATAGAGTCACTTAATAGCACATTTACTAAGAGTAAACATCTCTAATAAAGTTACATTGTCAGATAATCACTAATCCATGTAGGAAAATATGTTAAGATGTCCAAAAACCAAATTTTTAAAGAAAATAAAAAAAACTATAAAATACTGAGCTTACTTCACTAGCTGACGATACTGTACGTGAAGTTAGGCCAACTGTATATATTTGACCACAAGTATCTTCATGAATTCTTACAGGTGTTCTTTTAGACTAAAATGTACGGAAATTAATGTATTTCATTACATAAAATGAAATATTTAGATGAAAATTGCTACACAAAACACATTTAAAAGATTGATCCAAATAAATCAAAATTAAATTATTAATTTATTTAAAGAGAAAACACTTACACTTATGAATATAAACCTAAAATACAAATAAGCCTTAAATCTCAAGTAATTGTTTCATGCAATTTTTATAAAACCAGACTTAAAAACTGTATTTAAAAAAATGTTAAGATAGATTTCACTAAAAAGATCATGATTATGCAATATCTGCTAATACTTTATTCTGCAAAGAAAGAATGCAAAATTTCCTAAAATGAAAATTTCTAACTAGAAAGTGCTAGACAATTAGCTGCCTTATAGGAGAAGCCGTCACAAAGACTTTCTAAGGGAAATTTGCTTAACACGTTGAATAACCACAAAAACACGGCCAACCAATTTATTTAGCTCCTGATAGCCAAATGCAAAACAAATGTCATTCAACACTTTTTTTCAACTTTTCAATTACATAATCCAGCAATTTTAAGAGAAATACTGTTCTATACTGTTCTTGTACTTAAGAGAAACTAAGCATTGAAATATTAACTTAAAATTTATTAATTTTGAATCACAAAAATATTTAAAATACAAGAATTTAATTTGTTGCTATTACCTGCATTTTATATTAATCAGATTTTAAAACTTATACCTTTATTTTATTGTTACTAGGTTGGCCCATAAATTCTGTCCCCCCCCCCTTCTTTCGAAGTTTTGGTTTTTTACAAAAATGCTTGAGAAATGAACAACAAATCAATCAATAATGTATTCTCCACCCGTCTTTACAACTTCTTCCCAACATTCAACAAGCTGTTCAATGCCTCAACAGTAGAAATCAAGTCTTTGAATCTCCATCTCTTAAGAGCAATTTTGAGCCATCGTAAGAGGCACTTCTTCTTTGCCATACACTTCACAAATCTCATGAGCAGCTTCTGTGGCTTTGGCATCTCGATTAAACGCAAAACATGGAAGGTGTCAAAAATGCTCTTTTTTATCGCCTTGACACTTCATTTTAATGCCATGAAATGAATGAAAATTATATCACATTAAAAAAAACTGAACATACTATTCTGTAGAGCACAAAATTCTCTATTGAATAGGATAAAGTACACTGCCAAAATATTTTATTTTTCACAGAAACTTTTCACTTAAAAAATGCCAGGACTTAATGAGCCAACCCTTTTCTTCTGTAGGCAATAACTTGGTTCATTTAAGAGTCCAATAACAGACAGCCATCATATTTGATTTTAATTTTCTATTATATCTCGTTTCTATAGGAAATTTTTCTTCCTGCTCATCTTTAAATCTTCAGGGAAAAAATTCACATATGAACAAAGAAAATGCAACTCAAATGAGATATTACAACCCAAAGCTTTATTGGTTGAAAGCAATTCATCTTTGTGGTATTCATTTCTTCTTTTCTATAAGATACTGCACTTCATATATCCTAAGCTCTACTACCAGTTTTATTTTAACAGTTCCTAAAATTAAGATCTCGGAAAGTTGTAATATTTGCGATCCAATAATTTTAAACACTTCAAAAGAAAATTTTTAAGGTGTTTATCATTTTCATTTCATGACCTGGCAAAACAAAAAGCACTACCACTTGAGAGGGAAGTATTTTTTGACAGCCTTATGAGCAAGCATTTCAAAGAAATAAATGCATAGGCATATCTTCAACATTTAATATTTTTCTTTATGAAATAAGATTAATTTATAGCAAAATATCACAGCAAATCTTTATCCCTACTTGGCTCCATTTTGAACAACTTTTTTTCTAATGGCTTAACATATTCTCAAGGATATGTATCAAGAATGGCTGAACTCATTAATAATTTCAGTGGCCAGAATGCATCATGAGAAGTAAACCAATATAGTTCTAAGTCTGAAATCCAAAATCATCTAATCGCCACACACAAAAAAATAAAAAATTCTAGGAATGGAGAATATAACAAGAAGAAGCAGAGTGTCATAAATGTGAATGATTTATCTTGTGACTAACTGAGATTCCTTCATGTCACTTTAAAACATCTGCTGGCTAAGGAGTCGCACTGTGGCTGATAACAGTACACTGATTAATATTGTACTGATGTTGACCAGAATTCCACTTTTAACCCTTGAGTCATCTGCTTCTGGCATAATCTCTATGGGGCCTAAATTCTACTGCCCTAGGGTTCCCCTAAGCTTTAAAAATTGTGTCATTCCTAATTTTTGCTGCTTGAAGCTCTTCTAAATTCTAAAATTTTTGCCACCCCTAAATTCTAGTACCAAGTGCAGCTGTGCTGGTTGTCCTGCATTGGCCTTATGGAGAGAGGAGATTATAGCACTTTTTAACTGATCTAAACACTAAGTGAATCCCTAATTTTGCCATATCTACATGTCATCTTACTAGATTTAAGCTAATGATCTAAAATTCAGAAGTTTCCGAATTTTGAAATCACCAAAGTCCTGAATCTAGGATTTTATACTATATTATATTCACAAGAAGATGGGAAGAACATCTGCAAATAATTGAGTCTTATGCAGAAGCCGAACCCGCATCCAGGGGTTCAGACTAACAGTCAGCTTCTGTAGACCACTATCAGAGCCATTCCTAGGTATATCTTCATCTGAAGCAAGAGGACAAATGCATGTCCCTGTACATATATAATACAAATTTGTAGACTCATTAGAATGTTTTTAAACCAGGAAGATGAAGAATCAGCAATACCCTCCCTGAAAACTGATCTCTGGACCTCCCAACTGCCAGCCAGATGTATTTCTAATTATACTGCAAAGGCATGTAGTAAGGTAGGAGAAAATTCCTTACATTCTTCTCCACATAAAAGGTGACTAGGGAGGAGGGCAACTAGTCTCCAAATCCAAGTCATAACAAATTATTATCCACCTGCCATCACCCTGTTATTTTTATTTGGGCACTACTTCTAGAGTCATTAGAACTTTCTGAAGATAGGAAATTTGAAAAATCATGACGAACTTCAAACCTCTTGATTGTCAACTGGATATGCTTCCAGTGGCACCATGAAAGCACTTTTATATTCAATAACTGCAAATGTTGAATAAAAATAATGTAACTCTTAAAGTTAACTTTTAATCCCATTTTTTTATATCCAGAAAAATAATGCATTAAATATTTATAATGTTAAAATGAAAAAAAAAAAAAAAAAAATTCTTTTAAGATTCAATCAAAATAAATAACTTTATACATAGAAACACAATTAATATTGAAAGATATGTACTAATTTTCAAATCTATGTTTTTTAATTCATTTTTTTTCCTTTAATCACAGAAAACTCAGTAATTTTGTCAAAATTTATTTAGTTACTTAATTTATGTTCTGTACAGAGAACAACTTAGTTTTGGGGTGGGCCAGGTGAAAGGTTTATGTTATATTTTGTTATTTTAAATTCACTGGAATTTCTTTTGTCTGACAACAATAAAAACATTAAAAAATATTTGTAATGAAATTTTCAATTTTGGATTTATTGAACAAAACTGTGTTTGTGAATTAACTTTAAAAGATCTTATAGCTGCTTTTGAAACTAAAAGTTTGTTCATTCTTAACTGGTAATTACTACTAAAACGTTAATAAAGTTGAGCACAGCTCACTGGGTCCCTTGGAATACAACAAGATTAAATACATACAGCACACATAGTAAATAAAATATTATAAATCTGGCTCATAAACTATGCACTATCTCTAAACATAAATATTAACAAAAGCCAGAAGGCATTCACCAAAACCAGTATAATTCAGATAGGGAAAACCATGACAGCAACCTTGCCAAAATTTTCTCTCCCTAAATTACAGTGTTCTTCACTATTTAAAACACTCCGAATTTCAGTTTCATTCAATTAATACTGGTAACTTTGCCAAAATTCTCTCCCTAAATTACACTTCTCCTCACTATTTAAAACACTTCTAATTTCAGTTTCTGGAGGTTCTAGGAGGAGGGACAGATGTACAAGATAAAAAAATAACACATTAATTACAGTTTCATAAAAACAAAAAAAAAAAAAAAAAAAAGAATATTTGGAAAAGGAGAAGCCACTTAATCTATTTGCATTCTAGGAAATGAAACTGAAATGAGATTTATATAATATTCAGTAGTGATTATATGTTTAAACATACACATTGCTAACTGCGCAGTTTGGAAACAGAACTGAATATGGGAAAACAAGGTAGACTTGAACCACAAATCTCTTTCAACAATAAACAATATTTGAAAAATGTAGCTGAAAATTGCTATATGTTATATTTCATTTCCAAATTTTTTTGTTTTTAGCCACATTGAGATACATATAAGGTAAGGTAATCATGCAAATATGTTAATCCATACTAATAATTTTACTGTTTATTGTTTCGACATCATGATGAGTCAAACATAAGCTTAGGCAAAAGTCTAATTGAGTAGATGATTGAATAATATGGTTAATGAAAATCAGAAAGTTGATCATACAACATTCAGAATGACATGCAGTGTCAAGAACATAGTGCTCTTGTTATTGTTTTAAATATGATATTTTAACACAATGCTTTTCAAAGCGGTCGGAGTTAAATATTATAATTTCCCTTTTAAAAAAGTATTTTAATTTTTTAAAGTTAATCTGGCACCCTTCCTAACCATTTACCTCAGGCAATTGCCTCACCCTTATCTCGGCACTGATCATTACCCCCCAAGGCAACTTAGCTCATTTTAAATATAAAACTGTTTCTCATGTTTAAATGCAAATACATTAATGCGGTTTAGCAATGCTGTGGAAAAGTATACTGATTTATAATCGCAAAAATGCATTTATTATACATAAATATAATATTATAATACATAATTAAATACATTATAATTTATCCTGAAAAGCTATATAAAAACATGTATACAAGTGGACATTTATTTCTTTTATTCTCACAGAAATTTTATGGCAGTCACCTTAAGAATAAATTCAGAGCAATTTTTCTTATTAGCTATTTTGTGTCAAAATAATATATACCAGCATAAATTCCTTGTACTGTTAGCAAATTCCAGAAGAACATATTTTACACCCAAGATTATATAGCATGAAAATATGCCACAATTTTCCTTCACAAAATGGTGGAACTTTGAATTAAAAAAAAAATGAACTTCATATCAAAATGGAAATTTTGCTTGCTAAAACCAAAAAGGATTATATGCATGATTGGCAGAGTATGATGCATTCTGAAAATGACTTCCAATACGGTGGCTGTGCTAATATGTAGGCTTCATTAGACTCTGATGAACTATGTTCTATAATCTCTGATTTCAAGAATTGAAGTATTTAATTAATTATGTTATATATTTTTCTCCATAACATGGAAATCGTAATATCAGAATTTAATCTTGAATCTTCAAGACAGGAATGAAAGATTCTTTATAATGAGTAATCTCGCTTTAAGTGTTTTGAAATACAGTACAAAGTCCGTAATCCGGACGTCCATCATCCAGAACAATCTATAATTCGGCCTCAAAGCCACAAACTTACGCATGCACGTTTAATGAGCACGTCCGCTACGCATGCATGTTTAATGAGCACGTCCGCTACGCATGCACATTTAATGAGCACGTCCGCTACGCATGCACGTAAAGAGTTTACCCATGCACACTCTTCCGATAGTCGAGAAAGTGACAGAGAGGTTATTGAAAACAAAAAAATTTCGATTGACAACTTAGTCAGTATTCTCGACACAGCAATTACAGGACTTGAACAGTGGCACTTTTTAACTGAACAAGAAATTACGTCTGTTTACAGAATTAAGGAGAAAGTATTAGCACAAAAAACGAAGCAACTTAAACAACTTACATTGAAAGAAAGTAAACAAATAAATATTAAGCTCTTTTTTTTTTTTTGTAAATTTTGATATCCTTTACATCATAATTGCTCTTTATTTCATAAATTATGGTTTCATATTTTTAATTGCCATCTTACCAGATTTAAATTGATGATCCGGAAAAAACCCTAATCTGGAATCGCCGAAGTCCCGACGAATCCGGATTACGGACTTTGTACTGTATAATTTAGAAATAGATATCAAATTTTTATACACCACTTGGCCATTTGGCTTAAGAAAGTACCTCTACAATCCTTATTTAATTTATTTATTTATTTATTTATTTCCTTTTTTGTTTTTAGACTCACCATCGCACCCTTGTTTGGTCAAGAGTCGCGTTTGGTGGTTTGGGAGGGATTGAATTGGGAAGTTTTAATGATTTAACCGACACTCTGAATTTAGAGGTGAAATCTTTTGCCGATACTATATATTTGGTGTCAGTTTGAGATCTTATCTACTTATTTATTATTTACCTTTCATGGGAGATACCATTTAAAACCTTTGACTTAAATTATCAAATGGTGGACATCGCCTATGCTCTTTTCCTTCTTTTCATAAGAAGGAAGCGCCACTAAAGTTATGTTATGCTAATCTCGGTTCATAAGTATGTGTCTTATACACTGAAATTGTTTCAGAACAGTAAATACAACTGTTATTTTATTCAGACGAAGTCAGGAATTTCCAGAATTTTCTGACATTTATTTAAAAATAAAATGCCAAGTTTGCACCTGACTGAGCTTATAGGGCCAGCACATAAAAAATAACCATATAATGAATATCAGGAATAGTGCCTAATGCTTTCTCCATTTTAATGCCTTGTTTATGTTATGTCATATTTGCAAATGATTCAACAGAAAGAGTTAATGATTGCACCATAGGAACTGTCACCAAATAATAAGTATATAATCAGAAATAGTGGTTGACGCCTTCTTTCCCTCCGAGATTAGGCAAAATAGCACATAACTGATGTACAATTGGCACTAGCAAAATGATAAGAAACTTTAACGAGAATGATTTACCTTACACAACAAAGAAATAGATTTACAGAAACAATGATACAGTTTAAAACACACCACATGACTATTAAAAAAGGATTTAAAAAAAGTCTTACTTTATCCTCTGTTTCCCTCACAGGATCTAGGAGATCAATAACTTCTTCATTATACAGCTAGACATGCAAAAAAGGAACCAATTACAAATTTGACGAAACATTTAAATGAGTAATAATTAAAAATGACAATTTTGCATATTAACTATTGTAAAAACCTATAATTCAATTTAATTTATTAATTTTATGAATCATAATGCAAGACATAAAAACTACAGAATTACATTTAAAAAAATCATGCTTTGGTGAAGCTTTAATAAATGATAAAAAATATCTTAAAAATTCATGAAGCAAAACTTCTTTGAAAAAGGTTGTTTTCAGTCAGTTTTGCAAATAAATGGCAAAATAATTTTATGATCTGCACACAAAATTAAAATACCTACTTATCAATATAAAAATACTGGAATTCATTACATAGCACATAAATTCATGGCTTTTAGCCTTTTAATTGCAGCACTTTAAGATGTTAATGTCCAGACAGGGAACAGCTGTTTATACTAATATATAAGAGGAAGAAAGTCATATTTTCTACACAGTATTAGATTATGTTGAATAATGCTCCAGAAGTCTTAAGCTCATATTCTTTTGGAGCTGTTTCTAAGGAAAATATTTCCTTCCCCCTCTTCAGATTTTCATGTAATTACACTAAAACATTCAAATTAAAGTAGCTTGGTTAAATAATAGTTTGGTTTTCTTTCAAGTTACAAATTTTATGTCTAGACTTAAGACTCTTCTGTTTCAAATACCAAACAATTATTACAATCAAAATCTAATGTTTTATATAGCAACTAAAGTAATTTCATTTAGCTGTTTATACTAATATATAAGCTTATATTTAGCTGTTTATACTAATATAAAAACTGAGAATACTTGAGATCTGAGTTCTCATCTTGCAATTAAAGTTACTGAAATATTTAAAAATCATTGCTAAAATATGGAGTTTATAGCTTACATCAAACTTATGGTTCAACATGAGCTATCAGTCACTGCACCTAAGATTCTCCCCCCTCCAAAAAAATGTAAATTGTTCAAAACAATATTCTTAGAATAATCAGAGACCAGCCCACTGCATCCTAGCTGAAGCTGTGCAACTGCAAATTAGTCTGGAATCATTTGTTGAGTACAGAAAAATTTCCACTTTGAAGCTACTTAAAATTTTCTGAGAAGTGATGATTTTTGGCTGACATATACATCTACGTATTAAATTTAAAACTCAGGAAACCTTCTTGGACTTAACAAAAGAATTAGCAGTCAAACTCTGCATACCTGTCTACTTAGTGGAAGTCCCCTGTTTAAACCAATCATTTACTGGAGATAAATTAATCCAGTTAATTAAAATTTGACCTAATTCTGTCCATAAACAAGAAATTTTCTAGATACAGAGTATAAAATAGCTACTTTTGTAATTAGCCAATAAAAGACATCTTTCTAAAAATTAGCTGCATTTTTTGGGGGGGGCACAGTGGCTGCTCTTTCTTTAAGTCATGAAGAAACTGGGAAGACAATGGAATCAAACATTACTTTTAATGACTTTGGGCAATTATTAAGACACTTTCTTTTTTGTCTCTTTATAGTACAAAAATTGTTTTATTGGCATCAAACTGTTTTTCACTCTCTTTTAGCAAGCAGACATCAGTACTTTACAATGGACTCCCAGCCATTTTGGCATTACTAGAAATGACCTTGCATATAGATTGGCCATGGCTGGTTCTAACTTACCTCAATCACATTCTCTTGTTCCCTTTTCCACTATAAGAAGGTTTATTAACTCCAACATTGGCTTATATCAGCAAAACTGCCTTGAAGAAATAATGAGCTTGGGCAAATCTTAGGGTTCCTAATTCAAATAATTCCACACAGCCTTTATAGAGCTGTGAGTACAGCAAATTTCAGTCTAAAATTGTCCTGACTATTTAGAAAAACTTCTTCATTGCACAAGTCTGATAAACTCAACCAATGAGGACATTATTATGCAGCCTGGCTACATGACTTCTCTTCTCTTCTACTATTGCACTGAGCTTAATGATGTTGCAGACAGAAATTCTGTAAATGATACTAATGTTTTGCTTGCTTCAAGAATTTACTGGACTGCCGAATAGATACTAACGACCGAAAAGCAAAGGTCTGATGTAGAATATTTTCTAAAATAATAATATTTAATATGTAGTGTTAATTGTGGATCATACTACTATATGCTACTAAATATTATATAATTAATTGTTGTTGCATTATTACATTATGTTTCTTCTTTTATTAATTGTTTCAAAGTGTGGGTTGGAAAATAATATGTGGCAAAATGCAGAAATTTTTTTTTTTTATTTTGTTTGTTACAATATATAAAATTATTCGTTAATTTATAATTAGTCCAAAGGGATTTGAATCCCGAAGGACTATTAGTTTTGTTTTGGCATTTTGCGTCGGACGGATAAATGTCGGTTCACTTTTCAAACTGTTGCCATAAAATGTTAGAGTCCTGCATTATATTTGAAGAAATTAAATAATGAAAATCTGCGTAAATGTATGTATATTTCTCACATTGTCATAAAAGAACGGTACACAGAGTCATCGAATTTTGAATAACGTAATCCTCCAACGAATATGAGCATGTGGAAAACCAAAATTTGAAATTTGAAATTTGTTTTATGATCGATTTCCTATTTTTTAAAACTTTGACGAATTTTTGATTAACAAACTCAAGGATTTCAAAGCGAGCAATGGCAACGTTGTGCAGAAAAACATTTTTTATCTCCAGCGCGTGAGTCTCTGTATCGGAAATTCTAAAGATATGCTCGTTTTAAAACTATTTTGCGATATTGCTGTTGCACTGGATCTTATGGTTTAAGTGCGAGGAACATGATATTTAATAAAGAAAGGTAACACACAAAATGTTAAAAAACGCCCCTTTGGACGTAATTTAAAATTTGAATCATTTCAGTTTTTTTTTTTTTTTTTAGAATCGCTAAGTTTCAATCAGGTCCGTTTGGACCAGCATAGTTATAGTTCAACTTTTGCCAATTCTGGCGGGAAGTATGTAAGGTTTTAATTTAAACTAACCAAATTTCTTTTTATTTTAAGCTACCCTTTCCTGTAAACTCTTATTATTAATTTTTGTTAACAAATGCATATATTTATTTATTACTATTTTATTATTACATTACTTTTACTAGGATTCTTCATTCTTTTCCCTTTTTTTCAGGTAAATATATACAATAATACTCCAATTTATACCAAACTTACTTATGCAAACTCAAAGTTAAGAGGTTCCCTTTTTTTCTCTCCTGTTTTGTTCACCATATAGATAATTTTATATGCATTTATCAGTGTCCATACTAGCAATAGCAGGTGTGGATATATTTCATGCAAAGTCCATATGTAATTTCAGTTTCTATAATTCTCTTTTGGAGACAAATACTGAAAATGAATTGTCAATTAAGCTCAATTCAAACAAATACTTGGTGAAGACGTTGATATCTCAACCCAAGATTTACCAGGAAGACAAATGACAATTGCATGTTTGACAGAAGATAGTCTTTGCTTAATTGTAAAAATTTGCAGAACACAAACTAATGAGGACTAGCACATACACAAACTTTAATGGGGAACATGTTCTAGCTTCAAGACAAACTATAAAATAATAATTTGCATGCTGTGAAAAAATTTCACATCAGTAAAGTCATTAGACAAATTTCTTAAACTTTATGAATCCACTGGCATCAAAATAAGTTCATTTAGTTTAATCCTATTTTGTATTCATATGTATGAAAATTACCTTGTTTATTAAATACTTTTTTCCCTAAACAAGTGTTTTTTAGCCCATAGCTCAGCTTAATTACAATTCATATATGTTTATATACAAAGTTAGAATTCTAACTTAATGCATTTTATCACATAATGCAAAGCTTTAGAGTAATTACTCTTTAAATAAGTCATGATAAATAGCAAGTATATGAAGGTGAGTTGTGTTGCTAAAAAGTTTAGAATATTTTGCTGTACACCATAAAATGTAACAGTAATAGAATAATACACATAAAAAATATTTGATAAGTTTGGTAAATTTCCATGATTTGATGTCACAATTCATTTTATGTCATCATGACTGATAAGTATTGCACTTCAGATTAACTCGGATAAATTTCAGCCAATTAACATGTGTTGTACAGTCAAAAGTCGTTAATTCGGACACCCATAATCCGGACCTCAAAGCTACAAACTTTCTGTGCATGCGTCGCGTTCACGCATGCGCACAGGCATTTACGAGTGCGTGTAAGACCTTTACGGCTGTGAATATGTTTGTGCGCATGCGCGTTTAATGTGCAACGGACGGTATAAGCTAAGCTAAAATTATTTAATTCAGTTAATGTTGCAGATTGCGTTGTTCCTTAATCTTCGAATCGGATGCGGCTTATTATTTTTTGCAGACTGTTAGAGCAATTTCAAAAAAGTAAGCTTGAACTTTCGATTATGTCAAATAGAATTTCCGATATATATTTACTAATACGTAATTTGTATCTACAAAGCGAAAGTATGTTTTGAAATCCGAAATCTGTTTATCAATTTCATGCTGCGGATTGGAAGTTGATCTGTCAGGACTATCCTTATCTTCAGGGCAGATGTTTTTATTTCATTTGGCTTATAATTCCTTACTAAGTGTAGTATTTCATCTCGATGTACTCCGTCTTTGATATGATTTAAATCAAGTTCCTCGTCATTATAATTCGCTTCCGATAGTGAAGAAAGTGACTCAGAGGTTATTGAAAACGAAAACATTTTGATTGACAAATTAGTCGGTATTCTCAACACAGCAATTATAGGACTTGAACAGTGGAACTTTGTAACTGAACAAGAAATTATGTCTGTTTAATAGAATTAAAGAGAAAGTATTATCACATGAAACGAAGAAACTTACATTGAAAGAAATGTTTCATAAAGTAAACAAATAAATATTAAGCTTTTTCTTTTTGTAAATATTGATACCCTTTAGATCATAATTGTTCCTTTATTTCATAAATTACAGTTTCATATTTTTAATTTTGTAATTTCTGCATGCCATCTTACCAGATTTAAACTGATGATCTATAATCCGGAAAAATCGATAATCCGGAATCGCCGAAGTCCCGAGGAGTCCGGATTAACGACTTTTGACTGTATATATTCCACAGATATTTGAAACAAGCATTCTAACATTCTGTTTAATGAAATAAAAACTGAAAAACGAACTGTGAGCAATCAGAATACATTTTAAGGAAATGGATAATAGCCTAGATCAAAAATGGATCAAAGACTAGATTAAAGCCTAGATCAAATATGTTTTATGGGGATTCGGTATAAAGATCAATGACAATATAATATTTTGCATGAAATATTACAGATAAAAAAGCTACATGCATGATGAATGCTGCAATTGTTGAACTCTGACCAAAACTACATTTGAAAGAAGAATTCAAATAAGTATTTGGCTGTGTTTAACCACAACTGAAGGAGCTCTTTTGATAGTTTCTGACTGCAGATGAAATGCGGATCTCCCTGTATAAAGTAGAAATCAAAACAACAGGCAGCAAAAGTGAATGCATGCTGAATAAGATAAAGATTGTTTTGTTAGGTGGTAAGGTAAGCCAATGTTCTGAAATTCTCAAGTAATGATCCTTGTGGATACATAGGGAGGGAGGACTAACTGTTATGCAGCTTTGCTGAAGTACTTAAAAAGAGAACTGAAACTAGCACATACACAAATATAAAAAATGATCTTTTACCAAGCTAAATATACTACCCCAATAATCACAAAATTACACAATATATGCTCCAACTCAAACCTCATTCACTATATTCTCCAAACTATTCCTGAATGATTTCTTCAGGTACTTCCTTGTTAAATAAGCCATCATGCTTATTCAAAACTTACAGACTTGATTGCCTAATCTGTAATGTGGAGATTTCAAATGTTGATAAAGGCTTATGCAATAGCTGTATTTTTAACAAGTACCAAACTTACAAAACCCCTTACCCTAAGAGTTCCAAATCTGTTAAACATGTACTTTTGCTGCTAAATGAAAATTTGGCTCAGTTGGGAAAAAATTCATTGAATGTAATGTATGCATTGATTCGTATTTACAGAATCAATGCATACATTACAACTTTTGATATAATCTACCTTTTCTAACAGGATGAAAATTTGCAAATTGATTGGAAAAAATATACAGCGAACAATAAAGACTGTGCTCAGAAATAAAATCAATTTTTATTAAAAAAAAACATCAAAATTAAAACAAAAGTCTCAAAGATTTCAGATCTTACAATATGCCCAAAGGGGAGTTTTTTAAATTTTTTGTGTGTTACCTTAATTTATTAAATATCATGTTCTTCACACTTAAACCATAACAATTCAACTAAACAGCAATAATTTTAAAATAAGCATATCTTTAGAATTTCTGATACACAGTCTTGTGTGTTGGAGATAATGGTTTTTTTTTTTTTTTTTTTTTTTTTTTTTTTTTTTCGTACAGTGTTGCCATTGCTCACATTGAAATCATTGAGTTTGTTAATCAAAAATTTGTTAAGATGTTACAAAATATGAAATCTATGATAAAACAAATTTCTTTCAAATAAGGCTTCCAGCTGCCCATATTCGGTAGAGGATTACGTTATTCAAAATTTGATGGCTCTAGGTACTGTAGTTTTATCACAATGCAAGAAACATACATACATTTATGTAGATTCTTCATTATTTAATTTCTTTAGATATTTCACAGGGTGATAATATTTGGTGGCAACAATTTAAAAAGTGAAAAACATTTAAAGTTTTTGACACAAAATGTCAAAACTAAATTATTAGTCCTTCTGGGCTAATACCCTATGAGCTAACAAAATATATTTAATTTTTTTTATCATCATACACATTCATAAAGCTTATGTACAAGTATATGCTTTGCCATGGCAAAGTACTCAGACAATGTAAAAAATTGTCTAAGACAAAAGGAAGGTACATAATAATTCATAAGTTCATAAACTTTCCATTACACAATTTATACACATAGAAATTTATGACTATCCATGAATACCATTAAAGAAGATATTAGCTAATGCAGAGGTAAAATCCGCCAAGTTAAAATGCAAAATTGAATATGCACTTGAGAACTTTTATTTGCTAATTACAATAAGCAAGTGTTACAATACAATACTAAGAGGGAAAAAATAAGATACCTCCATAAACTGTGCAATAACTTTAAATTCAGGAGGTGATGAATTCCTATTTTCAGCTTCATTCTGAAGTTTGGCTATGCCTTCAAACAACTGATTTACAGCTCTTGGAATAATTCCCTTTTCTTCTTCACTGAGGGATACGTCAAAACCAGTGCCCATTGTGTAAGTTTTACCAGAGCCAGTCTTGGGGAAAAAAATTGAGATACAAACATAAGTAACACAAGTTCTGTAGTTAAAAAATGCAACATATAATTGAATTCCTTTATGAAATGTATACTTCAATTACATACATGTTTTAGGTTTGTCACAAATCACTAATTTAAATTACTATTCATAATTTATAAAAAAAATGCTTAAATAAATCAATATAAATTTATAGAGTAAACATTAAAGGTTAAGTATAAATGCTTACACCATTTGAATAATTATTAATAGCATATTCCTTTGTAATGACCTTTTATATTATAAAACAAAAATGCAAATACTTATCCTTAACATTCAAATGAGTTAATATTTAGAATTTTGTTAACTTGGGATCTATTTCCATACTTAATTACTCATTTTCAGTTATGAATTCATAGAATCTAAGCACATTCTTTACGCATCAGTTAAACTTTAATCATAGAATGAGCAAATTCTTTAACTGTCAATGAATTTAGTAAGTAAATAGTTAACATAAAAATTTACACCAAATAATAAAACTTCATTTCACCAATAAAAACTTATTTACGATAGCCATTTTTTTAATTATAAAATATTATAGCACTGTTAATTATATAACCATCTATGAAAAGTCTCACATTCTGCACACTTAAATACATTACAAACATCAAACTCACGATTCCCAGCTTAATCTTGATTCTGCTTTCATCTGCACAGTTTGAAGAGCACATCGCCTTTCAAGAACATTATTACACACATTTTATGAAAGTTTTCAGCTTGAAAATTTGAAAATTATTTGAAGACAATGTTTTAATTACATTTCTTGTCAATTTTTATAAAATACAGTACCTCATGTGATGATGAAAATTGTTATGAATAAGTGCAATTGCTTCGTGAATACTTTCTTCACATTAAAAAAAGAAAAATTTTTAAAAATCTGAAAGGTTTCAGATTTTAAGGGTTCTCTAAAAGAGTTTATTAAGGGTTTTGAGACTGCTCTCGCTGAGCTAGTAGTCTACCAGTTTGCCGTTAACACTCACTCCTACTAACCCCCTTTTTTTATCTTTTTAGCTTTATTATTAAGTATTATTTTCTCTGTACTTACCCCATATACAATTCAACAGCAATATTATAAAAAGTTTTAAAATATTATAGTATTATACATTTAGAATTTCCAATGTGGTGTTAAGTGTTAGCATATATTCTCCCCCCCCTTTTTGTTTTTTATCAGTTCATCATATCAATGTTCAGTTTTCTTACTAAGATGGCTATGCAAACTTTTTTGTCTTTTTATCATAAATGTTTTATGTGTTTATTTATTAAATACCACGTTCTTGGTGCTTACATCACATAAAATTCAATTAAACAGCAAAATCATGAAATATAACACTCTGACCAGCCAGGGCTTTTGCTAAAAAAGCACAAATTTCCCAAAACTACTACGAGAAAAATTAGTTTCTTGATATTAATTGATAACTCTCCTAGTATTTTATACCTGGATTTGTGTACTTGTAATATATTGCCTTAATTTGTTTGACATATTTCAATATTCATGTATATATACATTCTTACAGATATCACAAATATATTCTAGGCCGTATATATACAGCCTTGCCAGATAATGGGTTAAAAACAGCATATCTTTAGAATTTCTGCTATACAGTCTTGCATGCTGGAGATGAAAATGTTTTGCTCCATACAATGCTGCCACTGCTTGCTTCAAGTTTATTTATCAAGAATTTGTTAAAAGTTTTACAAAATATGAAACAGATAATAAAACTAATTCAAAATTCAGGCTTCCAGGTGCTCATGTTCGAGTGGAGGTCTACATTATTCAAATTTTAATGGCTCTAGTTACCGTTGTGTTTTCACAGCACGAGAAACATGCATATATTCAGGCAAATTCTTCATTATTTAATTTCTTCAAATATAAAACAGAGAGATAATATCTGGTGGCAACAATTTGAAAAGTGACATGTCATTTATAGTGATTCAACACAAAATGCCATTTGAGACAAATATCCCATCCAGGATTAATATCACTTTTGGGCTAAAAAGGAAACATGTCTATTTGAATTAGAAATTGAACATTACACATAAGAAAATGTTTCAGTAGTGAAATTAAAACTTGATACTTGATTACTTACCTGGCCATAAGCAAGAATAGTCGCATTATATCCTTTAAAGCAACTGCAAAGAAATTACAGCCAATTACTCAAAAGAAAATATATATGAATTTAAGACAGATTTTTGTTTAATTTCAATGCATTAGAATTCACACTTCTGAAATCTTTATTCTACAACAATTTAAATACTCATACATATCTTAACTACAACAAAAAATAACCAATATATGAAGAAAAGAATAACAAAAAACAGAAAAATTATATAATATGTTAAATAGTCATACTCGGTGTTACAAGGAAAGATGAAAACTACATTAGAACACAATTTAATAACTTTATATTAATAACAGTATTTTCAAAAGGATTTAAGGTATTTATTTTCTTCCTCTTTGCTGCATGTTTTCGTGATGGTAGCACACTCACCGCGTATTTGAGAGGTCCAGGTTCGAGTCCATTACTCAATTTTCACATTTTCTTCTTCTAAAAAATACCAATGATTCTACAGTGGCACCTGTAAAAGGTGATGGATAATGATTCTTCACCACAAGGATATGGGGATTGGGTACTCTAATCTCCAGTTGCCCTTTCAAAGGGGAAGCATATAAGGTATTTTCTCCCTCCTGACTGCCTGCCTTCGTGGTGTAGCAGTAGCACACTCGGCGCATATTCGAGAGGTCTAGGTTTATCTCCTTGTGAGGGCATTGCTCATTTTTCACATTTCCTACTGCAAAAAAATCCTAATGACTCTACAAGGAAATATCTAACACAATGTCTTACAGCTTTTTAGGCGCTATCAATACGTCATACTGAATTTCAATCAAGGCTATGCAACTTTACTTGATATGGTACTTGCATATAATTGCAACCACCTTAGTAAAATTCGGCAAAGTTTCATAATTCCCCAAACTCTGATAACCATATACATAACAATTATCCAGGAAACTATGCATATGACAAATATTCAGTTTCCAATGTTGCCATTTTATACGTGTTCTTTTGATTGTATTCAAAGTGCTAATGGCTTTTACAGAAAAATTTATTATTTTGCATTTTAACCTCAATTTTAAAGTATGTGTTTGTAGAATTTTCCTACAACAGAAGGAAGAGGTGAAATTTTTGCAGGAATATATTATTTTGCTGCAAAATCGCTAAAGGAACAATGCTTTGAATTCTTCCTGAAAGTGATTATCTATGAAATTTTAACATCAACCTGTTTGTAACTAGATTTATAGATTGTCTTTTAGAATAAGTATATAGCTGAAAAGTTGAATATGTATATATGTAATATATAATTTTTTACAATTGGAGTAATTATTCCTCCATAAAATTTTAAAAACTGCATCAAAGTAATTGTGATAATATGCAAGTATCCTTGATACAATTTACAAGCAGCATGTCAATTCGCAGAAATTCAGTAATTATATAAAAAAAGAAATGTGGCATTTTCTTTCCTGATATAGAATTTTTCATATTCCTTACTTTTAAATTTCTAAATTATTTTCCTATTATTTGTATCATAGAGCACAATTATCCATTTAAAAAAAAAAAGAAAAAGAAAAAGAAAAAAAGTTCATTTAAGCAACAACTTAAGAGTTGTACTCATTAAAAAATAGCAAATTTTGTAATTAATAAAAGTAAATGAGATAATATTAGTACTTTAAAAAATAGAATGTTTCTATACAGTTTTATTCTTTAAAAAATTACAATCAACTTACTGATAGTTTTGTGCTAATGATTCTATTAATAAATACTGCAAAGGCATTCCAGCACTGTTATGCATTTTTTTTTTTAATAAAAGTCCTAAAACTATAAATCATTACAAAAACTTATTCTAGTTTTCCACCAAACAGAAGAAAATACCATGCATAATTTAGCAATATGGTACTACATGCAGCACAGAATTATTTTATTCTATGATGCTAGTTGACATTTAAGCAAGCTAATTATTTATTTATAACTGTTTGCATATACTTTGTTATATGAATCCAATTTATTTATTTTATTATATTATTAGTATTACTTTGACATTTTTCAATTTCTATAGTGTTCTTTTCTTTTGATTAATAGTTTTTGAATGTTACCAATATTGTAACTACAAGTACATAGATTGCTTACTTGTAACACTTAAGAACATTTATATTACTTATTTTATGTAATGCTTCAATATGAATTATTCACGTATTGAAAACTTTTACAGTACAAGTTCCTATAATTTTAATCTTTGTACTTTATAAGCAATCACTTATATAGAGACTTTTAACAAGACAAACTTTTATGGACTTTTACAAACCATGATGAGACCTTTAAGAATTATTTTAATAAGCTCTAAACGATACTCAAAAAAATATAATTACATTTCCTTTCTTTACTATCTTTCCTGTACATTTTATTGCTTTCCCTATATTCTATATTTATCATTTTTACAGTTACCTGGCAAAATGTTACTTATTAATATTTTTAATTTATATTAACTTCCTCAGTTTTAATTCATAATTTAATACATAATAAAAATTAATATTATAATGCATGTAAAGTCTAAAAAAAGATACAGATAGTACTATACCACATAACTTCTAGTCAAGATCAGGTGTCAACATTTGTTTTGCTCACACTGAACATACTGCATATCATTTAAAATTTAGTACAAATATTAGTATTTAACTACCTAATTTTATAGTTTTTACATCATTCATTTTACTTTCCTGGATTTATTCTCACTATATAAATATATTGTAGCTTACTTAAGTGTAATGATCTGCAGTTTGACCTTGAAAATACTTTTCAGGTACATTTAAACAGATTTTTATTCTACATAATATGACAGGGAACTAATAAAGCAAAAGCTTCCATAATTAAACAAGCATATCAGCTACATCTAATTCACATATGCCCTTAAATAAAAATTGCAAATGAATCCAATAAAACAATAAACTTTGTGATTTTCAATCATGTACAATGATTCTGACATTAGTATTAATCTTTTGCGATTCTAACAATTCGGATACAAGTAGGATTAGATGATTTGAATAAAATCGATCTTAAACATTAATAGAAATAAAAAAACATAATAATAATAAATAGGAGCAAAAACTGCAAGGTAACATAATAATAATTTATCTCCCACATAAATTTTGACACTCAGAAGAAATTAACTAGTGTTCTGGACATGAAAAATTAATGAGATTATTAATTTTTATTGCTACCTCATTTAATAACTATAAGAAAATTTTATAATGCTTATTTTACATTAAGAATCATATCCACACTATATGCATTATTGCAGGGATGTATCATGCCAAAGCAATGGGAGGTAAGAAATAGCAGAACAAATAAGGCTAGCAAATAAAAACCAGTACAATATAGTAAATTACAACAACACAAAGTATAAAATGCAATACAATAACATTTGAGCAATATAACAAATGGTAAAACAAAATAAAAATAGTAACTCGCAGAGAAATTAAAGTTCAACAAAAACACAGTAAAATAATGTAAACAACTGAATTTTATATGTCGGTAATTTCAATTTTGGCATTTGTAACTGATCAAAAACATTTATAATAAATAGTAAAAGGAAATATTCACAAAATATACGTGTTAGCCATGCTTATGTCTTAATGAACAAGATTAGATGCCAAAATAATATTCTATATACATACCCCTCTATAAGATCATGAATGCATGAGGTATAAACAGTTTCCTGAGCTGTTGTCATATTGAAGACATGGTCAAAAGTAAATGCTTTGTCATTGCCTAACCAAACTTGTGGTTCTCCAGGTGATACGGATGTGCAGACATGGCACATATCGAAAATCTCCCTTGGAATTTGAGGCCGAATCCTAAAAGCATATAAACGAATATAAATAAAAATATGTAAATTAAATACACAAAGTAAGTCACAATGAGTACTTATCCGTAACGTCAATAACTTTCAAACCATAAAATAAACTAACGATTGTAGTTTAATGACTATTCTAGATTTCAGACCAAAAACAAACTTCAAATTTCGCAAGTTATGAATAATCTTTTATAAACTAAGCAAATGTAAATCATAAATATATCATAAATATATCATAAAAGCATAATAAACACAAGAAAGACAACTACAAAACTTGAGATTTAATAGTTCCACAACATGAAAATTACTGCGAACATTCTATATTATTTAAAACAGAGAAATTCACAAAGCTGCAATTATGTATATAACGACTTACAACTTCAAACTTAATTTTTAACTTAAATAAGTATCTAAAAATATTACTATTGTTAAAAAATATTTTTTTTAATTTTTACATACTGTAAAATAGGATTACTTGTTTTTGAACAAAAATTATATTTTGCAAAAGTAATTACAGCATTAATTTACAAAACTAAAACTTACCGAACAGCAACGCGGACAGCAGACTCATTCATCTTCAGCGTAGATGCTAATTAAATTTTTTTACGAATTTAAATAAGGAATTGTAAACGGCAACATAGGGACACCGACTGTATGAAAATAAAAGTAAGTGAACATACAAAACACTAAACACTTCGATCTGAAACTGACGTTTATAGCTGCGCTGTTTTCATAGTTGCCAACCGTTAAAAGCTTTAATGTAAACATTCAAAACAAACAGGATTTGGTAAAAATGAATTGATTGTCAAAAAACTGCAATAATGTTAAGTAAGCAAAATATATTACAAAAGGAGATTGAGATGGAAAAAATATTTATTTTAAGCGAGATATAAAATTAGCCAACGATTCCCAATCCGTGGTGCATGGATCACACTTGTATTCCCGAAGACACACACACACACAAAATTCATATTAATTTAGTATACCGTACTACAACTCTTGTGAAGGGACATCTTCTGTCCTAAGGTACATTTCCAATCGTAATAAGTGTCGTCCTGCCTACTTATTCATCTGCAATGTTGCGACCCCATGGCCCAGGGTAGACGAGGCAGTACCAGTACGGTCCCTGCCGAACCTACACCGACCCAAGTAAACTCAGGCACATAATCGGAATCTTCATTCTCACACTAGGCATTAACCACCCGGGTTTTGACCTATAATTATAGCTGCCTAAGCCATTCACTTTTATTTTTCTTAGCTCAGTGGCGCGTGAGCGCCGCACTCGAAGGCGAAAAATGATCGAGGTGACAAAGTCATTAGGGAAGGCGTACATAGGTATGAATACAAGTTATTCTTTTGATCTGATAAACAGAAGATTAATTAAAGTTGCGCAGAAAGAGTAGGTGCTTCGGAGCGTTGTGAAATGTGTGTAGCCTGTTCGGAGATTCATCGCTGAGTGGAATGAGCAGAGATACGTAAGAGTATCTAGTTGAAGTCATGTGACTGGGAGTCACGTTCTCATTAGAGGTGCTGATAAAAGCATTAATTCATAAACTCAGGCACAGCCTGTGAAGGCTGATTTTATACCCTCGTGGTTGAGACTGTCTAAGTACAGAACCTAGCAGGGCCAACTAGATATCTAATTGGCCTTGAACCTAGTCAGTAATTCCCAGGAATTCTCCTGAATCAACCCCCGAGGGAAATACCGTACTACAGCTGAGAATCTCAGAGGTCGGAAATTACAGATTTTAATCATTGATAATGTTACGTATGTGGTATTTAAATAGCTAATGTTAGTTGAATTATAAATTAAATTGTTTTATTCCCCATGCATTGCAGCGCGTGGAAAGCTAAGCCGGAAATTTAAAAATACAAGAGCACGTGTATTTGACATTTACTAAATAAATATCTCTTTTTGATTTCGAGAAAGTTCCAGAAAATTCTCGCGCGCGATTTAAAATCATATAAAACGGAGGAAAACCTCTCAATTCTATTATTGTATTTAGTTAGTTTGTTGTTGTTTTATGAGTTTGCTTAGAAAACTGCTCTTGTTGATTGTAGCGAATTCTCGGATTAGCTTTCTTTAGAATTTTGAATTAAGTTCTCTTGAACATTTAAGTAGTTAAAAGATAACTACTGTGAGATATTGTAATACTGCAGGAATATCTGAGGAAGTTAAAGCATTTTTATAATAAATTTTGTTCATTTTTTTATCGGACTTGTGCATTCATTTCGTAACGAACCCGTACGCACGCAACAATTTTTGGTGTCTGGAGTGGGGTTTTTGAATGCCAATTACAAGAGGGATGGAAGACCAATTCAGGCAATTCATGACAGCATTTGCTGCTTTCCAAGAAAAGATGGAAAAGGCCGTTAACTCCATTAAAGAGGAAATGAGAGCGGGACAGGAAGAAATGAAAGCGGGACAGGAAGCCGTTAAAGAGAAAATGGATGCTGGTCAAAAATCCGTTAAGGAAGAGATGAATGCCATTCAAGCTGGTCAATTAACTTTTAAAGACGAGATAAAAGTTGTTAAGGAATCTGTTAAAGAAGAAATAAAAGCTCTACAAGTAAAGATTGAAGAAATTCAATACGAAATGAAAAGAGAAATTGCTTGCATAATAGAAACCAAATTCGATGCTATGGAAGGCAGAATAGATGTGGTTGAAAATAAAATGGGACAAATTGAGGAAAAAGTTTCTTCTGTCAAAGAAGAAATAGAAGGAAGAGTTTGTTCCGCTCAAAAACAAATCGAAGAACAAATTGATGACCGGGTTTCTGCGGTTGCTAAAGAAGTGGGTACTTTAAAGAAATTCTTAGCGACAGCAGGGAGCAATTCGGATGGTTTTAAATTTGTACCAATGCCTGCTCATCCCTCTCTGAAACTATCTACATATGATGGGAAGACCTCCTGGCAAGTGTATAAGACACAGTTTACTATCGTTGCGGATGCGAATGGATGGGATTCCATAACTAAGGCCTGTCATCTCGCCGCTTCTGAGCAGACGCAGCGGATATCCTGCAGACGTTTCCAGAAAACCAAACACTTGACTTCGAAGCTCTATCCGGCGCATAGGAGCTGCGCTTTGGCGAGAAATGTTTAAAAGACTACAGCAGGCTTCACTTAAAATCCCGTCAACAGAAGCCCACCGAAACACTCCAGGAACTCGCCACGGATGTTGAAAGGCTGTCCCACCTCGCCTTTACGGAGTGCCCGACAGAAACAAGAGAAATCTATCGCTACAATATTTCATCGATGGCATCCGGGACCCTGAAATACAGAAAGCACTGCGAATGGCGGATGTTAAAGATTTGAAAAGCGCTTTAGTGTACGCCATGAAATTTGAGGCAGCCCAGCAAGCCACTCATAGAGACCGCCACCCAATCAGAGCTGCTCAAGTCCAGGAGCCAGTGGATCAAGTCACTTCTCGTCTAGACGATTTAACTAGGATTTGCAATTACAATTAAATGCCATGGGACGGAAAAGGATTGACAAGAAACTAAAGTGCTGGAACTGTGGAGCTGAAGGCTATGTACGAAAGAATTGCAGAACACCCAGGGTAAGAAAATTGAGACCATTTGTCAGCAACGACGCAGGGAACAAATTAATGACCATAGCAAGGAACGGAGGTTGCCAGATAATGAAAAACCGAATTTTAAAGCACTCAAGATTTCTACAGTAAGTGGCAACAGTAACGGACTGTCCATCAATGGGCATATCGATGGAGTTCCTTGCAATATCATCATTCACACAGGAGCTAATGTTACCATCACTAGGAAAGATTTAGCTGAACAGTTTAAAAACAAACTTATTTGGACGCCATGCTGTGTTACCCTTCAGACTGCGTCTGGTGACAAGATCGACATAGCTGGGAAGTTAAACGAGAACATCACGTTTGAAAGTGCCGCCTACCATCACACGGCATATGTGGTGGATATTACAGATCCATGCATACTCGGACTGGACTTTTTAAGGAAATACAATTTTTCCTTATACTTCAAAAACAACAAACTGCTTTCAGCATCTGAAGAAATGACTATCCATTCTCAGAAGGGATCCTCACCTGGAAATGTCGACGCCTTGTCCGAAAAATCGAGCTCGGGAAGCTGCCGAAATCATACCAGAGTCGAAAAGAAACTCAAGACTACCAGCTATTCTCCATCCCAGAAGCTCTTCGGTCGAGACCTTCGTCTGCCTTGTGACCGCCTGTTTGATCGCCATACGGATGCGCCTTTATCGCCTGAAGATGATGACGCCATCCAAGATATCCGGGCCTGTTTTGAAGTTCGGCACGAAAGCGAGTCAACTTGGCGACGGAGAATATGATGTCTAGATACAACACGAGAGCTACTGGACATAGATCTAACAAAAGAGACAAGGTGTAGTTGTGGAAACTGATTCGACGAAAAGGAGTCAGGCCTAAATTACAGTCGCCTTGGGATGGTCCGCACACAGTGCTAAACAGGCTGAATGACTTCGTGGTTTGGATCCGTGAGTCTTCGAACTCTAAACATAAAGTCGTTCATTACGACAGGTTAGCTCATTACTATGGCCATAGTACGTAGTGTAAATAATTGTAAATAGTGTAAGATCATGGTCCTTTTTTTTTCTAAATTTGTATTTAGTATTTATTTCGTATTTTGTATATAATTTGTATTTGTATTTGATAGCATTTGATTTGTTTAAGTTATCTATTGCATTTATTGTTCATGTTGTTTGTTATTGTAATGTAATGCTCAGTATTGCATTTATGCCTTAGTTGTCAGTTTGGGTTTCTGTCCAGCGATTGCACTGCCCGGGACGTGCAGTCCTAGGAAAGGGGGCAGTGTTACGGATGTGGTATTTAAACAGCTAATGTTAGTTGAATTATAAATTAAATTGTTTTATTCCCCATGCAGTACAGCGCGTGACGAATATTAAAGGAAATCTAAGCCGGAAAGTTAAAAATACAAGAGCACGTGCATTTAACATTTACTAAATAAATATCTCTTTTTGATTTCGAGAAAGTTCCAGAAAATTCGCGCGCGCGATTTAAAATCATATAAAACGGAGGAAAACCGTCTCAATTCGATTATTGTATTTAGTTAGTTTGTTGTTGTTTTATGAGTTTGCTTAGAAAGCTGCTCTTGTTGATTGTAGCGGATTAGCTTTCTTTAGATTTTTGAATTAAGTTCTCTTGAACATTTAAGTAGTTAAAAGATAACTACTGTGAGATATTCTAATACTGCATGAATATCTGAGGAAGTTTAAGCATTTTTGTTGTGATAATAAGAAATTTTGTTCATTTTTCATCGGACTTGTGCATTCATTTCGTAACGAACCCGTACGCACGCAACAATAATTTTTAAACAAAACTAATATTTCAAGAAATTTATTTTCCTTAACTACTTTAACTAAGAACTTCCTATGCCCGTCTTACCAAAAAAAAAAAAAAAAAAAAAAAAAAAAAAAAAAAAAGAGAGAGAGAGAAAATCTGGAAGCTTTGAAATTGTAAATTATGCCTAAAGAACCCTTTTTTTTTTCATTTAAACACACGCTTTGAGAGCATTAAAAATATTTAAAAAATAGCGTATGCTTAGAATTTTCGATAGACATCTCGCGCTGGAAATTAAAAAAAAAAAAAAAAAAAAAAAAAATTCTTCGTACAATGCTGCCATTGTTAGCTTTGAAATCGTTGAATTTTTAATCAAAAATTCCTTT